TTTTTCCCATTGTTTCTCTTTTCATTGTTTCTCTTCCGATTGCCCCTTTAATCCCCATAACCCGGCTTACACCTAAATTCTAACTACCATCCAGTATCCTCCCTTATGGCCCAAGGCACGGAATTCCCACTCAAAAAGCCTGCCGGGTTCCACTGGGACCTCTTCCTGCTCGGCCTGACCACCGGCGTGGCCGGACTTCTCGGCGTCCCTTTCCCCAACGGTCTCATCCCGCAAGCACCCTTCCACACCAACGCCCTCTGCGCCACCCGTCTGGTCAGCGACGACATTGACGAGTCGCACAAGGGCAAAACGTACCGCGTCGTCGACCACGTCGTCGAGCAACGCGTCAGTAATCTCGCCCAGGGCCTGCTCACCCTCGGCACCATGACCGGGCCCTTGCTTATCGTCGTGCACCTCATCCCCCAGGGCGTCCTCGCGGGGCTCTTCTTCGTCATGGGCGTCCAAGCCCTCGAGGCCAATGGCATCACCAAGAAACTCGTCTTTATCTGCCGCGACGCCGCACATACTCCTGCCAGCGACCCATTCAAGCGGCTTTCTACCTATCGTCTGCCATGGAGGAGACGTGCCGCGAATCCTCACTCCGACCCTGGTTCTTCTTCTCATCCTCCCACCGGCCTTGCCAGCCACCGCCATCATCGAAAGCACTCATCGTCTTCGCCAGCATCATCCTACCTTTCCCAATTCACATCCCGCTTCACAGCCGTCCACGTATTCACGGTAGTCCAACTGCTCGGATTCGGCGCCACGTTTGCCATTTCGCAAACCATTGCCGCTATCGGATTCCCCATTATCGTCCTCTTACTTATCCCCCTGCGGAGTTTCGTCCTGCCGTATCCGCAGTGCAAGTATGGACTTTTTACGAACGACGAATTGGCCGTGCTGGACGCGCCCACTGCGAGTCCGTTTACCATGGAGTCTGTGGGTGGGAATTACGGCGAGGACGACGACGATGACGACGGTATGGGAGAGGAGGAGGAGGAAACGACCCCCGAGAGTCAGGATTTGTATGAGCCGGCCCGCGAGTCGAGTAATACTGGTACAGGAGGCACAGGCACAGGCACAGGCACGCCCTTGGAAGAATCAGATGGACTGGAACGTGGCGAAATGCGACATCCCCTTCCCTTTCCTCCGTCTTCCTATCCTCGGGAGGCGGAGGCGGAGGCGGAGGCGGCGGCGGCAGGGACCGCACGCACCGCGAGGTCGGCAGCACCAAAGGAAGCAAAAGAAACACGCCGACATCCTTTTGCCGCAGCGCATGTACTTGACGACTCAGGCGCCGGTACAGATACGGGTACAGGCACAAGCAGTAACAATGACTACAACAACAATGGCGGAAGAAATGGTGGTGGCTGGGGTGGTGATAATGGAGAAGAAGGTATCGAATTGACTGATCAGCCTCCCCCTGCTGCTGCGGCCGCTCATCCTGCAGGTCCTGCTACAGCAGCGACAACGTCGGTCCGACGACGAAGTAGCACGCGCAGTCGCCGAAACGATACTGGAGATACTCATACACCTAACGAACAAGGATGAGAGACCCTATGAGATTGACGAACATTATTATAAACAATGTATACATACACCAAACGGGATCGAACATAATATATATATATATAAGGTTTATATATATACGTAGGTTAATGACACGAGATAAAAGAATATCCAAGAGTGATAAATTATGTACAGTACATGCTTCTTTACATTCATCTGGCTGGCTTTGGTTTTAAAACTCGAAATGCTCTCTGGTCTCTAGCACACATTTAAGTCCGGAACGAAAGGGATCGGGAACATAGAAAAAAGAAAGGGACGAAAAAAATTTAAAAGGAAGGGCTAACAAAGAAGGGGACACCATGTCCCCGATGCTGAAATGCCGTGCGTGCTGAACAACAGGAGATTAACGTTCCTTGCCAAGGATGTGATGACAGGAGGGCAGGGATGTTCCAAGGAGAGTGAGTGCTAAGAGATAGAGAGAGAGAGAGACATTGATTTGATGGGAAAAGAAAGGTAAATGTAAAATGCAAATGCCTCGTGTGATATATATATAACCAGATTGTGCCTTATGCGTGCTCGACAGAGGGGACGAAAAGGGAGTAAAAAACGGAGCCCAGTAACAAAAAGTGTGCGCTCGGCGTGCTTGATGTACCGCTACCCTTGCCGCTGGTATGCCAAAAGGACAAAACAAAAATTGATACGAACGAAAACTAAAATTAAGTGTGAATAGATCACGGGTCCTTGGTTCTTCTTCTTCTGACAGTCATGTTTATCATCATGATTTCAAAGATAAAATGTGAGGCATGACGAAATTTATCCAAAGTCGAAATGGATGACTGAACTGATGAGAAAAAAATATCGCTTCGCTAGACTTGGAGCGGTTGCAAGAAGAACCTCTCACACAGTTTGATCGGTACGAGGTAACACTCGAAATGCCTTATGCTCTTCTTCGGCATTAGATGCGATTGCATGCCGAATGAGCGCGAAATAGTCTTATGGTCGAGGGGAAAAGAAACTCGAATATACAATTGCTGGGAGCGCTCTATGTCTTTTTTTTGTCGAAGGTTATGCTATAGTCTAGTCTTTCCAATCCCAGACTTGCTTGAGGAAATGTTCCATGTTGACCTATTTATTATTAGAAAAATTCCATCAAAGGAGCAGAGAACATAGCTACCTTCTTGGACCGCATTTCGAGCATCCACGGATGTTCCAGCATCCGCCAGGGTGTTGCTCTTCGGCGCGGTTCCTTTTCGAGACTACGGGGAATCAGCCAGTAGCTCAGCTACAAATCGATTACGCTCACTTACCAGCATTCAATAAAGTACTTGAAATTCTCGCTCCACCTGATACCTGCATCTGGCTCGTCTTTGAGTTTAGGGATTGGCTGACGAACAATATACGTCAACAGATCAATCAGACCCGCACGAGGCTGCATCTCCGTTCCATCGGCTGGGAAGGGGAACCGATGCTGCGCCACCTCCAGGAGCGAGACACCCAGCGACCACACGTCCGATGTAATAGTATAGGATTGTCCCGTGATTCGCTCAGGCGCCATGTAGTACGATGTGCCGATAAAAGTGTTGGCGTCACCCTTGGTGCCAAACTCGCCGCTAACGCCAAAGTCGCACAGCTTCACCTGGCCATTTCGGCAGAGGAGAATATTGGATGGCTTGATGTCTAGAAATGACACTTAGCTATGTTCAAACCTTCTTTATCTTTTTTGCAAATCTTACCCCGATGAAGAATCTTTCGCCCGTGAAGATATGTCAATCCATTCAAGACACCCTCGGCAACTTTGCCAAGAACCTTCTCCCCTGTGCGGCCACCCAGCTTCTTGACCTCTTTGTAAACACTATCCAGACTACCACCCTCGCAGAACTCCATGGCAATGGAAATGGTACCGGTGGAGTCGTCGACAAACGCGCCATAGTATTGACAGACATGCGCAGAATTGCAGCTCTTGTTGATGTTGAGCTCTCGAACAATCTGTTTCTTGACGTCCGGATTGGGATCGGTGGTGATAATCTATTGATTAGCGTTAACGTAGCTCATTTCCGATGCAAGGTTGTCAATGCTTCATGAAAACCAGTTGCCCATGCTTACCTTGAGGGCAAACACCGTCTTGCCTCCTCGGAGCATGCAACGGGTGACAGCACCACCTGCACCCTCTCCAAGGCTTCCCAATTCTACGATACGCTTTTCCATGCTAGCTGCTCGCCAGCCATTATCATCCAGGTCCTCCACGTCCAAAGGCCGGCCTTTCTCCAGGCTTAACTTTTCAAGGTCTGGAAGACCGTTCATACTGTCATCCCTCTCCATCGCAACACCGCCATCGCCCGATGCTCGATCCGAGTACACCGAGCCAGCAGCGGACACGGGGTCTGACGAGCCTTGGGCCGGGCGAAAATTCATGTTCAAGGTGAGCTTAGGAAACGAGGAAGACGTGACAGCAGAGCCGACACCGCTAGCCCGTCCAACATCTAGACCGCTAAAGCTGCTCGACCTTGATTGCGAATGTGCCTCACCATAACTGCTGCTGCCCGTGGGAACCATGAGCGGCTGCAGTGATGGCCGTCGGCCATTCTGCATTGGAACGCTGGCAGGCGGAGTACCGGCTCCACCCATCGGTGTTGCAAGCTGAAGGCGTGGTAAGGCTGGTCTATGAGGCTGCGGCTGCAGTGGTGGAGGCGCCATCGTCGAAGGCATCGGAGGTTGAGATGAAGGTTGAGACGGAGGAGGGGTTTGGTGTTGGGTCGGATACATTTGTGGAGGTGGTTGGACCGGTTCTAGCTGCTGCACAGGGCCATTTACTGGTTTGACACGAGGAGATGGAGGAATTGAAAGGCCCAACCGGGGAGGTTTAGGTCCTCCATTATTGTTGCGATGACCGCCGGGGATGGGTGGCCGCAGCAGCGGCGCCGGGGAGGACATGTTGGAAGGATGGTTCGATTCGGGCGGTGCGAGATTCTGGGAATTGAACAAATTGCAAAGTCAGCCTGATGCAAGTCTATCTAGGGTTAAATTAAACAGCCATTTCACTTACCATGAATTCGTTGCTTAGAGGCAGAGAGTGTCCACGCGAGCTCCAATCAAGTACTGCGAATTATAGTGTAGGAACGAAAAAGCGTATCATTCAAGACGGAGATAAAATGGTTTATGATGATGATGCATGCGAGAACCGCAAGATGACGCTTCAGATGAAATGCCAAAATGAGCTGAACGGGAGAAGACGAGAGGCCGATATGCCAAGGGCGGTGATTGTAGCTCTAGATGGAATATAATGATGACGAGAACAAGCAAGATGGTACGACAGCGACCAAAACGATTCACGAAAACCGCAGCGCCTGCCCAGCAAGGCTGCTCGCACAAGACCTCACGAGGGAAATGACGACAAAGGATGCGTCAGGTTGAAGAGTAGTGGGTGGATCGGAGATGGAATAGTAAGTATAACGCTGAAAGTTCAAAGTAAGGTGGGGGACAGGTGGTGCGCGTTCGAGCGGTCCGGACGATCCCACGGGGTGGGCGGGGACCCTTGCGTCAATGGTGCGAATCGAGGTCTCGATACAAAAGACGCCGTCGATTTGGACTCCACGGATCCACGGATCCACCAAGCGAGCGAAATTAAAAGGGAAAAGGTAACGTTGGTCAAAGTCGTAATTGTAGGGAGGAGTAAGAATACGAGTAGCGATAGTAGTGGTGGAGGGCGATTCAAGGAAAAAAGGAGGACGACGAGGACAAGGAGGGAGATGGTGGATGTCTTGGGGGTCAATGTGATCTGGACGCACTGGGGGGGAACAAGTCTCAAGAGGGACAGGGTATGGTCCGTTGTCGTTGCGGATCCAACCTCCAGGAAAGCGGGAGAGAGGAGGAGAGATCTCAATGAGCAGCTTTCAGAAAGCTGAGCTCTATAGTTGTCACGTATCTATAGAAGCACGAGGGGAAGAAACCATTGATATCGGGGTTCGCCCAAATATCACAAAGGCAATGATATTTTATTCCAGCTAAAACGAAGAAATAAAGATTGAAAGAGAAGAGGAGTGTTTTGGGTAGAGTCAAAAGAGAAGGGGAAAGGGGGGGAGAGAATCCCCAGAGTTGCCGGACAGCCAAGCAAGAAGGGAGGCAGCGGTATTTCACTTTGGGATGGCAGTCTTTTTACATGGACATGGCACATGCAGCTGTACCCATCCGACGACAAAGACTCTCGGGGTTGTTGGATGGCTGTTCCTCGTTACTGAACTCTTCTGATCGACGGTGATATTGACAAGAGAGGCTGAATCGAGCACATTTCCGCAAGAGTCTACCTGGATAGTGCGTCACCGGAAACCAATCAATTCAACAAGATATGAAACGCGCATCTTCATCGTCTTTGAACGCTGTATTTGGATTTGTGGAAGCCCTTGGATACTTCCGACCAGGCTTAACCGCCGGGCTGAGAGGCCCGCGCTTGTTGGTGGACGAGGGGCCGAGAGGGGGAAACAGTCACATCCCGAAGCTTTTCTTGCCGCTTGGGGGCCGCGTGTCAGCTCAAGCGGGAACAAAGGAATGTTGGAGAAGGCCTATGTCTGCCTACCAACATGTCCCTAACCACACAGATGCATCCTGGCGCAGAAGAAAATCGAAATTTGATTGAAAAAAAAAAAAAGAATTGAGCCTCATTGAGCGTTGTGACGATGACGCTGTGCCGCACAGTAGCTCGTCTCATCGTTGCAAGGACAGAACTTCCACGAGAGAGATAACACAGGTCTTGCCTAAAGATACCAAAAAAAGGGATACTCATAGGTTTGAAAAAAATTGTCCTTTTGACTTTTTGTGTAAATACGGTGTAACAGCATCAATGCAATGGCATTCAGTAGAAGGCAGAAAGAATATGCAGAGTGTAAGCAGCTGAACATGAATGACGATGAGGTTGATGTCCAATGACGCACCTTACGCAGTCATCATGGTCATTGATCCAATACTGCATCAGCCATTCCCAAGCCCAGTCACCTCGTAGAGAAATGGATTTCAGCTTGAGAAGAAATCTCCAACCAAGTTTTTGTGGAATGGCATAGTTGCTGTACCTCCAGATGAGCACTGGAGTACAAGCAGCGAGGAGTAAGAAAACTTTCCTATTTGGGTAATCAGTATCGACCGCCGAGAGCCGAAGAAAAGCCGCCACCACCGATATTTTTTGTATCTTGATGTTTTGGACCTGTGTTTGACAATTTTCATGAAAATTTGCCCGTCGCAACCACCACTATTCCCCGCGCAGCTACAACTCTAGACGTATAATATTCGTCATGATCGCAAAAGACATGTCATTGCGATCTTCACCGCTTGAAGACGACGTTGTGTCGAACCATTCATCATCATCATCAGAAGAAGAAGCAAACGAATCTGGCTCTGGTTCAGGTTCAGGTTCAGATACCGATTCTTCTTCGCACGTGGACATTGCAACCAATGGGTCTAGAAAGCGCAGAAAAGTTGAGACACGCTCAGCCTCATCCAGCCCCGAACCAGCGGCCCCTGCGCCAATGGCGACAGCATCAAGAACGAGCACGAGCATTTCACGAATAAAACCACGAACCGCAAACGCCGTCTCTCGCACAGCCGCGGCAAAGAAAGTTGACGGCTCAAGACCAACAAAAGCCCCTTCTTCCCTCGACAATGGCAGTGCTGTCGAAAGCGCACTCTCGTCCAAGACCAGCTTTGCATCCTTGGGTGTTCATCCATGGCTTATTGCCGCCCTGTCCGCCATGGCTATTACTCGACCGACGGGCATTCAAAAGGGCTGCATCCCCGAGATTCTCAAGGGCAAGGACTGCATCGGAGGAAGTCGAACTGGTTCGGGTAAAACAATGGCCTTTGCCGTGCCTATCTTGCAGAAATGGGCCGTGGATCCAGTAGGTATCTACGCCGTGGTCTTGACGCCGACAAGGTACGCCTTTCCAATTTAAAATCCCCCCTCGCAAAAGTCCCAATCTAATGCTCTTTTTTTTTTTCTCCCAGAGAACTTGCACTCCAAATCTACGAACAGTTCAAAGCCATATCCGCATCACAAAACCTCAAACCCATTCTCGTAACCGGCGGCGCAGACATGCGAGAGCAAGCCCTGGCCCTCTCCCAGCGACCCCACGTTGTCATTGCCACCCCCGGCCGTCTGGCCGACCACATCAGCACATCCGGCGAAGACACCATCTGCGGACTACGACGGGCACGGTTCGTGGTGCTCGACGAAGCAGACCGACTTTTAGCCAGCGGGCACGGCAGCATGTTACCTGACGTGGAGACTTGTCTTTCCGTCTTGCCTCCGCCAATGGAGCGGCAGACATGCCTATTCACTGCAACCGTGACTCCAGAAGTGCGCGCACTCAAAGACTCTCGACAGCAATCCTTGGCCCCGGGAGCCAAGCCCCAGAAAGAAGTCTTCGTATGCGAAGTCGACACCGCCGTGCTCGCTATCCCGCAGACTCTGCGCCAACATTATCTCCAAGTCCCCACCACCCACCGCGAGGTATTCCTGCACATCCTCCTCCTGACCCCCGCAAATATCTCCCGCCCGACCATCATCTTCACCAACCGCACCGCCACGGCGACCATGCTCGAGCACATGCTGCGGTTACTCGAGCACCGAGTGACATCTCTCCACAGCGGTCTCGCGCAACGCCAGCGTATCGACAACCTGTCCCGCTTCCGCGCAGGCGCTGCCCGGATCCTCGTCGCCACCGACGTCGCCGCTCGTGGTCTGGACATTCCCGAGGTTGCGCTCGTCATTAACTACGACGTCCCTCGCGATCCGGACGACTATATTCACCGAGTCGGACGTACGGCTCGTGCCGGTCGCTCTGGTGATGCCGTCACGCTGGTCGGACAGCGCGACGTTGCGCTCGTCCTTGCCATTGAGGAGCGTGTTGGCCGCAAAATGGTCGAGTATGACGAAGGCGAAGATGTCAATATCGAGACGAGAGTCGTCCGTGACGGTCTCAAGATTGTGGGAGAAAGGAAACGAGAGGCCATTCTGGAAATTGAAGAGGGCAGGGAAGTCGGTGGTAAGAGGAGAAGAGACGGGCATGGTGGAAGTAGAAGATTGGGGAAATTGATGGCTTACAAGTAGCTTTTCCCCCTTCCCTTCTCTTATTTGAGTTCCTCTTTTTTTTCTTCACCCTGTTATCGTTTTCATTTTTTCGCTGGATACAGATGCTAGATCCAGCTTATACATCCCTTCATCATATCTTCATTTAGAAAGGAATCGTTTCGGGAAAAGTTCTGCGCCGACGGATAATCCATTTCTTTTTTTGAGGATTTAGAGCCTGGCGTTGGATCAATGGATATTAGGTGATTAGACTAGACATCTCAGTTCATCGGATGAGTCTAGTATCGACAATAGTATACAGCATATCACTTCATTCACAATCGCAACCGAAAGAGTCAACTCGGTAATAAGTCTTGAAGAGAAGTATTATTGAACATCCGCACTGCGCAAACGCACTATTAACGACCATGGTAGATGGCCTCTAACACAGCTTTCTGCGTGAAAAATAGATGTAAAAAGGTAGAAAGGTAACCGCCTCGCCCAAGAACGAGAATGAACAGAGAGGCATCCACTTCCGAGAACCTCGCCCGCGTTTCAGCCATCAAGGTTTAAACCCAGGTTGAGTTTCCCCAAGTATTTGCATTCCTGTCACGTTACCCGGTCCCAGGCATAGATTTTGAAAAGTTTAACACGAATTGAATCCAAACCCCATTCCAACCTGGCCGTAGCTTGATTTCCAAACAGAAAGACCAAACGAAGACCATTAACTACCCAACTACTTCATCCATTGATTTAAGCAAGGATGTAGGCAGCGGCGGCAGCGAGACCGGCGATGGCGAGAGAGTTGGAGCCAGTCAGGCTGCTAGCAGCACCAGTGAAAGCAGAGGGGTTGGTGGAGCTAGGAGAGAGGGGAGTGTTGGAGCTATTTATTATTGTCAGCCATCAGGTCACGGAGACAAATTGAACAAAGCTAGTCAGGAAAAAAAGAGAATGCTTACCCAGAGGACTTGGTGCCGGTGGTACCGGTGGGGTAGTAAGCACCAGTGCCGGTGCCAGAGGGGTAGTAGGCACCAGAGCCCGAAGGAGAGCCAGAACCGGAGCCGGAGCCGGAGCCAGAGCCAGAGCTGCCGGTGCCAGTGGGGTAGTAAGGAGTCAAGGTGGAGGAGCCACCAGCAGTGACGGTGACGGTGCTCCAGTAGGTGACGGGAGTGCACTCGCCAGCAGGAGCAGAAGAGGTGAAGACGGGGGCGCTGGAAGCGACAGGGCTGGAGGCAACGGGGCTGGAGGCGACGGGACTGCTGGAAGCAATGGGGCTGCTAGAGGGGACCGAGCTCACGGGGGCGACGACAGAGCTGCTGGTAGGCACGACAGCGGCGCTCGAGGGAGTGGTGCTGACGGGAGCAGCGGTGCTCGAGTGAGAGCGAGCAGGGCAGTTGGTAACCTCAGGACCGCAAGAGGTGATGGTGTCGACCTGGGTCTGATAGACGGTAACGTCGCGCTGGTCGACGTTGACCTGGGCCATGGCGGCAGTGGCGAAGAAGGCGGCGGTGGCGGCAATAGTGAAGCGCATCTTGATTGATTTTTGGATTGTTTGTGTGGAATTAAAAAATTCTTCTTAAAAGAGTTTGAAAAAACGAGGGATTGTAGTGAGTTGGAAACTGGTGTTTGATCTCTGGAAAGAGTGGATGACCTGTAAATTCGGTCTGAAAGTTGCTGGGTATTAAAAAAAGAATGGAACGGGCGTATCTGCGTGAAGAAGAAAGAAGAAAAGAAGAAGAGAAGCAAGAACAAGAAGAGGGGAGAGGGAGGGTTAAAAGAAGGGCCAATTCGCAAGATACAGGACGGGAGATTAAGCCAGAGCAGATCCTCCGACTCTTAGTGAATGGGGTCATATAGGCTGGGATGGTTTGCTATCGTCGTTTAGGGTCGGGAGGCGAGAAAGAGATACAAGAGCTCAAGGCTAAAGTTCTTCCATTCTGCATGTCACTGTCAAGTTGCAAGACAAGGGACCTTGTCTCGCTCGGTCCCTGAGTCGTTGGTATCGGGGTTGGTGGTGCGTCAACTGAACAAGATCATCACTGCTCCAACAGCTCAAAGAAGCCCTCTCAGGGCGACTAACCATCCACACGAGGGCCACCGGACTGGGTTTTGGTCATGAGGGAAATCCAGGCGTGTCGCCGGCCACCGTCATCTTTTGACAAGCAAACCAGTCAGCCATCAGCCAACAACCGCCAAAGACGTCTAACGGTAAGCCAATAATCCCGATCAATGCGTGGCTTCTTCAGGGGGGAAAGGAAAAGGAGGCAAAAGGGGGGTGGGACGAGGGGAGCAAACACACCGCCTGGTTTCACACTAATGCAGGTCCCGCATGGGATCCGCCCGGGTGACCAACCACAAGCGAGCATGTCAGTTTGGTCTGCCCCTGAGCTAGCAGGGGGCAAACCTAGGGACTGTCCCACTTGGGGTCTTTTATTGGTTAGTCATTGTTTGGTCTTTGCTCACGCCCACACAAAGACCGATGATCACGGCTTGTCCTCTCAAAGCAAATCAAAACAAAGAAGGGCAAGGAATATCGACAAAGAAGAACAACAGCTCGACACTCTTCCATTGTAATGCTGCAAACAAAGAATCAAAGAGGCTGAGTTCATCAATATCTATCATTGATCAAGAAGGCAGGGGCAAGTGCTTTGTTTTCTTCTTACTCACCACTTTGTGCATCCTTCTGAACAATAATGATTGCGACCGGTACACCTTTCTTCCTCTCTAACCCTAACGAGAAACCCTGTCCGGTGGATGGCTTTTCATGGCTATTCTGAGAAGCTTGGTTCTCCCGATCCGTCTGTTGGACAGCGCCCATGGTCTGTCGATCTCGTATCCACTCTTTTGCCCTTATTTCCATGTTCATGCGTCTCTTGGGGAGTCCAAAGCGAACTCTCGTCCTTGCTTAATGAGGGAAAACCTCATTTATGCGTCCCCGTCCTATTGGTTCTCGAGCTCTTTGAGACCACTAAAGTATCCCAAAGGATTTACTGCGGTAAATCTCGTCCATGGGTTGGACGCTTTGGGGGATACCGAGGTGCAGTCCGACAGCTACGTAGGTAGTTTATTGTGCCGCTCCTGCATCATTGTTTATACGGAGTACGTTCCTCAAACTTCACGCGTCGAGCATGTTCCTTGTACCATGGACAACCTTGTCAAATAAACGCCTCGTGCGACAAGCCACTCGAGAGCGAGAATCCTTCTGGTAATTTGTATCATTTAGAGATGCATTACCATGTCACTCTCAATATGAATACCTACCTACCTATTTACCTGGGAGCGAAGAAAACGCATTGACGCCTTTACCACAGCTGGTATGGTTAGAAGGAAACGCCAGTGCATTGGCATGAGTAGAGTAATCCGGTTCCATCTTTTCCCTGTGCCCAGAGACTTGGACTTACGTCGATCATTTTCCCTCCAGCCCATTTCAACCCAATCAAATTGGACTCACAAACCAGTTTACCTCTGGCCGCGTCAACAAATCACATGTAAGGCCGATATGCCCTAAGGATCGCGATAAATTCAGTTGCCGTCTGTTTCCAGTCCTGGTCCTTGAAGAAATTTACCTTTGCAGTTGCGTAATACTGTTGGGTAAACTAACAAAGCGTAACACTAGCACGGCCGACCATTGACCACGAGTGATGAAAAAAAAAAAATTTATAAACGGAAGCAGCCATTCTTGTAGAGAACTCAATGGCATCATTCTGCATGGCCGCGATCAAGGTGACATAGAACACTCTAGTACGGAGTAGTTCGATTCTTGTAATCAGTCGTTTGTAATATATAGTATACATGTAATCTCCCCCTTGCTGTGATTTGTTGTGGGGGAAATTAGCAAGTGGAGATGAGAGTGTAGCTATGAATAGCAGCACACCTGTATCTCTCCTGAACCAGCATCTTTTAATCTGCCAAATCGAATCTTCCTGGGGATAAGGAAGGATAAGTCAAGTGATTTAAACATAAGCTAGGGGTTAGTACATCCGTGAGTCTCGCTGAAATGTAACATTGTTCGACTGTGTTGTTTGCAACCGCAGCATCTGCGATATTACCTCGACAAGAAGCGATGGCACAACACCTAACACGAATACTATCGTGCGGAGCTGTTGCGGCGTCCCGGCTCTCCATGCCATGTTCAATGTATTGCTCAAAAATAGTCTCTTCAGAGTAATGATCGGAAAAGGTCGTCATGTTTGAGGTGCTAAGGACGATCAAGACATGTATGTTTCAACATCCAAGAAAAAGGACGAAAGAAATGCTTGAGAGAGCAAGGTGCAGGGCGCCCTTGACGCTCAATTATAAGAATATCCGCCGCTGCGAATATATACTAGGCGTATCAAAGAACCGACCATACCAGAAGGAAAGATTGAAGACCGCTGGTGGATTGCTTTCCAGTCTTCTCGATCCATGAAGCGACAGCGACCTTGTTCTCACCATGCGTAAATAGTATATTTGTCTGCATCTCCTCGCTTCGACAGATAGTTGAAGTTTTTACCAAAGATGTCGAATAGAAGCCGCGAGATGATCAAATTGGTTGGTGTCCAACATGTCATAACACTTGGCACGGCGGGCTGACGCTGATTCAATCGTCAATGCTGACGAACTTGGCAAAATGATGCCTTTAGAAGCGCCCTTGGAGGTAGGTCTGGAGGATGGAGAATTCTGTTTTCGCATGACACATCCACGTGTGGCCGGAATGGAATGTGCACGTGCATCTATGTCTTTCCAGGAAAGTTCACATGACACCCAGCGGAGAGACGAAGGGAGCCTTTTACAGCAGACGTCGTGCGCCGTTGAAGGCAGATAGTCCTAAACCTAAAAACGACCACCCCACATGGCCGGAGCATGTTATGTGATGCAACTGCATTGGATAGAGATGATCTCGCTGACACTTCGTAAACTGCTCATTCTTTACCTGATAGTGTCTCCTTGGAGCACAGATCCTCACGCACCCATTCCTCAATCCTTGAAGCCACGTCTCCAACAAGCTGCTCGTAGGTTTTACTCAGAAAGAACAACCCACAATGTGCTCCGACTTCATCCACTCCTTCCATGTGGACTCGTATCCAGGTTGGATCACGCTGACCATTGACCTTGGGCGGCAACATGCAGAATTTCTTATCCTTCTTTTTCTTTTCCTTGTTGCTCGTTGATTTTGTGTGCTCGTCAAGGTGACCGGATCTGGAGTCCCGGTCTGACGCCGCGGCAGTTGCGAGATCCTTCTTTCGTTGCTCCTTTTCGCGTATTTCTTTTTGCTTTTTCTCGAGCTTTAGCTGTTTTTCCAGCTCCTGCCTGGCCTTCTTTTCCCGCTTTTGAACTAGTTTCTCCCGCTCCTTTCTTGCCTTTTCGCGGTCTTTGAGAGCTCGCTGATAGGCCTTCACGTCACGACCATGTTCCTTCTCTGCAAGCTTTCGTGTATCGATGTCGCTGTAGAGCGACCCATCAAAGGCAGGGGGCTCCTGTGGCCTTGGGGGCAAAGGGGGCAATGCATCACGAGGCGATTGAGACGGGATGTTGCTATTTTCAGCCTCAATGCCAATATCCTCTTCATTGGGAACAGAGGTCTGCATAGCGTTGACAAGCTCGTCGTGGTTATCTTCGATCGGTAAAGGTTCCAATAATGTAAGCGGCTCCTCTGGCATGTCTTCTAAGACTTGACTATCCTCTGAAACTTCTTCTTTACTGGCTTCTTCTTGTTCGAAGCTCTCGGTCAAAGATGCACTGGAAGTTTGCTGTGGATTAGCACTGATTGCAAGCGTATCTATACCTTGCTCCAATGCAACGGAAGGCGCAACTTCTGTTGCTTTTGTTGCTGCCTCTGCCGCTGTGACTGGAGACTCATTTTCCTTTGTCGATAAATCTTCTGGCGGAGGCTGCTTTCCCTTTGCTAACCTCCCAGTGCTCGCTGTATAATAGTTCACAAATCGAACACGCGGCCTGGCATCGTGATCAGGGATTCTTTCTAATTCCCGAATCTTTTGATAGCGGGATTGCAAGCTTGAGTAATCCGCAAGACATGCTCCAAACTGAAGATGCGACATTACATAGCGCTTCGTTGCTACCGTGAGCCCACCATAATGCTTTGTGACGAAATGCAATGCGTTATCTAAGCTCGATCGCACGGGAAGTCGAACGTCGGTGGGAAATGGTGGGTTGAAATTGAGGTCAAGAGGAGCTGAATTAAGTGGTGTTTCCTGAGGAGCCCCCATAGGCAATGTTGAATCCGAAATTGAATCGATCGAAACATTTGCAAAAGACGTAGAGCTCGATTCACCCAAACCATTATCAGAAGTGGTCTTCACATCATCCACTTTGAAATTCTCGCTGTTGTTGGAATCGGTCTCTGGAGACGGAGTGGAGGGGCCCGAATCAGGACGGAATAGACTGCCAATTCCGCTCAATATGACTCCTGGATGCATGCCCAGGAAGGGGGTGTCAAAACTGATCGTTCCAAGAATGCGGTGTCGAAACGCTTGCCCATAGAACGGATACCTGGTACGCAAGAGCGCAACCTCAGCAGATAGCAGGCCACCCATGCTATGACCAAGGAGTATCACATCAGTGTTGGGATTTTCTATGGATTCTAGCCTGATGACAAAAAAGAAAATTAGCTGTTGACTAGAACTCAGTAATCCCCGTCTGTCGAGAAATTACTCACCATTGGCTAAAATTGTCTCTCGCATATTCTATTGGTTGTCTCGACCGATATTTAGGGTATATTTTGGAACATACTATATGGGTATCCGCCAGGGATGCAGCAATCACATTGTGAACGTGAGCTGGAAAGCTTTGGAAACTGGTTTCATTGCCCATAAACCCGTGAATATATATGAGCAATAGAGTCCTTTTATCTAGGGATGATTCTGAAGTCGTTGGCAATATGGACGCCAGAGATGAAGAGGAGAGGCTTTCCGGTATCCGAGTAGTTCCAGTGGACTGAACATCTTGGTGAAAAGATGGCATTTCGCTCGCAGATGGAGTAACGCCACCATTGGACCGCGGCGGCAGGGGTGGAGGCGAGCGTCTTCCGCTCATTGTAGGACCAACAAACTATTTCACAGCAGAGTCACTCGGATTGGTGAAGTGTTGGTGGGGAAGCTTCCTTCCTTCGTGTCCAAGGCTTTGAACAATGCTCGGTCGTCAATTGCTGTGATTGTCAGCTCAAGCTGGGTAATGCCGGAGCGAAGACTTCAGCAAAAGCGCCGCGCTGATTTGAGCTGGTTGCGGGTGTGGAACGTCAGCGATGTAGTCTAATTCCATTCAAGCGTGTGCACCGTATAGCCGAAATTGACCAGAAAATCCCGAGCTATTTCCAAGCCCGTGGCGAAGATAGGATGAGGTTTGATAAGACCTGCTTATACAAAATATTGGCAGTTCAAGTATACATAATCACCATAGGCACGATGGTCATGCCTATTCAATGGACTAGATGTTGAATATCACCTTTCAGAGAGGTGGAGGCAGCAGGTGGAGCTTGCACCACTGGCGTAGCCTTCTGATAAGTTGTGGCGGTTCCACCGATAAGTGGCTCATGTCGGGTAAAGATTCCCTGAATAAGCCTTTCAAGATGAATATAGAAGGATTAAGCGCGCGGGACGTCAAACGCTTAGCGAGATTACTCGCCGAGACGCTAAACTAATGGCAGCACTAGCGTGGTATCTAAGCTGAACGCGGCACTGATCACGGGCGTTTAGATTGATTCTCTCCCGGCTATAGAACCAATGAAAAGTACGTTCAGTACTTTAATTTTGATTGCACTTCTATTTTCAGCTCCCGAACACGTTTTGGGTACCGGGCAAGCCCCCCATTTTACCCTTTCGGGAATCAGATCATCGAACGGCCTGTCAAAGAGCAACTTTCATCAGCCGTTTGGACGGACAATTTTCCTCAGAATCTTCAGTCTGAGAAGGGAGCTTGGGCATCAGGCTTCAGACTTCCCCTTGCAGTGAATCACTCAGTCATCTAATCGTTCGCATTATCCCATGTATATGCCAGTTGATCTTGTGTGGCCCATAGGCCTCGGTGTTATCTGGATCAATCAATCAAACAATCAATATTCCAATCTCAGATTCTCCCCCTCTGTGCTCTTTTCATGTCACCCCACCCCCTGTTGATCTGGGACGATCGCATTAGAGAGCACCGGTACCTGCATATTCTCCACGATTGGTGGCGGGTTTAGCTGAGCCCAATAATTGATATATGGCTTTAGTGGTTTCCAAGCACTTCCGCTACCTCTCTTTTCGTATGCGTGTGTGATGGGGATGGCACAAACCTAAGCTAGAGCGACACGGGAACCACACCAAAAGTCCGCACGCACACAGGCCACCTTGCCCTCAAGCGTCTTCCCGTCTCTCTTCCAATTACCTCTGTCCAGCGTGGCTCCTCTTTCTTCTCCGCTTCGACTGTCGGCACACTCGCAATATGTGCTGCTGCTAGAAGGGTGCTTCAGACTTGTCGTGATAAATTTTTCCTCTGTTTCTGTGCCTGTCCGCCTTCTTCCATTTATGTCTCATTAGAGACCCGAATCCGACATTTTCTTTCAACTGTCACCTCTTTTCGCGGATCTTATTTTGCTTACTTTCTATTTCGGCGTCCTTTCCTTGACCCGCACCCGTTTTGAGAACGATCATTAAGTCGACAGACACCCACGAAAATAGTCACTCCTTCGAAATTTCTTTTGCGAATAACCGACGGCGGACTACAAAATTGCCATAGTCGCCGCTGCTCAACCTAAAATCGACGCTCTTTCCCGTTCGAAAATATCGATCCCGCATCCACCCCAGTTTGGAAGCTGCGCCAAAAGCAACCGTACAGCTGGTGATTCATCACGTCGAAAACGAAACGTGATCCATGTCGAACATTTGGAAATCATTATCTTTGAGATTTGTCAATGTATAACTCTAGGCATAGTATAAGATTTGGTGGAATATGAGCAACATGGAGGACTCGTCTTTCTCAAGCAACTCGGAGGAGACGGCGGGTCTGAACAATAGGGACGAAAGCTTTGTCAGGAATCATGAACTTTCTGCGGAGTCACGCACGTCAGCGGCGGAAGCGGATCAAGGCTCGAAATCTCAGAAATCTCGTTTCCAAAACATTCCGTTTCGCATTCACGGATGGCCAGGCCTGGGTAGAAGGTCTGTCGAGCAGAGACACCGACACCTGCATCGGCGACAAGCATCAGATTCGATTGCAGGGCCCGCTATGCCAAATGTTGTCGACGCAATTGCGATGATGTCTGTCGGCCTTGATGCAGATGGCAACGGGAGCCTCGTCCAAGTGTCTACCGTCTCAACTCCTTCGTTGGAAGCTCCGACTGCACTGCCCACTATATCTAGTATACCTACAGCAGTGTCATCGATCCCACCACTGCTTTCGTCGCAGTCAGAAGCATCTTCTTCACAAGCATCATCTAGTTCCACGCACTCGAAAGCCTCACAAACGAGCGCCATGTCGACCACCACGCCGTCGACAACGTCATCGGCTTCCAGCTCGAAACCAACATATATCTCGAGCTCCCGGCCGGTCGTCAGCTCTTTCTCTTCTTCACAATCTTCTATTCTTTCCTCTTCCTTTTCCTCTTCTTCCTCTTCTTCTTATTCTTCTTCTTCTTCTTCAGAGATCTCGTCTTCCAAAACTTCCTCTTCTGCCAACTCCTCGACTGAGACTTCAGGGACACCAAGTTCCTCGATAACCTTTGCGCCAACACAAACCAGTGCCACAGGCACGTCAGCGTCTCCGATTACTAGTAATTCGACAGCTACTGGTAAAGTTGAATCAATTCACAGACCACAGTTGTTCTCAAAACTAACGACGATGCCTCCAGCTTTGAGATCTTCTACTCAAAACACCTCGCTTCAGTCAGACAGTGCCAGTGCACAAGTGTTTTCCGGAAACTCCACATCGTCGGCGATACGCTCGACAAGCTCCACCTCCCTCTCTGGCTCTACGCATCTATCCTCGACAAGTAGCGGCCCTACGACACTCTCGTCATCGACATCATCGAGGTCTTCGTCCTCCTCACCTTCGAAGACTAAGACGTCAACACCCAAGACTCATGAGAGTAGCACTTCTACCACGAGCAGCGCGAATTCTAGTTCAAGCTCTTTCGTTGCTGCCTCCACAACATTGGACTCTAGCCCATCTACTACATCTGCAGCCACGTATGTTGGCCAGACAAATACTGGTGCTTCTGCGACTTCAGCGGTCTCGACCATATCCACTAGCGCGAGTGCTTCTTCAAGCACTGCGGCTAACAATAGCCAACAGAGTAACGGCTCTAATATGACAGCTCCCATGCCTGCCGTAGTAGGCGGGGTGGTTGGCGGCATCGCTGGTCTCGCCATTCTTTTTGTCATTACTTTGCTCTTGCTTAGATGGAAGAAGCAAAAGAACCGGGCACTTGATTCCGTGTCGGGCGGGGGTACCGACTACGGTGCGTCAAGGGAGACCATAGAACCTACTGGCCTCTCTGGAGGCGGTATGGTGCAACGGTCGAGCCACACACCGCTCGCAGCAGCAGCGGCGTTTGGAACAAACGGATTACTGAAGCTCCTCCGTCCGCTCTCGCAGCAGACCGCAACGACCACTGAGACAGCCCCAAGTCAGCGAGGCTTTGAAAAGATCAGCGGCCGGAAGCTGCCTTCAATCTTCAGCCCGGGAGCAGGCGACGGCTTCCCCACCAGCAGCCGCGAGACGTTTGCAGGTTCATCAATTTACGGGGAGGAACCGGGCTTCTATGGCACCGGTGGTGCTACGGAAAGTCCCTACGTTGATACTGGCGCCTTTGAGCATCAAGTCCATCCTCCTGCAAATTGGATGGCGGAAGAAGTCGCTATGATGCGACCCAGTCCCGGACGGTCACCGGTTCCACATCAAGGCGCTGGTTTTGCAACACCTTCGCCCCGTACGTCTCCTGTTCCAAAGAGACCTCTGCCTCCCGATGGTTTAGGTCGGAGTCATCCCTCGCATGACGGCTCGAGAAGTTCAAGGTTTACCGAGAACATTACGTGATTACGCGTTTCCGACTCTTGACGTTTTCATTTCTCAATCCTTCTCTCTCTCTCTCCATTCTCCATTTCGTTCATGTGCCTTTGACACTTGACCTTTTATCTTTCGACGCCGCAGGCGGACCATTGATATCTACCTCAAGGATATCTTCCTTGCAATCCTCTTTTCTTTTCATTCGTGTAAACCTTTTACAGACACTCAACTTAAGTGGTCTCTATCGACTCTTTTTTACTTTTTATCTTTCTCACTGTCGTTGTCCCTGTCGTTACTTTCCAATCTCAATACCCATCTTATCAGAGTCTTGTTCTTTGCTTTTCTCTTCTCTTCTCTTCTCTTCTTTTTTATCCTTTCCCGCTGTGCCTTTTTTCCTTTCGCATTTTATGTCTCATCGGGTAACGGCGTTCGGGTCATAACTCTGAACCTGTGCTATGGGACATTTGGGACTGCCCGCTTTTCCGCGGAATGTCTCTTCCACATGGTTTATCTATTCGGTTTAATCTGGGTTAAGGTCGGATTTTTGTGAAATTTGGTTAAACCTGTGTCATGGCTGGTCTCCTTTTTCTCTTCCTTCTTGCTTTATATTTTTTTCTGTTTCTATTCTTTTTTCTTTTTTTAACATCTTTCACTATTTATTTTCTTAGGGGAATTTCAGATATTAGTTTGATATTATCAACGAATTTTATCTTGAACCATTTCTTCTCTCTTCTTTCAACACTCATTGTAGCTATGCCTATTCTTTCCACCGACGTAATGGAAATGAAGATTTAAAATTTGCTTTTCTTACGATAGCTTTTCGTGGATTGATGAGGTGATTATTGAGAATTGGCTATTAGTACCGCAACTAATGATTTAGAAGTACCAAAGTGCAAATAGATTCGACATTAAGATGCTCTATCTCTTTACTCTGCGTTTCTCGATTAAGCTGTCTCCCGCTCCTAGATCTTCAAGTCTTTATTCTGTGCACACACATACATACACATACATACACACACGCTCTTTTCCAAGAAAAGCTCTAAAAGAAAAAAAGCAGACGGAGCGAATGAAACAGATAGACAGATAGGAAGAAGGGAATAACTTATACAGTGCACGAAAATTAGAATTAACATTCATCAAGCTCATCAAATGTTTTATCTTGTCAAAGAGATCTTGGCAAAGATATCATAGAAGAAAAATAAAGAAAGAAAGAAATATATGTCTCTTCCCATGCAATTGAAGTAAAAAAATCGTCGACAGCTAGTGTTTCGCAACAACAACAACAACATCAACATCATCAACATCATCAACAACAATCAACAGCAAGACAACACCGCGCCATGCGCCCAATGCCCTATGGTCTAAGGTAAAAAACTTAAGAAATTTCGAGTGATCCTCAGAATCGGAAAATAAATCTGAAATATGCCCCTGATATGAGAAAGGTCTAGACTCCGCGCGGCCAGACTTTCGACAAATAGCGGTTTTTTCCGTCTTCTTTTGGGTGTGTGTTTTTCTCTGGCATTTTCACTAGAAAGAAAAGAGCTTAGAACGGGAATCCACCAGAGAATCCGCCAGCTCTTCTGCTTCCGCCACCCATGCCGCCAAATGGACCGCCACCGGCGCCACCAAAGGAGAAACCGCCGCCACCTCCACCGCCGCCGTTCATCATGTTGAAGAGCATTTCGGGATCGATACGGACGCCGCCGCCGCCCATGCCTCCTCCCATGCCGCCGAATCCGCCGCCCATGCCGCCACCACCAAACATGTCGGCAGGGTCAATGAGGTCTTCACCGCTGTCGAAGCGGGCGCGTTTTCTGCAATAACAACATCAGTTAGCCGGCTCTAGTATTCTGTAGGGAGATAGCAAATATCCAAAGGGAGGAAAAACGTACTCAGGATCAGCCAGCGTCTCGTAGGCCTCAACAATCTCCTTGAAGCGGTCTGCTGCGGCCTCGTCGTTGCCGTTCTTATCAGGGTGGTGCACAATGGCAAGCTTCTTGTAGGCCTTCTTGATTTGAGCGTCGTCGGCATCCTTGTCGACACCAAGAATCTTGTAATAGTCCTTGCGTTTGCTCTTCTTGAGCTCGAGCTCGGCGTTGCGGATTTCCTTTTGAATGCCGGGCTCGGAGGGGTTGTTCTCGGCAATCTCCTTGAGCTCCTTGACGGCCTCTTCCCAGTCGCCGGACTCACCGAGAGCCTTGGCACGGGTCTTGCGGGCCTTGAGGTAGCTGGAGTCGAGCTCGAGTGCGCGCGTGCAATCGGCAATTGCTTGCTTGAAGTTTTTCAACTGTGGGGGAAAAGGCGTGTTAGGAAACTTGTCGTTCTAGAGACGGTCTTTGTGTGTGTGAGAGAGTGAGGAAAGGTGCAACAAACCTTGATCGAGGCCATGGCTCGATTTTGGAGGAGTTTCGAATTGATGCCCTTGTTCGAGGGGTCCACCTGAAGCGCCTGCGTGTACATGTCGACGGCTTCCTGGTACCTTCGGCCTTGGAACGCTGCATTACCCTCGGACTTCATCCGGTCAAGCTTCTGCACCATGCGCAGGTTTTTGACTGCGTCTTTGAAGTCTGGGTCGCAGTTGAGAGCCTGTCGAAAGTGTTGTAGAGCCTTTTCGTTCTCGCCTTGGGCGTAGAGTGCGCGTCCTCGCAGCACCAGGGCTTCGGGATCTTGGCTGTTTGCTCGCAACATGGACATGGCAACAGTCTGGGCTTCGCCCAGGGCGTTGACATTGCCCATCTTGATGTATGCCTCTCCCCGCATGAGCAGCCATTTCCGGGGCCGAGTCACATTATACCCCAGGCCCTTTTCAGCTTGGTCCAGTGCATGCACCACCAAGCTGCCAGCCGTGCCTTCGTGCAAAGACTCCTCGGCCTGCTTGAGGTGCTGCTGCATGGTCAAAGCAGGCGCCTTGTCTTTGGGCGTGACTGGCGGTGTAATTGAGTCATACACTTCTAGAGCGTCGGCTGGGCGACCAAGACTTGTGAGAACACGGGCCAGCCGTTGCAAGACCTTGGCATTGTTGGGCTCCAATGAGTCGGCGACTTTGCAGTCCTCGAGGGCTTCATGCCACCGGTTCGCAGAGATATAAGCTGCCGCCCGATTCGACCGGTATGTTGCTGACTTGGGATCGGCCTCGATGGCTGTGAGACACACGCAACATTGTCAGCGTCATTCATCTTGGAAAAGTTGTCCTGTCGGGAGATGAGCGGATAAATTTTTCACACACCCTTGGTATATTCCGCAATGGCCTTGTCATAGTCCTTCAGCTTAAAAAATTTGTTACCAGCGGCCTTGCATGCTTCGGCATCGACGGGACCATTGGTGGGCGTCCGGTGCGGCGGAGGTGCTGGGGCACCGTCTCCATTGACGCCGTTGGTAGCGGGGGACTCGTTCTCGACGTCCATGGGTTGCGGGGTATCATTCATGGCGGACATGGCCGACAACCTCCTCAGCTCGTGTGGAGGAAGATTCAAAGGATGCTCAGTGGGGTCAAAGATATGGCTGCGAGATGATCTCGAGGGTCGCGAATGCCTTTTGCTGCCCTGCGCCGAACTCGGCCTAGAATCTCTGTCCCGAGACGATTTGGAGGGCGACTTTTTTGTCTTAGACGACGGTGGTGGCGGCGAGGTCCTGGAAGTGCCGTTGTGGGAGGCCGCGGTGTTCGTAGAAGAAGGGATGGTGCGGGAATCGAAATTATTCTTTTTCTTGGGGGATTTGGTGAAAAGATTCGGCAACATTAGAAAACGGTCGCCTCGACAAAAGGCGTCACAGATAGAAATAGGTTTAACTCCCACGGCAACGATTAGCGGGCAAAGGCGAGATTATTGAACTTTTGAACATCCACACACTGCTTATCATTTCAGTTGAGTTTCAATTCATGAGTCTTGGAAGTAATGAAAAAGATTTTCCTTCACCTTGTCCTGTCCTCCTCTTGGAAATTGTTCAAATGTCTCACAAGGAAATCTGGGCAACCAATAATACTTGGAAAGTATTGCAAGTACCGAATACGTTTCTTTCACTCAGGCCGGACGGGCTCGGGTATCAAAGCTGCAACCTTCTTGGGAGAGTGAGCAGAACGGGGCCGGGAGGGGCACACGCGTGAGTATAAGAGAATTTAGTGCAATTGTCCCTTTTTCTCTCTTTCTCGGTGGCTGGAAAAAGTTTTTGGCGTCCTCCCTACTCCGTACCTGTTCCCTAAACAAAGTTCAGGGCCAAATGTTGAGCGTTGCTGTGGGGGGAAAAGCGTGTTCCTTGAGCCATGGAAATTTGTGGTGGCCGGTGGTGGCTCTTCGAGAACCTTCCACCTTGAGAGGACTTGTTGTGTGCAAAGTCCGGAGTAGTGTATACCCGCTTTCTCTCATGCTGCCTCGAACGTGAACAACAAATCCCCCGTAGATTTGCTTCTGCAGCACCCCCGCAGCCGTCTGTAGGATAGAGGTACAAAGTAAATCTATTGGATGCTTGGTTTTGGTGCAACTATCATATTGCCGGGGAGATCCTTTACGGTAAACCCCCCAGGGTCAGCCATCCCTGGGACAACCTGCCTGCAGCATTATTACGGATACTGTCTCGTTGAACTAATTACAATCGGAGAGGGGAATACTAATGCAGCATCTCTCCTGCCTTTCTCTCTCTGTGTCTCTGTATTTTCCGATAAGATGTGGCACTATCATTTAAACTTGTTTGGAAAGCATGGCCGACATCATAGGTTCGTCATGTCACCATTTAGGGTTGAACGCCTTTGAATGGCTTTCGCCTTCCAACAATTCCGCAGGAAAGAAAATAATATAATTATTTTGCATAAAACATAATATTGTAACTAATACAGCAGGCACATCTAAATTCAGTTCCAACCCACTCACTTACTAGAGATACAAAAGGGTGCCTACGAGTGACAAATGGCTGACAAGATAAATGCACTCACGTATGGTTGCTTTCTCCGTGGCGATCACAATCTCCGACCTTTCCAGTCAAAAGTATGAGGTGTAACTGAACAATGAGGCGTCAGCGGAGCCTGGAATAGAGACCTACCGTATGCATTGGCAGCACTCCACGTCTCTTCTTGGAAGAAGCTCGCGATAAAGTCCATTGGAATCGGTGAGTAGACGACAAAAGTCTGCTTCAACTCTTGAAGATACTCAATTCGGCCAGTCATGAGTCCATCGGCGCAATCGAAGCTAAGATTGATTGGCTGGATTTTATTGCCAAAAGTAAACCGTTCCCAGGAGCTTCCGAGCTCTGGTTCTGGCTCGTAGACTCGAAAGTAGGGCTCAATACCGGGATAGATCAATTGACGCACGGCGTGTACCGTTTCATGCGCCAGGTTGAGCGCTATAAAAAACTGAAATCGTAACTGATGGCACAGGCTGCACGTCTTGTACTCTTTTTCTGCGAACTTCTGGAAATTCTTGTCAAGAAGAATTTCCTGGCCCGGAGGACTCAATTGTGTGTCCGGGACCGCGGTGGCAAAGGCATCTATATCATCATGTCGATACCAACCAAGCCTGATTTTTCCTGCGGCGCCTGTTAGCAGCTCAATCGTCGTGTCGAAATCAGATTTGTCAAGGGGAGGCGGGATTATTACATTCCAGTTGACATCGGCCCTAAATTCCACTTTCCCAAGCAACACGGTGCACCAGTATTCTAGACAACTTTGATGAGTGAGAAAATAAGACGCCAAACGGAGAGCGGGCTGGAGGATCTCATACAGTTTTGGAGTCGTATGCGTCCAATGTTTATGATGGAATATCGGATGGATTTCACAGGAGAGATTTGAGCGTTTGACATTGGGATTTTCGAGTACCTGGGAGCTGACTAAGTCGGATCGGTGCAGGCATTGAATAGATATTTCCGAGCTTTTATTATCGCGCATGATTGTCGATGGAGATATTTGTATAAGTTTGGCTTTTGGAAAGATGCACTTGTGCTTCCCGTGTCAGGGCAAATATTGTGCAAACACACCATTACAGAAGCTTTTAAGGATCGTATGAACAGAGAGAGTATACCTACTCGAGCTTTTGATGCTTGGGATTGATATAAGAACAATAATAGGAACGGCGATATAAGACACACACCAACAAAGAACAGCAAAACAACAGTGTGAGAGATGCGTGACAAAGCCATTGTATCTTAAAGCAAAGAATCGAACAAGAACTGGGGATCATATGAACAAAGAGGAACAACACGAAAACGACGAGCGTATACAGGATTCCGTTTGAAGAAACAAATGTACAGAGGACAAAGAATCACATTCCTTTATCGGACTCGAGAAAGTTTTCTTCCATTTTCTCATGCCCTGAACAATGAATGAAAGCCATCATATGCGGGGAATAAAATGAATGGTTGCATTGAAGGATGAGTAAAGCGCAGCTAATTGACGCGTTCTTTCCCAACCGGTACAGGTGTGTTTGGATTGAGTGAATGATGGCTCTCAAGTATATGAATCCCCAAGATTCTAATCTCAAGAATCTCAGCCAATGTTAAATTACGGTCGCATCGTTAAAATAACCTGAATATGGCTGACTGGAAGTATGGAACAATCCTCGACAATGCTTGAAAACTTCTGACAGAAAGCAGAGAATTCCGCGATCGAGCCAAGCAGCTCAAGCCAGACGAGGCCATCAAGCCAACTAGTTACTGGGTCGGAATCCTTAAACACGAAAAGGAGCCCAGTCAAGCCTTAGCAGAAAATGACTTTGTATGGGCCAAGTGTCATGGAGTAAGTAACTTGTCGTGATGTCTGTTGTTCGCATTTGCTAAATTTCATACGCTGCAAGAGAATCACCTTCCAAACGCTAAAGGCTGAATATGAAAAACTTCATTTCGTGGGCGAGACCGTAATTCTCAAAGACGGGTTTGCGGAGATTTCTGATAAAACGACAGTTGCAGAGGCCGATTTGTACTCGGACAGGCATATAATTGTCCGAGCCAGCAAAGCGGCCTCAGTCTTCAAGCACGAGGAAGTTGAAGCACAGCCATTAGATTAGTTTCACATAATTATTGAACTTGGTTGTATTGACAGTCTTCAATACATCCTGGGATTTCTTTGAGAAAACGCAGTATTGTTGCAATTCTTCGTGAGACGTTGAATGTGTCTTTGGCGTTATGATGCGGAGAGAATGCTGCTAATGTCCAAATAAAGTTTAGCTCCCGTCTCTGTCATCCGCCATTACTCCGTACAAGTTTAGCCACCAGACTTGACAACCACCAGCTTCACTGGATTGACTTATTTTGACTTCCACATCTGAGCCATTTAATTTCAATATATATGTATCATCAATAATATTGACCACTTTACTAATTCCCACAGTCATCTCACTATAAGGATGATGAGGATTTCTCAACACGCTCCGATCGTCGGCGTGGGCGAATTACAAACTGGACGTTCGCCATTTGCGTCCACATTTCTCCCCCCCCAAAGAATGATGCAATGGAGCCCCGTGGCCATGTTCCTGCTCAGGCCACTGTAGGAGCAAGAATGAGTAATTCGTCTTCTACCTGATTGGCCGTTGTTGAAGCCAATCCATATTCAGCTTCGTTACGGTAGCCAAAAATTTTTTACCTGTCAGGACGTTCATGACCTGACATCTGGCAATTACATTTCCTGGAGCATTTCCGAAAATGCCACGTAAATGGAATCTGTTATTAATCAGTAGGGTTCTTCTCGTCATTATGGAACTCTCATCCTTTTCCCTTTCCTTCCTCCTTGGGCCAGAGGTTGAAAGTTGTTTTGAAGATGCTGACCTGGTTGGATATTGCGATTCTCATATTCTCCGCGCAGGTGGCTCTTGCGGGCGATGCTGTAAAGGCAGTGACCGCTTCAAAAGGGCTCTGGTGGAGATCGTTCAGTAACAACACTGAATTGAATGCTAACACAGTTCCTCACAATCAGCCCAACTCCCTTTCGTCTACCATTGGGAAGACGAGTTCGAGCTGGCTTGGAAACTCTACCATTAAAGAAGTATGTGCTTCTTCTTACTTTAAGAAGACCGCAAGAAATTATCTTGCATCAGACTTTGGGGAATTCTACAAGAGCTGGGCTCGATCGGCCCAGACGCAACCACACAAACTGAACAAACTTGGTGAAGCGGGCTACTTTGCATTTAGCCAGGTTCGTGGGTGGGTAGGGTTTGAGTGCGGAATTGAACACAGAGGATGCGTAAATATGCCAACATGTGAGGATATTCTTCTTGCAACTGAGAGCAAAGATCTTGCACGCAAAATTTATTTCACGGTGGAATCGATGGACAACGCCTATTATTATGCTGGAGAGTTTAAGGTGAGTTCTCTTTTCGGCTGATGCATGATCAAACTACCCCCACTGGCGGTGTACTTGCTAACAGAGTCATTTCTCTAGCAAGCAATAACTACATCTCGCGTCGACATCGCTGAAATTAGTTTGCTTGAACGGAAAGTTATCCCGCATCACCAGAATGAATATGTGGCATGTTTCGTTCTCAAGTCCACTATTGACAGCATTATTGAGCTTGCCGGACGGGTAGCACTGGAAGTACTTGATCCGCCTACGCAAGTGATTGGGCAAGCATATACTCGGTATTTGTTGCCAATGAAGAATTATCATCGGTCAGGGAAGCACCTCAGTATCCATAACTATAAGGTAGATTATCAGTATGTGCGACTGTCTTCCCTGGATACGAACCTGGAGACAATTGAGAACCCATGGTATGACTGGCCACCATATGTAGGTTACTCGATCCATCCACTGGCTTGTTTCCTTCTGCTAACCTTGTATACCTAAGTATCTTGGTCCTTCATTTCGGAACCATACTTGCGCAGACGTTGTACCGAATCCAAAAGGAGAAGTCTACGTCTCTTACGCCCGTTTTCGCGCCATGATTCTCCGAATACATGATTTAGCGATAAACGAGGTTCAGAAGCGAATGATAGATGTTAAAAATGGGTTAGGCTTTGGCATGAACGGTATGTATCAAACTCCGTAAACTCTACGCGGTTGACTGCGCCTTTTTTGGTCGATGTAGTTTTCTAATAATGGCTGAATCTTCCAGGTAAAATGGAAGGAGATGACTATACCGTGCTCGCAGATCTTATCAGCACCGGAATCTTCTTAAAGCGCAAACCTTCTGATGACGAGACACGATTCAGGCTGAAGGAGTGAGTTGCCACTTCGTTGCTCATTACCTGTTTCCGGGACTTTGGCCCTTACCTGGTCTATACATTCTGCCTCTGTAATCCTTACTAATCTCTGTCATTATGAGTGAATATCTTAAATTTATAATGGGTGTATAGCCAAATTAGCTGACCATCTCTCTGCTTACAGCTATTACCGCTCCAAACTCACGTACAATCTTCTCGCTGGAAGCTGGCGCGCACACAATTGCTATATCACTTGCGAATACGACACCACATGTGTGCACAAGGGACCCTTAGAACCCATGGCTTTGTCGAGATTTTGCCATTCACCAAGTGAGAAATGCCAAGCTCAATGCTGGGGACATCGTCGGCGCTCTAAGAATGAGATATTGCCCGGAATACCCGCAGTTGAGGCAGAGCCATGGTTCGTCAACGCTACAAAGTTACTCGTGTATGCTCGTGATCATTACGAAGCTACGCATAATCGGGAGCTCGAAGTTTCCAACCAGAAGATATTCACACCGAGTGATTTTCCAATGCGGCCAAACTACCCGATCCCTGTTTGCAGGACGCCCTTTCAGCTGGTAAGTTGCTTACTTCCTTTGGTGTCATCTCACTCTACATTTTGCCCATGATTCCCTTGTTCCCTTACAGCTCCCCACGTCATTATATGCCGCGGCATGCACTACTTTGTTTGGTCGTAACCATTTATTAACCAGCCTCGTAAATAACCTTAGGTCGGCGATGTCACTGTGCGCCGTCATCGCAAGGACTTTCCTTGCACATGCGGCTTTCTCGGCAACGAGAGCACACAAGTATTCGAAGCCATGGGTGTACCCTGGTCTAAAAGTGCACAGCGGCGCTTGATCAAGAAATGTCCTGCGAAGCTCGAAAAGATGATCAAGGGACCCGCCGAATTCTTTGTGGCGATGTGCAACGCCAAGCTTCGATGGCCAGATCAGAGCGAGACCAAGCACATTAAAAAGGGCAGAGACCATCAATGCGGCCCCATCATAAATGAAGTAGATCAGTTGCTCGCCGCAGGTCGAAATATGTCAGAGATCAACAAGTACTTTTGTCTCCAAAGCAAAGTCGGGAATGAAATCCAGGGCGATGGAAATCACGATTGGTTAGGCATGGACCACGTCAAAGGCTTCACTGAAAAGTGTCAGTGGTATTGGACACATCGAAAGCCTGGTGATGCATGGTGGAGTAGGGAATCCGGTCCAATTTAGGCATTTTCCCATCTGTCTCGGATTCTTATTGTGAGTTTGCGTATGGGCATGAAAGGGATACAAAAGGGATAAATGACGACAATTGATGGGAGTTGGGTATTTTTATTTTTATTTGATTTCATTTGATTTTAGATCAAGTTTGGGTTCTAATTGGGTTATTACCTCTCCGGGATGGATCAGGAGGAAAAGGGAAAAAAGTGGTCAGAGACCTTTAGAAAAAGGGTATGCTTGGAAAATTTGATGATATTGTGTGTATATTCGTGGAGTTACTCATTAGAGGATTCATTGAGTTAAGATAGTAATGACTAGACAAAAATGGGACTAACATGCCACCTCCTTTCGTCTGACGGTGCGATCAGCTTGGGAAAAAGTGTAGAAACTGTGTGACTGTAATGTAGAAATATATTTACTAGCCGTGGATCTTCTCAAAGTACCCCTTAGAGTCAGTGGGAGTAGCCTTGATGGTCTCAGCACCGGGGTTCTTACACGAGGGTATTCGCTGTAACAAAATCGAGGTATATAAACATCAAAGACTGTACTGAAAAGTCAATCGTTCGTCACCGCGACGCACATCCCAATCTATACCGCTATGAGCCTGGCCCTCAGTATCGCGATGATCCACCACATCGTCGGACTGCCTATGTGGACGGGACAAGCCAGCACTGTGCTCGATGGTACTACTGCCGCTGCTGCTGCCGCTGCCGCTGCCGCCCCCACCACCAGGGATAATAAAGTCTAATAAATAGCGGAGCTTCAGAGTACGACTGACACTTGCTCTCCGTCCAGCCTGTGCGATACCCGTACCATGATTCCACTCTTTGGCCACTTGCTCAGATGAACACTGCGCAACGATACGGCGCCGACGAGCATTCTCACGCAGAAGAAGCCACCAGAAAATAGCATACCCTGCGAAGGAAAAGAGTACGAGGCAAAGCGTGACATAGAACGGCAGGAGGTAGTGAGGAGCAAATCGCGGAGCGAAGAGCAGTGCGGCAAAAAGGCCTGCTAAGTTGCCCCATCCGTTGATGCCGAGCATGATGGCACGTTTTCCGGGCTCTGGATAGCTATTAGTCCTGAGTTTCTCACGGTAACCAGAGTGTTCAAGCTGTCTGCTCTGGGGATTTCGAAACTGACCTTCTATATTACCAGCTAACCATGCGACGGTGAGTGGGCTAGCGATATAACTGCCGCCGAGCAGGACGCAGAGAGCAACGTATCGCGCGCGCAAGGCAGATTGTGGGAGCAGCACTGTGGCAATCAGCCCGAGGAGATTAATCCCAAGGCCGCACAGGATCGGCTTGATTCGTTGTTCAGACTTGTCGCTCCACCATGTGAACAGCCATAACACGAGCGCTCCAACGACAAAGGGAGGAACACTAAGCAAGTTTGCGTGAATGGCGTCGACGTTGAATCCTTTTACGACGAGAGGCAGGAACACGGAAAAGGCAGCGACTGGTACACTCGAACAAATGTTGATGACGAGAATGAACCAGATCTTCCAATCGGTGATGGCCTCGAAAATGTCTCGTCGTGATAAGCCCTTTTCAGAGGCAGTGACAGATCCATTGGACATGGCTCTATAGGGTCTCTTGATGGCTTGCTCATCAGACACGGAGTCTTCGCTTTCGCGAAGAAGCGTCTCGCTCTCAAGCTCCTCTGAGTTTCTCATCATGGCTTCTTCGTCGTCAATAACCTCGGAGCGGCAATCGCTCCCTTCTACTGACACTTTACTGCCAGCAGGAACGGTATATTGTACGACCACGTCGCGATCCGTTTGCAGTCTTGCTTCTGCCCATCGACGTTCCTCTTGGCGAAGAAACCAGGCTCTACCGGGCGTAGGAGGAAGCCAAAAAAAGCTCAAGATTGCAACGGCCATGGTCAGCAGCCCTTCTACAACGAAAAGGATTTTCCATGCCGTCCATTTCCCAGTCTCTTGGGAGCTAGATGCTTCCGTTGAGCCTGCAAGGTGACTAGGATACAGGCGGAAAACGACAAAGGACAATAGTCCGCCAAGTGCACCAGCGACTGCAGATTGGCCGTAGAAGAAGCCCAAGCGCCGGGCAAATTCGTAGCGCGTGTAAAATAGAGACAAATATGAGACAACGGTTGGATAGAAGCCGGCTAAAGCAAGAGTAGAAGTAAGCTTTCTGTAAGCTTGCGTATCACATAGATGAATACTTTGATAAACGGATAGAATATACCTTCAAGCGCGGCAATGACGATCCGTAGTGTAATCAGTTGCCATCTACGAGCGATGAAAATGTGCAGCACGGTGCATAATCCCCAAAATGCCATGCACCCCGGAACCCATCGCGTCATGCCAAATTTCCTGCCCGCAGCAGCTCCTAGCGGCTGCAGAAAGACGAAGACTGCAAAGAACCAGGCGACAGCGGTATTAAGATCATCCGGCTGTAACCCAACATCTCGAGTAAAATTTGCGGTTTCAACATTTCCAACATTAGAGCGATCAAGAGAGTTGAGCAAGAACAACAGCGAAAGCACAGGAAGTAGAAGCAGGTCTAGTTTTTTCACCGTTTGGCGACTCAGGGATCTAGAATCGGTAAACTCCATGGAGTGAGAAGCCCTTACACTTTCGTGTCCCCAAAGACAGGACAATGCAGGGTTCAGAGCGCCTCGGAGCTGACTGGAAGAGTCAGCCCGGAGGCTCACATGGAAACGCTCGTAAAGAAAGTCTTTTGGAAATTCGTATCTGAACTTTAAAATCGAGTTCGGTGTTTTTCTTTATGCTATTTTCCAGTCTTCGCTCTAATGTGCTCTCAGGCTGGAGTCTAGAGTGAATAATCTCTTCAGCAATCACCAGATAATCCTGGGAAATAAACATAAGACCCTTGATAGCCCTAGCGATAGGGGTCCAGGGTTGACGTCAAAAGTGGCCGCTTATCATAAATCTGTCACGTGACCGACAATCCGCTTCATACATGCTTTGGCTATGAATATCCTATTCGCTGCAAGTTAAGAAACCAATATGTCTGTCCAAGATAGAACTAAAGAGTAAATAGTAGAAATATGCCAAAAATACACAAGTGTGACCGAGTTGTAGCACCCATAGAACCAAAATTTGAATCAAAAGTCATGCCAACAATCAGACTTTGCAGAGCGAACGCAATATCAATCACGTACAGTTACAAACCCAAACCGTGCAACTGGGCCGCATCGGGAATTTGGTCCTTATTTTTTGCTTTTGCTTCGATGGGAACGTGGGAATCAATGTCGGCAATATTGTATCTCTGCAAAATTCGTCGAGCAACGCCCTCACCGCTCCAATAAGCGCCAGTCACAGTGCCAAGAGCCACAAAAGGTGCCGTATGCTCGCCTGCCAGCCACACGCCGCGATCTGGCATGCCTTCACGCATGACTTCAATATCAGCATCACCAGCCGTTAAGCCCACTTGGAAATTACAATAAGAGCCATTTCCGGCAAGCTCATCATTGCTCCACGTGGTGGCGAGAAAAGCTTTGGGTTTGCATGCAGGCGACGCCGCTGAGTAATTCGGGAGTTTCGAATAGTACGGTTGGAAGAATGCGTCCAGAGCAGCTTCGAGCTCAGCATCTGGAGTCGAAGTGACCAAAGTTGTTATGTATTTACTGCAAGCTCCATAGATATAGAAGAGCATCGTCGGATGTGCTTCTGTTGTTGGGAGTGCAGCCAGATTAACTGCTTCTTGGCCCCACTGATCAGGGTTGACGGACGCAGCGTACTCCGGATGAATCCACTGGTTGAAACCAGGAAAAGAAGTGCCGTCTTTATCCTGACTTGTGGCATTTTTGGATGCAGAAGGTTCCCAAAAAGCCGAAGGGAATGTAACGTAGACCTAAATGACCAATTAGTCACCAACCATACAATATCATTCGCAATGGAGCGACCTTTTCGAGTGTTCCGTAAGATATTGAGTCAATTGCTTCACTTAACCTGGGAGGTAATGCAGGAGAAAACGCGTCTTTGTATTTCTTTAGCCAACCTAGGGGAGCCGTCATGACGACTTCGTCAAATATCTGCGACGCACCATCAGCGGTTCTGACAGTGACTAATCGTGCTTTGCCATCTGGCCCACTTAGAGTTTCGATGGAGATGACGGTCTTTCCAAACTGGACGTCTGCTTCGGCCAGAGCGACTTTTGCAACAAGCTGAAGGATTGCTTGATAAGTACCGGCAACGAAGAGATTCTCCCCTTCTATACATTCTTCAAGCCAGAAATACTTCAGACTTTGCCGCTCAATGGAGCTTCCTACGAAAGCACCCCACATCTTAGCGATTCGTAAAATGGTCTCCCGCTCTTGATTCAAGGTCTCCAGAGTGGCAGAGTCCTTGGAGTCTGCTGAACGCTCTAACACGGCTTCTCTTGTCTTTTGCTTAAAGAAGTCCATCAGACTTTCGGATGGCTCTATCGTCGCCGAATGCTCGTTGCTGTACTTGAAGGCATCGGCAATGATGCTCCATACTACCTCAGAATAGTGCGTTGCTCTCTGATCATCGACAAGATTACCTTCCTCGTCAAAGAGGCTCTGACGTTCACCCCAGGAGTGTAATGCAGTCTTGGTCTCCCGGGCAAGATCTAGAATCGGGTTATGATCTGTGCCGTGAATCCAATTTGGCCCACTGAGCATTTCACAGTCAGATTGATATTTGTAACAGGTGAAAGCTGCCACAGAAGAAAAATAAAAATGCACGATAAACAGCGTCGAACCTACAGATCTACCAAATGTCCAAGCTGCTTGCTTTGGTGAACCTTTTTAACCAGTTTGAGCCGGGAAAATCCATATGATGATAAAGCGGAACGAGCTACTACTTACTCTTCCACCCACTCTTTCGCGGCCTTCGAATATTGTACATTTCACTCCGTGTTTTATCAAGACCTCGGCACACCTCAATCCCGCCATACCTGCGCCAACAATGCAGACGTTTGGCTTGCGCCCTTGGGTGACGAGCCTTCTACTGAACATGTCCGGTTGATCAGAAGTATCTACGCCGGATGGTGTGCTAGGATGGTGGGGACTTTTCGACAGATCCCTTTCGATTCGCGACATGCCCTCGCCGTTAGAGTTGCGTCCACGTGAGCCGTTGGTATTGCACTCCATCTACGGCTGATCAGATGGAAGCCAACCAAAACCTAAGTGAAAATTAAATAATTTACTCTCAAGAAAGGAAAGATAAATTAAAACAAAAGCTTATAACGAGAAATTATCTGAATGAAATGGACTGGAAAAAAAGAGGATTGTGCCGGACAAAACGCTGCAACAGGGAGGCAGGGATTGTTACAACGGTGCTAGGTTTAGAGATGATCCCGAGGCGCAGACAGGCCAGAAAGAACAAGTAAATCCGCAAATGTAGCAATAGAACAATTTGTTCGAGCAGGACAGATAAATTCACAAATCCGTGTGGCAAACAGAGAAAGATATACAGAGGGTAGACTTTGGTCTCCGCGCTCAATCCAATCAAAAAGCAGCTAGTGTTACGCCGAAGGTAAAGTGCATCTGCATCGATCTTTGTTGAGTTGAAATAAGTCGGGCTTACCTTTCAGATTATGCGGTTTCCCTTTGCTTTCAGCTCGTCTTGGTCTGCATTATAGCTGCAGAAAAGCTCGGATATAACTGGAGGAAGCCCCTCCCCGGGCCTGACGCGGGAGGTGTCAGCATCATTGGAAGACCCGTCGCTAACCTTAAGATAAGGTTGATCTTTGGTCCTTGCCTGCTCGGGTTAAGACGGAGAACCCAACAGGAGGAATGCGATAACTGATACCAAATCAGCCGCGAAGAAAAGACTTGTTACACCGCACCGGTTTACTCCAGTATAAAAAGCATTTATGTAACCAACGTATACCCTCATTATCCTCCGTCGGGGACTCAATCTTGATTTCAGCTCCGGGCTCAGAGTAGAAAACGAAGAAACTCTTTCACAAAGTACGGTAAAATCAAATCAATCATGGCCTACCAAACATAATAAATGGTGTATCAGAACATATGACCTAGTTCTCGTCAAAAGATTCTTCCGTCCATAACAGCAATTCTTTTTTTCACTCCCATTCAAAATTTGCACTGCTAGCCACCTTTGTAAGACCGGAATGTATCTATTTATTAAAGAGAACTCTGTATCCCATGATCATGCATCTACCTGTACATATTCAGCTCACTATGGTTTTGGAAAACTCTGCTTGAATAAAGAGCTTTTGAATAGAATAGAATGCCCGCATAATCATCTCATCATCATCACCATCGTCACCATCAACGATAAAACTGACTGAGATCCACCCGTAATATACTCCGTAAACTAATTATCAATTATGATCTCATGGGTGAGTGGGTCAAACGGGAGATGGCTGTATGTTTAGCTCGTGACCTCCATTCGTTCGATTAATCGGCCACTCAGGTCAAAATCAAGTTCCTGCCCATTTGGGTAGTCGCTCCTTCCCTAGAAAGGTCACCGCCTTGGAGAGAATCAATAACGAGTCTGGTCCCCCAAGTCTATTATTGGACCCCTCCGCCAACCCGCGTGCAAAAAGAAAGAATCCCTTTTGTAATTCACAATTGAATGACCTCTCCCATATAACCTGCAAATTTCTCAACAGGATGGTCGTGGAGGTCATTTACGTTACGAGGCACGGCGTAAGTGGAATCATTCGATCACCTTCCCCAACGTCAATAGGCCCCGCCCTGGCTCGTGGTTGGCCGTACGAGGACCAAATTGATAGGAAATGCGCAAGCTGCGACAGGAGCATCTTCACTACCATTCACGATTTTTCCTTTTCTTTCTTTACGAAATGAAGCTTGACTTCATCTATTAGGGAAAGCTAATGTGTAATCGTTGCAGTTCCGTTCCAATTGGGTCGTCAATCCCAAAACAGGGGAATATGACAATGTTATTCCTTCGCCCACCAACATTCCTTCAGACCCTGCCCTAGCAGCATATGGTGTTGAGCAGGCTAGACAGCTGGCCGACCATGTTATGACACTTTCGCCTCCTCCGGAGCGTCTGTATTCGAGTCCATTCTATCGCTGTCTCGAGACGCTGCAACCCACCGTCGAAAAGTTCGCCGCCGCAGGTCGGAAAGTGGGCGAGGTGCGCGGTGAGAATGGAATTGGGTACGTATTCAAGGTTCCATAACTATAAATTCCAGCAGAAAATTGCCATTGACGCTGGCGATAAATCTTCTCTGTCTCTGCATCAGGCTGTTTGGGCGCACAAAATACATTACTTCACGCCGGTCCCACTGACACTGGAATGACCTTTAGTGAGTGGTACGGCACAGCACGCTTCGACCATCCCTCTCCGGCCAACCCGCCTCTCCTACGTACCTTCTTCCCAACGTACGCGCTCGATTACCCACCTATAATCATCCCATCTTCGATTGGAGAGACTATTCCTGAGCTGCACGACCGGGTGGCATATGCGCTCGACCGGATGATCGCGGAACTAGACGCGGACGAGAGTCAACCGAAAGCAATATTGCTCTGCACTCATGCTGCGCCATTGCTAGCCATTGCACGCGCCCTCACTGGACAAATGCCCGAAGACATCTCAGCGCAAGATTTCAGACCTTTCACATGTTCAATGTCGAAATTTGTCCGCAGACGTCGGCCATCTCAGCCATTAGCAAGCCCCGTCGCAAGAAAGACGCAAATTGGGGATGATGGTATTCCTAGCGTCGATTGGCGGGGCGGGAAAGGCGTGGGTGGAGGGTGGGACTGTGTTGTGAATGGAGATTGTTCTTTTCTAGAGAATGGCGAGGAGCGAGGATGGTAAGTTTTGAGATTTGCGTTTACCTGTCGCAATTATCTGCAGTTACTCCTGTTTCCTTGTTTTGGTTCTTAGTTCACTATATCCTTATCAGGTCGGCGTTAACGTGTTACTTAACAGGTATTTCTCCGGCGATGAATCCTTCCCCACATCACCCAACCAGTCAGGTGCAACTCTCGATGCCGGTACCGGATTGGGCGTGGTTGTGGAAGGACGAGGGAAGGCCGCTCTATGATTCGGATACGCGTTTCAATCTCTGATGCTCCGCAGTGATAGAAATTCTTTTAGCGCATTCACATCACCACCCGAAGAAGCTCAGGCATTTTCTTCTTTACGGTTGCCATGACTGAGACATGAGCACGCTTCAACCTTTTTTTGGCCTCTCATAGAGCTTTTTAATCTTCATACGCCTTATGGGTTTTCTTTCAACATTGCATAGCGTCGCGTCTGGGCCTGGTAAAGAGGGATATTATATAATGCGGCAAACCGGGCAGGAAAAGGTAGTGAAAAGAGTTTATCCTTTGTTGCATTGTCTTGTGTTTTCAGGAAGATATCCTCATCATCATACACGGTTTCTTTCTTTCTTTCTTTCTTTCTTTTTTTTCTCAATCTCCGTTCTGCAACTACAATTTTTTTTTTCTTCTTTTTTCTTCACAGATTTGTAATTTCCTTGTTTTTATTATACACATTTGCATGTACAAGAACGAGCATACAAAATATAATTGGGATGAGACCATTTGATCTACCAGCCATTCGTCGTACTACCAGTGGATTCAGATCTGTCTCTCTTTCTGTGTATGGGTGTCTGTTTATCTATCTGTCTGTCTGTCTTTCTGGCTGTGTGCCTTTCCGGCAAAAGTTCAAGTCGCGTCCAAGCGGTAACTAACTGAAATGCAATGACTACAAACGCTGATGCTGAACGACGGGGATATTTACATTTTGTGTCATGGTCTTTTAAACTTGTTGACCATGCGCGCAAGGGGAAACCAAGAGGAGAAAAGCCTCTTGCAGAAGAAAATGCAGTGTCAAAGTACAAATGCTCTTTTCCGACAAACGTGAATTGAGAAACCTCACATTAGGAGGAAAAATTGCATGTCCAGAGGCTCAGCGGAGAAGAAAAAAGAAGGAGAGGAATAAGGAAATGAGATGCAAGAGGAAAAGCAGGTACAAAGGACAAGAGAACTATGTACAAGAAGAGAAAGGAGGATATCTTATCTGGGAAACTAAACAGCAACAGTGATCCGTTTGAATGCAATTTGTTTCTCAGTCTAGCAGAGCGAGGCAGGAGGGCGCGCCCTGGAGAGGAGAAGAGGGGGGGAGAATGCCAATCTAGATGTGGCAGGATGGCAGTATGAAAGGAGAAAAGAAACCTGGATATTGGGGTATATTTCTCAATTGTAGAACTGTATCTGTATTAGTTAAAGCTTCAAAAATAATTCATCTACGATATGAGCTGATTAACGTAAATGAAGAAAGAGCATTGAGCGGGAACAAGGAGATAGATTAAAGAAGAAGGAGCATGGAATGGGAAGGCGAGAGAATATGGAGAATCAAGGGAGGAGGCGATTACATACCAAGTTACATATCCACATTACCACCAGACAAGTTATTAATCTTGTCTTGAGTTTACTTGGCAGAAATTTTCTCAGGATGCCTTTTCTTCTGGAAGGCGGTAATGGTGGCGATAAGAGACCGTTACCATGACCATTACCATTAGCCAAGATGGCGGAGAAGGAGCCATTGACTTCGAAATTTTGTGTCAGAGGCAAGTCTTTTGGTTGCTTGCCGTTCAAGTCCGCTTCGTAGCCGTACAGTCCTGTGCGGACTTCACTAACCCCCGTAGGATCAATGGAAACGTCGCGCTCGTCCTTTCCGCAAAGGCCAATAAATGACGAGGTAACTGCGGATATGGCGTGCGAAACGGATCCACACAAGCATAAAAAGAGTACCGTAACGACAGCAAATTCTTCCCATCGGCCATTATTACTCCACCCGTAATTGGGGCCGAATAAACCTATTCCCAAGACGCCTTTGCCATCTCCAGCCATCCAGATATGATAATGTAAGGTGAAAATTTCGACGGAGCAGCGACCCAACCAGGCAAAAACAGTAGAGTGCATGTTGCGCAGACGGCGATCTGCGTTGCGTAGAATAGCAAAACAGATTGCTGGGATGAATGAAAACCACCTCATCCATGTATTGTAGTCTTCTGTGTTAGGACCAACGTAAATGACGATGCCGCAAATGATGAGAAGGTTGACGGCCAATAGAATGAAAAAGGCTCGAATTTGTTCAAAGTGATGCCGGATGATGTTATGCAATCTCCTCTCGCGACCTTGTATCAAGTGTTTTGGTGTCCTTGTGAGCCGAACATAGATGATTGCTGTAATCATGCCGGCATAGGCGACGAACAAGTCTAGGCCTAGCCGTAGGCGGAATCTTTCCGTCTTCCAAGAGATGCGGCAGGTGTACTTTAAGACGGTGGAGACAACGTTGAGCGGGCCGGCAAATGTGATGGATATGGTGAAAAGCGTGCCAAAGAATAATATTTTTGCCAGCAAAATTGGGACATGCTCATTGAAGGAGGAGCCCGACCGCAGTATAATGAAGATGGCAACGAACCAGAAGCTGAGGAGAGGTGCAAATGGATAGTAGAGGTAGTCGGTCCTCATGATGAAAGGTAAGACGACATTGAAGAAGTTGAGACGAAAAAGCACCGACCCAACTCTGCGCAGAGAATAGTCCCTCGTGGAAAGAAAATAGACCGAGTGTTCGAAACTGAGGAGAAACAAGTAAGATCCCATAATTAGGCGGACGGCTTCATAGACCCAGATCACCTTCCACGCCTCGGTCAGGCGATAGACGAGCACAATCGCAACAACCCAGCCTTTCCACTCATCAGCTACCGCTCTAGGGAGAAACGTTCGTTGAAGAGTACGCTTCTGCATGGCGGATGTGATTCCGTCTGCTGGGACCCGGCGAATAGAGAACAAGCCAAAGCAGACCATCAAGCCACCTAATACGAGGGCTGCGCTCGGAGCATAGAATTTTTGCAATTTCGTGAAAAGAGGCGATCGATCAGCGAAGAAACAGTAAAGTACTGTGAATAATATGACAAGGGTCGATCGAAGCATAGGAGATGAAGCAGCCGTTTTGTTGCCCTTTGAGCCTGTCGTTCACTTTAGCATCACAAGACCACATACAGATATAGGCAGCTTACCTGTGTTTGAGATAACATGTAGAAGTGACACCAGTCCGAGAGATCCAAGAAATCCCAACAACGCGATGGATTGCATCCAATTGGGTCGTCTGTAGCCGCTACAGCAAGTTCTATCGACCGGATACCTTCCTCTGGCGGTAGCGCCGGCGTTGCATCTTAGGTTGAGGACGACATCTGCTCGTCGGTTGGCGACGGTTTCAACAACGTGAAACCCGCTCTCTCCTAATGTCTCTGGTTCGTCATGGGTCATAAGACGGTAACTCCACAGAACATCTAACCCGGGACGCTTGCTGAGCTGATAGAGATATTGATTCATTGCATCAATCTTTTCCGGAGTCACCCTGATCATACGAGAAGGGGACAATTGCTCGTAAACGGGAGTCTCGACGGGCATGATGAAGACTAGGTCATCCGAACCGTGCTCGCCCGGAAGAAGGGGAAATTGACTGCTTTGTTGGGGAGGGAGCGCAAGCATAGGGACAATCGTCTCCATGGCAGTCTGAAACTCAGCTACCGGGTTATGCTGAATGAAACGTGCATACCATAGTCCACCACCAATAATTATCAGCGCAGGATTCTTTTTTGCCTTTCCCGGCTCTCTCAAAGAAGCCTTCGCATTTTGATATTGCAGCAGCTCATTGTGCAGTCTCGAAGAATTGAGATATGGATCCCAGACAAAGTTCAGTTCAACCTCATTGTGCTTGAACATAAGATCCTCCTGTTTCGGCGCTTCGGACAATTCACGATTAGCCCGATCATGATCCAGTTTCTTTGCAATGGCCCAATAAATCTGGCGGGTTGTGGAATCTCCGGCAATAACGACTCTTCGCGACCTGAAGCAACCAGCTAGGCCGCTGGCATGGTACTCGTGTAGCATGCAGCGCGGAGGCTGCCATCGCTGAAAGGGCCGATCAAGAAAATGCTGATTTGGCGGATCGAGCCATCCACCCTCGTTTAATAGTGCATGACAACGATATGGATCGGGTGCATCTAGGAAGGCAAAATTATGTTAGCCAAAAGCTCATGAGATGATGAAACTACCAATTACCTAGAAGAAACCGACGATAAGCAACGGTTAGGAATACGCCAATAAGAAGAGTCCAAAAAACTCGATGCAGCGCCCAACTGGGTCGGGACGGCGGCAATTGCATGCTAGAGGGCGCTGATAGAAATGCGCGCCAAGCCCAGCTTTGGAGAGGCGCGAGCTGAGTATCAGGCCCCGAAGCTGGTCTTCGAACGCGGTCCGTTGATTGTCACTTGAAGTGATGCTTAAACCGAAAAGCTTGCACTGTATTGTAGCATTGGCCTAGACAAATAAATTTCGTTGCATATCCAACAGAGCCGATGAGCTATATCGAAACGACTTGAGTGCAAAAGAGAATGTGTGATTGCTGAGACAATGTTCTGGCCTGGCTTAGAGTATTCCGGATGAACAAAAAAAAGGCCTTAAGAGAGAAAGCAGGCGGTGGTGGAAGATGTGACCATCTATCTGCACAAACAAACAGCACACTCTTTCATAACATCAAACATTAGTTTGCTAGAAGAAGAGAAAGCAAAGTCTGGAAGAGTTAGGGCTGAGGAGGCTCTGTGAGGCTCCAACACTCAAGTTGCAAATCCTGAAGAGCACGAGCATGCTGATGGTTGCGCGTATACTTTTACCATACACCTTGGAGTATAACCTGGTCAAGACAAGTGCTCAGACGCCAGAACGCCCACACGCGCAGACTATCCACATCGTTTAAAAGAGATAGTGCACCCGGGGGAGAGTAGATCATGGACCAATCCGGGTGCAGCTGTCAAGGGCCTTTTCCAAGACTCCACAGAGGAAGGAACGTAACAGGAAGATTTGTGGACTATGCTGACGACATAGGACGTTTCCTTTCCCGGAGGACAATCCGGGACAAAACAGCGGAGACATACTTCGGATACCCTGCTAGCACAGAAGCTGCACGCGACCCCTTACTCAGATGGGTAAGTTCAGGGCTTGGCATTTGGCTTGGCGGCGGATTGAGGAATAACCTGAGAAGCGGGAGAGGGCAAGAACGAAACGAGCGAAGGGAGGACAACTGAGCTCTCGGAGGAGCGAGGGGAGTAAGCCGCCAAGACGCGTAATGTTGGGTGTGGCTGTTATCGGTTCAGTATAACTAGTTAGCTCAGCCCCAGCATCGACAGGGAAGGAATCCAAAAGCATACGAGTACACTGGGGAGACCCAATTCTAAGCGAGATGTCACACGCGGATGAGATCCTTGGACACAAGTGCCGAATTACATAAGCACCCTCCTACTAAATAAAGTTACCGAAATTTTGTTCACGCAAACTGTGCTGGATGTTCGACAATCAATTAGACAACAGCCTCATCTGCCCAAAACCCCCCCCCCTAAGCAGACGTGAATCAAAGAGCTGGGTTTTGGCAGAAAACACAATGTAATGATCTGGCTTTTTGCTCTGTTATACTGGAACACCTCTTGTCCGTGTTGCCAACAAACGCACTAATATGGATTCTCAAGCCGTCTTCTCCTACTTGGTTGTTTTGTCCTCCCTGCCCTCTTCTTATTCTTGTCAGAACATGCTATTCAATTCCCCGCGCTTTTTCTTTGTCTCCTGCCTCGCTCGGTCTTCTACCCTTCTGTTGGAGGATCTTGAGCTGGATGCACGGTTGGCTTTCCAAGCTGCGCCGCATGTATGAGACTAGACCAATTTATCTTCGACGATCTTTGAGTGCGGGCCCGTCATGCTTTTCTGAGGGCGGTGCTTGCAATTTATCCGTCGAGACATGTCTGAAACAGGCACTCTCTTTTCAACTTAGTACTTCGATCCTGCTAGGATTCGTTAAGCGTCTGCCTTGCTAGTCTCCTTTTTTGGGATCTCAACAGCGTTGTATCAAATGATAGAGCAGCTTGGTACATAGTACGGAATCCTGGAAAGGGATGCGTGGTTCATCTAGCTCTGACACGTCATGACTTCCCATGTTTCAATTTTAGATACTATTGATTAAGATATACAGTTTTTTTTGAGATATGTGAAAAAAAGTTGAACAATTTGGACCACCGCCTAGGGATGCCTCATTAGTAAATACATCAACTATACCAGCCACAGTGGGAATAAGTTTCTGGGCCGGCCTTGTACATGGCCTTCACTACCTAAGCTGGTGGGTCGAGATCAAGCCCCTGGACAGTAAGTTGAAATGCATCATTCCGTGAATAGCTGCCGGCAGCATCAAAATCGAGACGTCCACGCTCACAATCTTCAAAGTCCACCTCTACGGCTAGAAAATCCTCTTCAGCTTCCCATAATGGACCTGCGAGGACCTCACCCATGGGCGAAACGATAGAGGAACCTCCTCGGCACACAAAAGTATCTTGTTCAGGCATTTTCGCAGTTCCATCATCAGCAGAACTTATTGCGCTTCCTAAGGCCTCATCAACGCTTGCCGTTTGTCGAGCATCATGTTCGTCCAAAGAGCCATGAGGCGGAGGCCAAGATATCTCGTGATCTTCTTTCGTTTTTGTCACGATTGATGATCGACGACGTTGTCCAACTCGTCTCTCTATACCATTTCTGGCGGCCCCTCCAGAGCTATCAGAAGAAGTACCGGTAATCCAGTGTGGCAGGTGCTTTTTCCTTACACATTGGTTGGAGCTCAGAACAAATGCTCTGCCCTCGCAACCAATGGTCCGCAGAAGTGGAAGCCATGTATCCCGCGCATCCGCTGTAGGAGCAAGGTATAGATTGATATTCTGTGCATATAGGGTCTGACGCAGAAGTGGCATATAATTTTCCCAGCAAATTGCAGTGCCGATTGTCAGCTTAACGCCTGCGATGTTGGTCGTGATTGCCTTGAGGGTAGATGGAGAACCTTGCGCCCAAACAATCCGCTCCGAGCCTGTCTACACGGATTCTTTAGTAAATCTGGGAGAATTTCTTGAAAGAATGATTCGTGCCGTTCCGGTCAAATGGGAGCTGACTTACTGGCATGACCTTCCTCCGTTTGCCGATCATGCCTTCGCGGGGGCATATGTAGACGGCGGAGCAGTAAAGGCTTCCAGCTGCTCGCTCCACCAAGCCCACAACAATAAAGACCCCAGTGTCCCTAGATATCTTTTCCAATTGCTCTCGAGTCCCATCTCCTCGGGGTTTGCCATCTTTCCCAATCGGCAGCTGCTTCTCAACCCAACGATTGCCAGCTCCGACAGGGGTGTCGCCGAGATCAATGGCGTCATGGAAATAATGCAGGTATTGCTCGCGACCGATCGGATCGCGACTACCAACGGCGCTCCCAAAGCTACAGGTGCGAGGATAACCGCCCAGATATGCTTCCGGGAAAAGTATTAGATGAACGCCAGCGGAAGCAGCACGTCGTGTGATCTCAGCCAACTTAAAAAGCGTGGACGCAGGATCCGAGAGAGTATGTGCTTGCGCGACGGCAAGCTTCAGCTTTTGGGGCATGCTTTCTAATTGCGAAAATTCCTGAGCGTGGTAAATAAGGCAAATAAGGCAGGGTCATCTAAGAAAATTTGTGGATCCGATCCAGTATCTCTATCATTTATCTTGATTCAATACAAGTACACGCCTTGAGCCATCGATTGACAGGTAGAGGAGTCATACTGATCGATTCTCTCGCTGACTAGCTATTACCAGACAGTCCAGAACTAGTGCCTGAATACCTACCCCTACAAATTATAATACCTTAGCATAAATAAATCAACAGCCATGCACTGAAATCACATTTTGGATGATACAATAGATGGAATATATCAGGAAGGACAATCATTACAGACCTTATATGATCCTCATTGTATTGGGTCGATTTTTCAAGGCAAAGTACTACCTCTGAGTGATTTCCAGTCTCTCCGGAGGCATCTTTCTAAATGAGACAAGAATTGCAGTAAGAATTGGCTAACATGAGATATTTGATGAATCATTCTATGTTTAATAAGATTCATTGAATTTTCTAGACTTCAAGTACTAGCAATTAAGTTAAATTCTTCCGGTGAGGTTACAGAATGGACGAGACAAACTCTCGTGGCGCCCAGCCTCCTACACAAGCATTCAACGCATATACACCTGCCAAATAAAGATGTAAGTGCCTCAAAAGTAAAATTTCTGTAGTTGAACGAAATTATTCGTTAGGAGAGGTTCACATACTCTGGAGAGGTTCTGCACCATATATTCAAATATGATAACATACAGTCTGTGCAACAACGAATATAGAATCGGATAGAGCAAGTACTAAGCATTCTACAATTCGGTGTTTTCATGGTTGAGGTAAAGAGTTGAATAGATCCGGGCAGAATAACGTATGCTTGAGCCCAATATCCCGAGTAAAAGATTATCAACCGGCTCATGATAACGAACGAAAGTTATTGCATGGGCAAGCCGTGAAAACAGTGATGAAGTGCCACGGGTAGCATGTTGGCCGGCGAGCTGGAAATCATTCATCAACATAACCAAGCGCTTGTCCAACTTTGACCTTTTGACCTTGTTCCACTGCCCATCTCCATCCTCCTTTTCTTTCACCTCCTTGCCATCCTTCATCAAAGCTCCTTCTCTTACCTTTTGGCGCTTCGAAAACAAGAACAACAGTGCTGCCGAGCTGGAAACCACCCATCTCCTCTCCTCGGGTCAGGGCATGACCCCCTAGGACCCTGCTCGCAGGCGCATAAGTGGCTTCTGAAAACCCAGAATAGGGCTCGCCACGCTTAGCAGCTTCTGCAGCTGCTCGATCAGCTGCTGTATCCGTGAGAAGACTATTGGTCCGCAACTCTCGATCAAAGTTGATTACAATCGAACCAACGTTCGTAGCTCCAACGGGAGTGAAGCTAAAAAAGCCCCAGCGCCACCGGCCGAGTAGAACTACACGCTCGTTAAGTGTGAAGAGGCCAGGTAAGGTTCGCTGTAAATACGGAGAGACACTGTAGAGCTCGCCAGCAAAATGTCGGCGCCGTTCCGCTACCCAAGAGCACGGCGAATGGAATCTATGATAGTCTCCAGGAGCGAGATAGACGACTACAAAGTACAGCGCGTGGTGAGGCTTTGCATCATATGGAGCGTACCAATGGGAAGAAGTATCTCCAAGGGCAAGGTCAGCACGAACCTCAGCTACGGCTGAATTTGTAGCTTCCATTGACGCATCTACAGATTCCGTCGGCTGCCCAGCCTTCTGTGGGCCAGAGAACATGTTTGGGAGCGTGTAAGATATGCCATTCAAGCGGGCAAACTCCTCATCAGCTTTGATTAATTCCTCCTCACCATGTCTGCTCCTGGAATTGCTTTGCTTTGGGGCTCCAGGCACCGAGTCATGTTCAGATTCACCTGGAGGCTTCTGGCCCAGAAGCCCATCCAGGCTATAAGTCATGCCTTTTACCTGCTCGACTTCGCCCTCTTGAATCATTCCATACTGCAGAATGCGGCCATCTGCGGGAGAAAGCAGAGCGTTGTGATCTGGATCTAGCGGGCGCACGCCAGGCTTAAGGGTTCTATAAAAGAACGACGCAAGATTTGGGTAAACGTGAAGGTCCGGCTCTGACACTTCAGACAAGCTGCCAAAATGTGAGAAAGTAGGCGCGGACTTGTTCAGAATAAGGGAACATACTTGACGCCAAATATCCAGGAATATAGTCTAAAGCCGGGTACTCGAAGGTAGTAAGGTATCTCTAACCCATTGAACCATCCCCAAAGCCGCGAGACCGCTTTGAGAGGAAGAGTCGACATGATCTGGACTTGCCTTGAGGTAGTGGTCAGCCTGAACCATAAAATTCACAATGTAATCTAATGTCGCTCACCATGGCCCGCTTGGCCTGATCTTCCTCCTCTTCGGGGGCTGGTCTTCATCTCCAGCTGGAAAAGAGCCACCCTCGATACTCCGCTGTCCTTCTCGCTCTCGCACCTTGTAAAATTGAAGGAGGCCGAGGAAACCTATACCAAGACCTACTGGTATAGGATACCATTGTATTTTTGTACGCTTCAAAGCAGCTGCAAGCCGAGACCGGAATGTCTCCTTTTGTCGCTGATCAAGCCGGCGCGAGGAAAATGTGAAGGTGCGAGCATTGTGAGCGCAAGAGAGGAGGATAAAAGGAGATCGTCCCGTGGCGTTCAACGATGATATCCATCTGTTGGCGTACACACGGTTATGTAACGCAGCTTGGCATGGCAGAAAGCAATGCCGTCCGACGCGGGACGCCGCCATGGCTCAGACTTGATTGAAACAAGCAATTGGATCAGAGCATCCAGCCAGACCGAGCAAAGTAACGAGAATTATGTCGCTCTGTGATGTTAAATCAGCCTTTACAGACACCCTATGCACAAACTAAGTTAGGAGAATGGATTTGCCAGATCGAATTCGTTCAGGATAATCAGTAATACCTGTATAGGCTGATGGATATGACGTCCCAAAGTTTATATAAACTACCAGAGGCCCTTGCACGAAAAACCCCACGGCAACTCCATAATGACTACGGGAGTCCATACGAACCATAAATGCATATAGTCCTGTACTTCGTAACTCCAGAGGATATTTGTCCATTCGGCCGTTGAGCTCTCGCTCATGGCTTTCATGCAGTCTTGAGGATTTTTCTGATTTACAAAGCCTTCATTTGGTCCATCCCTTCTTTCTGGGGAGCTTTCATAATAATACCTGCCTAATGTTTGTTGTTAGCTTCCGTACAGGCCCAAGGCGCTCATCTCACCAACTTCGTTCCTTTTCCGCCCCCAAGGAGCTGTTGTCCTCCGCTCACCTCCAAATTTGAGCTTTATTTACCTGTTTTCAGGTCATCGGTGGCAAATATTTACAGCTCGCCATGGCTTCATCTCCAGGGCCAAATTCATATCCGGGACCTGTTCCACCTGATGACAATCCTGAATCCGAATCTTTCTCGTCTTCGACGCCTCCGACAATGTTCCTTCATGTGCTCTCGCCATCTACATTGGAGGTTCCATCGCAGCTGTCCTTCCCTTCCCTACCGATCTCGACCACTGTAGGCCAACTCAAGGAGAAGATCAGAGATGCAATACCATCAAAGCCAGTTGCTGAGCGACAACGGCTGATATACCAGGGGCGACTGTTAGCCAGGGATACCGATACGATGCTAGATGTCTTCGGACAACAAGCAGTACGTCTATGCACCATCCGGATGATCAATTAATCCATTCTGCTAACGTCAGCCCTAGATTAACGATCCTATATCTCACAAGCTGCATCTTGTGCTTCGACCTGATCGCTCTGAGGATGGCCCTTCTAGTTCACCTAGTCCTGCCCGAGCCGTTTCCCCTATTCCTCCGGCATTGGGCGCCCAAGATCGTCCTTCAGTCGCACCAGGAGCGCCTCTCCCACAAGTGCCGGCAGCTACCGGATCAACGATACACCAGCCTAACCATCGGGCTTACAATAACGTGCCTTTACCTCACGGTCCAATTCTGACGCATTTTCAAGCCAACTTGCCTCCCAATTTGCAAAACATACTTAATCAGCAACTCGCAACGCTAAACCAGCAGCATCCACAACCGCAAATTACTATTTCTGGGCCAACTGGCCAGCCGCCACAAGTACAACCCCGTGGATATCCAAGCTACCAGCACCCGGGGCAGAGTGCACAGCCTACATTTCAGCAGCGCGTTAGCGACCAGCAGCAAGCTCGTGCCTCTGCAGGCCTCCATGGGATTTCGCAGAGCAATTCAAATGGTACTGGTGGAGCACCACCACTAGCAGGGTCAACCGCATCCCACCAACAACCACAGCAACATGCGCCGTTTGAAGCACAACCACAGCCTGGTACATTACCTCCGGGGCCGGCTACTCATTTAAACGCACAAGGTCAGGGCCCAAACGGCTTTGCTTTTGTTGTAAATGAGAGTACTACAGTGATTCCTCACATGGCAGGGAATAACCCTCTCCTGGGACTTGACGGAAGATCGGCATCTCCCCGTATACCGCTGCCTGGCTTGGGCAATACTCCTATCGCAGTCCCGGCAATTGGGCAAGGTCTAGGGGGACATCATCCGTTCCCACAATACCAACGGCCAGCAGAGCAGCATGCTCCTCTAGGTCATGCACATACTCAGGCGAATCATCCACAGGTCCAGCACTTGTTCGAAGCTTTACTATCTTTAAGCCGTCGGATAACTAATCTGGAAAACCTTGTAGCACGCAATCAGCTACCCCTGGATCGCGAGATTAACGATGCACGGCAGCACCCCGGAGCAGCTAGTCATCAACAGTTACAGCAAACCCTTACCAATCTCAATCAGCGAATAAACGATCTGTCGACCCGGGCAGACATGATTCGAAATATGCTAAGTAGACTTCCTGATCCATCTCAAACATCAAGCCGACCTCCATCTTCTCAGCCGATGCAGCAAAGCCAATCAGCTCCTTCGGCAAATGTCCCCACTGCCCCAGATCCAGCAACTGTCTACCTTCTCTCTTCCCCGGATGCCCCACATGCATTGGTACTACCTCCGTCAGGGGGCATCTACGCTTCTCCCATACCAGGAAATGGTCAGCCGGTTCATCATCAAGTACCTCTCGCTCAACCCTTCGCTCGCGGGCCAGCAGTCGTTCCTGTACCGGATCCAGCCCAGCTGCATCAGCAAATACTCAATAATGCAAATGAGCTGATCAATCGTACCCGCGGTAATGGCGCGATTCAACAACGGATCCAGGCACAGCAATTGCAACAACAGCACGCTCAAGTTGACAACGTTGTGGGTCAAGCCCAAGCTCAAGCCCAAGCCCGAGCTCAAGCGCAGAATCGAGGAGGGGGTCGAGAGCTCATGCGTATCATTCTGCCCATCGGCGGCCATCTCTGGCTATTAATCCGTCTCATTGGCGTCATCCTTTTTCTCACGTCAAGCGGCGGTTGGATGCGCGTGATTATGCTATTCCTCGCCACCATGCTGGTTTTTTCCATCCAGATAGGTGTATTCAACCACATCCGGCAAGCACTCTGGGACCCTATACGAAGGCACATTGAAGGTCTGGTTCCGTTTGGGGCGGAAAACGCGGATGAGGATTTCGATGCGGAGGGAGAAGAAGAAGAGGAAGAAGAAGAAGAAGGTCAAGGACGGCCTCGTCGAGAACCTGATCCTCGAGAGGCTGCGGCTCGACTTTTACGTGCGCGACAACAGCATGATCGTGGTAGGATTATGGGACAAATCCGACGCGTTGAGCGAGCCCTTGTACTATTTTTGGGTAGTCTGATTCCCGGCGTGGGGGAAAGACAAGTTGCCGCAAGAGAAGAAGCTGTGGCTGCTGTTCGAAGAGCTGAAGAGCGTGAACGTGAGCGCCAAGAGCGTGACGAAAGAGAAAGGCGGGAGCGCGAGCAACAAGAACATGATCGGGAGCAGCAAGAACAGGACTCGACTCAAGCTGGCGCCACGAATGATGGTCCTGAGAGCAACAATGTTGAGGCTGGCAATGCAACTATCTCTTCGGCTTCGGAGCCTGGAGTTGTTGCTTCTTCTCCTGGCCCATCCGCTGCGCCCGTCGGAGAATCTTCTACTTGACCGCCCCCATTTGTTTCGTTGCATTTCTTTTCTTTTCTTTTCTTTTTCAAAAGATTGCCGCAGTATACATAGCGCTGTCCACGCTGATAGTACTGTTTCATTTGCTTTAAGGGTTTTTTTATCGAATTCTTGGGAGGACAGGAGAAACGTATGGCTTCATTCGCATTCTCTAGCATAGCGCAGCATTAACATAGCGGTCTTTTTAAAAAAGAATTGCACTTTTCTTTATTCAAGAGCGTCCCACTAGGCAGAGGTGTGGCCTATACAACTTTCGTTCTCGCCGCTCATTCATGGAGCAAGAGAAGTAACTTAGCTCTTAGTAACGACGTAAATAATCATGAAGAACGAACTTTGGTAACACTATTCATTGAATCATTTCATCATCACCTTTTGATATATAAATAACGTCTAGCGAAAGGAAATCTTTTGCCGTATTATCCTATCCGTAACAAAGAACGCACCCATTGAGCTATAAAGAACCAAGCCATCCCTGACATAGTAAGGTGACGAAAGTCGGATTTTGGCCGAATGAAAAAGAAACTAGTCGACCAGGGCTGTGGGTATTACCCTGGAAATAAAACAGAATTAATTGATTAATATGCTACACGAGTGCGCATATCCTAATGAAAAAAATATTAGCCAAACGTTCTAGTTTAAGAAAAGAGGCACTCGAAACATACCGAAATCTTGCGCTCGATCTCACGAACAGAACGGTCAAGTTCGGCAGCAATCATCAACTTCTTGTCAGTTGGTAGAAGAGTATAGCGTTCGCATACTGCCGACGAAAATTAGCTAGAGTTATTGCATCAAAGTGAGGATTAGCAAGAACTCACAGTCTCCATCAATGGCGCCTTTAACGGGCGCATAATAGCTGCGATATATCAGGTGATCTCTTCCAGCCAGCGGAGCATCCTCAGTCCGCATGTGCTGTTCCAGCGTCTGGAAGAAGTCGACGTCTTCACGGCCGACAAAAGGAACCAATATGCCGAGGGTACCCTGCAGTCCACTCCACAGAAGCAAATCCCGACCTCCCGCGACGAGTTGCGTCTTGTGAACACTCGTCGGGATATCTTGCGAATAGTAGTGTGCCATCAGAGCCAACCGGTTCGGCGTGCCCTGAAGATAGGCTCGTTCATGAATAAGATGAGCACCCGAGCCTTCCTCATCGGCCTCTTCAGATGCTTTCTGAGGGCAACGAAGGAGCCAAATATTGCCAAACTTGTCGCCACCAGCAACGGTTTCATAGTCGACCATGGCCGTGCATGTGGTCCATCGAGCAATGGAATCGTCCACAAACGGAATCAGTCGGTTCTCCTGGAACTTGTAGACCACATAGACGACACTCTCCTGAACATCACTGACAATAATCCTGCTACCCTGAGTCGAAAGCCCCACAATGAGGTTTGGAACAGCCTGCACCTGTGCTTTTCGCAGAAGCTGACGCATACCAAGGTCGAAGATGCGTAAATTTGGTCCAACGCCAGCGAGCATTCGGCCCTGGAAGGCAAGGAGTGCGTACGGTAGCTCTTCGACTTTGGTTTTGTGGATGAATTCCAGGTCTCTCCCTTCATCTTGGAAGCGGTAGACGTGAATAAAGCCACAGGTGAATGACCTCGGATTTACCACCATGTCTTTTCCTGTGCCAACAACTAAGAAAGGTTCGTCATCCTGACTGGAAAAGGATACAACAGCAACACTGATTGCTGCCTCATTCTCCTCCAGCTCGAAGGACTTGACAACTTCTTTGCCACTGACAGGATCGACAATTTGAACACAAGAGGCCCAATGACCCTGTCCTCGGGGGTATCCAAAATCCTCAGGAGGCAAGACCGTAGCATCTCCGTTAACGACAGGTTTCGCAGGGTCATTTAATAATCGCTCCTTGGTAGCCGGTGACAAAACATTGTTGTCTGATTCAATAACGTAGAACAAAGGCTGTTCGGGATGTCGAACAAAGTGGCGAGGTGTATAAGTGAGAGGTATGCTCTCTTGCAGGAGGTTACTGGAGAGGTTCTCGATAGAGAAGATCCTAGAAGATCGTCAGATCAGGTATGCTTAACAGGAGACTATGCCAGTTAAGAAGAAAATAGCAATAAACTTCAGTAGGAACAATTGGAAAAAATTTAGTTGACTCCTCATTGCCAATGGGCATAAGCAGAGTACAAAGAGTTCTCATCATAGTTATGCAAGAAATACACCGATCAAAAACACAGGGACGTGAGTTGAGAGGGTTGCATTACCTGAGATTCTGGCCTTGAATGCCGACCATACCCTCCAAACATTGCTCGCTGCTAAAGTTCCAACCCCATTCGAGACCGACATAGTCAAGAGGTGTGAGCATGAAGCTCTTCGTCTGCAGATCAGAGTAACCCAGCCATGGCCGAGAACTCAGTGCAAGTACTGATGTCTGGCCCTTCACCAAGACTCTGAACAGTTTGACCGGCTTGGGACCCAGGAAGCGAGTCCTTGTATCCGAGAGTTCTCCAGTCACTTCATCAAGGACAGTTCGTAGGTAGACACCAGAATACAATCCAATGTGGAGATAGAGGGTCGATCCACCCGAGGAAGAATCCGCCATAGACATGATAGACAGAGCGGAAGGGGCGGAGGTCAGCGCTTGCACGGACTTATTCTCAAGAGTCGAATCCGGATCTAAACTAAGGATTCGCACAGTCGAGTCATCGCAGCCGACAGCAAGGAATGGGCTCCGCACTCGACCTTCAGGCACTTCTCCGAGGCTAAGACATGTGACAGTACCACTCATCTCACGTTTTTCGTCATACTCCGCCAATGAGCCATCACTGTCCATCTCGAAGTAAACAATCTCTCCAGAGCTCAGTGCAATAGCGACTTGTCTCTCGTTGGTGGTGGCAGCAACAATGGACCGATGCTGAGGAGCTGGCCACTCGTTGACGCGCCTATCGGCGCGGATATGCCGGATGCCCTTGGGATGGACTTGAATGAGAGCATCCTCGCCCAGCTGTTGCACAGCAAGCGTTGGTGCCGAGGACAGGAATCCAGTATCTGTAACCTCCTCAACGGTTTCGCCAATGCTAAGTACAAGCGTTCCATTCGTGAACGACAAAATGATATAGGCGTCGAATTCATCGTTCTGAGTGAGTTTGGTAGTCCACACAGCCGAGGGAACACTTGGCAGTTCCGATTCAACGATTTCGGATACTTGCAGACCGTGCTTCAATGTACGGAAAGTACTGCGAGCTCCTGTGCCGCAAATGGAATAGATCTGGGGGGCATCTTCATCTGTAAGATTGGCTACCTTGCAGTCCAGCAGAGGATTCATAGAATCGATACTCTCAACAAGATTGAGATTTTCATGCGGGCGAGGATAGAAGAAGACGGGGGTGTAAGGTTCATGAATGTCAGGAGAGAATGAGTCACTGTCAAACTCCTGCTCCTCATCGTCGTCACCGAGCTTCTCGAACTGGTAAAAATGATGATTACCCGTCTCGCTGGCGACGAAGAGGAAACCGCTTTTGAGGATGCAAAGGCTCGTAGCAATTGGCACGGTGTCAAAATACTTGATCTTCAACCGTCTAACCTCGCCCGTGGCCTGGCCATTGTCATCTTCCACCATGTCGATGGTCACCTTGAATAAATCACCATCCTCACTCTGGAGCAGGAAGAAGAAGGCACCCTTCATCCTGTGCATGACACCGGCTGTGATGGATCGTTTCCTTTCCGGGTTTTCTGTAACACCTTTACGTCTAGGGATGGGCACCCTGAACGCATCCTGATTGGAGTGCCTGTAAGTGATGTTGTCCTCAGCGCACACCAAAACTCCACTTGGACCATCGGCGCCACCAGGAACTTGGAAAAGCATGTTTGCAGTCCGGTCAACGGGATCAGACCATTTGCGAACGACATGGTTGAGACCAAGGTCGAGTTCGTAGAAGACGAGGGATTTCTCCAATTCTTCATAAGCCTGACCGGTGGGATCCTGGTCTGATTCAGAGTAATCAACCTCCAATGCAGCAAAGACCGGATTCTCATAACCCACATCCATGCCCACCATGGCAAAGACAAGTGTTTGAGCTTTGTGGGCCTCAAGCGGCGACGAAATAGTGAGTTCGGCTTGCGCATTGCGGTTCAGAACATAAACCAGCTTGTTCTTCTCGACCGATGCAATCAAACATGCTCTACCCTTAGGATCGACAGCGAGATACTGTCCCGGAACAACTCGACGGACTCCGGACTTGCCGAAGGTTTCGAGATGTAACCGGCTGAAACGGTTTTGAGATGGGACGTATTCAAGAATAGTTATACGGCCAGAGTCGGAGCCAACGATAATGTAATCTATTTCTCACGCTCAGCCCAGTTCTTTAAAGCGATTCGGCTTGCAAATTGGTCTCTAAGCTCAGCCAGCAGGCGCGGGAAGTAAAGTCGATCGCGCTGTGGCCCAGACTTCAAAAAGACATCACTAAATGTAGCTTTCCGAGGTTGGAAGGGAGTAGAGCATACCTTTTGAGCTGCCAGCGAGACGAAACGCTGCCAGCGTTCGAACAATGCCAAAGACATCATGCGAAAGAATATCTGTAATCTTGCCCTGCGTTGGGTCGGGTCTGTGCAGAGTCAGACGAGAACCGCACGCGGTTATGATCTGCTGCTCCTTGGTTCCTGCGAATTGACCCAATATAGCTTGCGTGACGGCAGTGGGAGGCTGTATCGTCAACGAATACATAAACATGGACGAAGTCGTCGCCATGATGGGCGGTATTGGTAGAGGGACCGGCCCCTGGGCCTCAAACCCTCTTTTTCAATCACCTCAGAACAACAGGAAAATAGATTTAGCTATTTCCCACTCAGCGAGCCCCTTATCGACCGACAATCGGCGACTGTGGGGAGAGCTTCAGGGTCATTGAAGCAAAGGGTTAAATTTGGAGGATGATGGAAGGAGGAAAAAGTAGAGAGTAGGGTGGAGGGAAGGTAAAGCTTTGGCGAGGTGGATGGAAAAGCAGATTTTGAGGCTCCGAAATAGCTCCCTCTTTTCTCTCGCTTGTGATTGGCTGACGTGGAAGCCCATCAGATTATACTCTCGTACTCTGTAACCTTTCTGTTTTAAATTATCTTGACATCAATTGATCAGCGCATACGTTGCAGAGTGCAAAGACCAGAACAATGCGCTCGGCATATACCTGCCAGCGGTGTTTGGCCCACCTGCGGCCTCTCTCGCGGTCAACTCCTACTCCTATATCTCCCATACGACAATTTGGCCAACGATGCATTTCCACGCAACCAAAGCAGCACAGCAGAAACTGTGCTCCTGCAAGTAAAACCCACTTGCAGTCTTTGAATTCGACTCAGTCTACGAAGCGGGCTTCGTCGACCTTCCCCCAACGTGGCCAGACGGCGGCCAATGAGCCCGTCGAGATTCCTTCGCCCCGGGGATTGGAGCGAGAGCCCATTCCCGCACTCAGCGGCCGCCCATTGCTCAAGCCTGGCAACCTCTTCCACCCCTTCTCTAAATCACCTTCACCAGAGATACGACAGCGTGCAGCATTCATCAAGCAGCATGCGCACTGCCCTCATCCGAGCCATCATCAGAGCAGACTTCCTACGGACCCTGAAGATCCCGAGGCGAAAAAGGCAACTGGTCCGGAAACTCTGCCACCTGCACACGTGGGATTTGAATGCCCCGACTGCGGTATTCCCGTATACTGCTGTGAGGAGCATTGGGCAGACGACTATGAGGCGCATCTCGAAGTCTGTGATACCCTGCGCCAGATTAACGAGGATGACCACGATCTCCGCTCTGGACGCTTCTTCCCCGAATTCGAATATCCCGGTCCTCAAATGGAAGAAGCTTTGATCAATATGACTAACTGGGACACATTCATGTACTCGCGCGACTTTCGCGCAATCAATGACGAGCGAAGCATGCGGCAGGCGACTCGCCTTCTCACATATCCTGCTACTATTGGTAGTATCTTGCACGAATTGAGTCCATACAATCTCAAAAAGGGAGGACGCCTGACTGTTGAAGGACTCAAGAGTTTAAGCGGTACGTAATTCATATTTATCCCTCAAAATAAACCAACCAATTTTCATTTCACAAGGACTAATTGATAATGAATGAAACAGCCCTTCGCTATACTCTCCACCCTCCTCGAACAGGTGCCGGCGGCGACATCAAGGGGCTGCGACCAAACCCGCCTCCCGTGCGTATCTTCATCCTCGGTGCGCGCGCTGAGTCTTCTCTCCCGCGCGAAGTCTGGGCACAGCTCTCGCACATGTTCCCTCGCGTATCCTTCCACCTCATCTTCATCGGCCCAGAGAGCATGGCGAACCGGGAAGCCGAGTTCCCCCTGCCTGAGCGTACGCCGAGCAACCCCTTTGGCGCGATTGTGGAAGACCGAATCAGCCATCAACTCAAGATTACTACATTCGTGGAATACTACCATACGCTACATCGTGCAGGCCTGTTCTATCCATATGACCCGTACTTTGACTGCTTCATGCTTTTCCATCCTGGTCTTGGTCACCCTGCAAGCTCAGCGGAGTGGGAAGAGACTCTTCCTATGCTGCTTGAGACCAAGGTCCCAATTCTGGCAACGGGCTACACGCCCTGGGACATGGAGCGCGACTGGAAGTGGGTTGAGGAAAAGGTTGGCGGTGAGGTCGATCTGCTAATGGAGCCTGGCGAGAACCGGTTCAGCAGTCTGCGGTGGGATTTGAATGATTTGGACCCTCAAGATATTACCTGTGGCAACTGGGGCGTTTGGGCATTTAGAGGCAAACGGTCAGTACTAGCTGTGCTTCCCTCCCCGTTTTAACTTGTCTCCATTTACGTTTGGTCATCTTATAAAAAGCTTGCTGGCTAACAGTTTCTTTTTCCCGTAATGCAGGTACGAAACTACCATGAGAAACAATGAGAAGGGCATTTCTTAGCCGTGGGTTGAAAATATTTCACACTGAAGCTCGCGGGGAACCAAGCGCCGAGGCATAAATGGCTAAGGTGAATAGCGTAGCTGGCATTTACATGTTTCTTTATATTCGGTCTTCAAATTGTGTACATTTAGAAAAAGACACTTGTGTATGTATATACCAATTAGATTTCTCATCTCGAAAAATAACCGTGATCACACATTTCTTCGACGGTTGACCCTACGTGGAGTAAATCTTGTATATTCGAGTCTTTTCAGAGAATATATATTTGGGCCACCGGTTTCTCCAGGGCACGTGCAATTCACCAAACGCACTTCTTCAGCAAGTATCTTTGCTTAAGGAATACAAGATGCGTAGCATACGCTGTTCCTATACATGAGCTAATCATGCTATACTAAAGTAGAGTGGCAGGCCAAGTTAAGCGGGGACTAAGAATTAAAAAATAGAAAGGTAGAGTATCGAAAAATAAAGATATTTACTTTGAAAAAAGAAAAACAATTTTCCCTGCTCTCGAACGCTTGAAATAAAGCGGTCAATTATCGCGTTGTGACTTGGTGAGTATAGCAACATAGCCTCGCAATGACAATCTGGTATCGGTTTTGGCCCTGTAGGCCAATTAAATAGCAATGGAACGAAAGGGACTAAAAGGAAATGGGAGATTCAGGTAGAGAATAGTGTAAAGCAAGAATGGAAAGTGTTAAAAGATATCTTCGACCTTTTCCCAGCTTCCACCCTTGGCAACCTCGTCTCTCATGCGCCAGTACTGGTCATTGAACACCCAGTAGGGTTCACCTGTAATTTCGCACCTGCCCTTGGTGAACCATCTGGGTTTGTGATCCTCACCACTAGCCTCCCTCTCTCTCCTCTTCTTGCGCTGCTTCTCCTCAACGCGATTTTTTTCGACGGCAGCGAAATCGTACTCGCCGTCCTCCATGGCGCGCTGATCGGGCCGCAGCCGAGTGTCTGTGGGTGCGAGAACAGGACGCAGGCTCTCCGGAAGAGCATTCAGGGTCAGGACAAAAGGTGTTAGGTTGAATGGAATGCCGCTTGGACGCTCATGGCATTGCCACACCAAGAACGCCTGAGTTGATCCTGCATCTTGGCTGCGGACTGAGACCGATGAGGGCCGATCCAAGTCATCTTCAAAACCAGGAGTAAGACGGGCATAAATCTTGTCGTTCCATCGGCCGCCAATACTCCATCGGGTCTTTCCATCAGCGCCAGTCACTTTGCCAGTCACTTGATAGGCAGAAGAAGCTTTCCATCCTCGAGGCTTGAAGTCCAGGATACAGACATCGCCTGTTTTCCAATTTTTGACCTCCATTGGTCCGTAGTTGTCGACAGTCGGGTTACCGGTGATGATGCCGACAACGCTCGAGGTGACCTTTTTCCAGGTGTAAATCTCCTCGCCCCCAGAACTTGGCCGAAGCTTCAAAAACCAAGTACCGAGCGGATTGATGTCGAATGACTTTCCATAGAATTTTGACTTGACGGCCGATTCTCCCTATCAATTTGTCAGAAATGAATGATTGAAGAGACATCGTATTGATGATGCTAAGACTCACATAGTAATCCCATGATGGTGATTCAGCGTACGCGGCGCCAATAGGAGGGTGATGGCTGACTTGCTCGATGAAGAAACGGTAGCCCTTGTCTGGTCGGGCGTATTCGTACGTTTCTCCCAATAGGGGATTAAATGGTTTTGCGACTCGCCCAATTGTAGACGCGTACTCGCTCGCGGCAAAAACTGCAACATAAACCATACGTTCGGTAGAGTCCAGACGCTCGGCCGCGGTGTCCAAGAGGTCAGCATATTCCATGTCTTCTGCCACTCGCTGTAACAGAGAAGTAGGCTCGTTGAAAGATACAGGCAGCGTCATCTTGGTCATGTCCTTTCCAATCATAGACTTCAGAATCGCCTATGTCACTGTCAGATTTCTGGTCCATTCGAGGTGCATACGATACTCACCCAAAGAGAAATTTTAGGCCTGTTGTCAGCGTCAAGCTTGAGTCTCTTCCTCAATGGCTCTTCATAGCCGTGAAAGGACGGCGTGATCTCTTGTTTCTTGGCCTCACGGCTGACAACCAGGCCTTCCTCGTGTGGTCGACTCTCAGCAGGAATTGTGGGCAACTTATCAAGAACCTCAACTTCGCCAGCATCCAACGCATCGAAAAACTCATCGTCGTCATCTTCAGAGTCTGATGGGGAGATATTGCTCAAATCAACAATTGTAGACCGCCGCTTGGTCGCAGAGATTGATTTCCTCCGCAGCGGGGCTGCGCCCTCCTTATCAACTGGAACCTGCTCCAGAGCTTCTGATATGCTGGGAGTCTCCCTTGGAATTTCGCCGCTCCCTCTACGGCTAATTGCGGCAGAAGGGGCTGCGCTGCCAAGTGCCTCCTTCAGGGCTCGCTTTGTGCGCCTGCGCTTGTCTTCCGACTCGCCGATGCGCTCCTGCAAAACTTCTTGTTCCTTGGCTATGCGAGCCATGTTTTCTTCCCAGAACCTTCGAATATCAGCCTCGCGATCTAGGCGGTATTGCCAATAAGCATCTCGGTCCCTTGACATCTTCAAGAGGTCACCAATCAAGCCCTTCAGACTGACAAGCGCAGAGTCATAGGAAAGTAAAGCCTTGACAACCGATGGATCGGAAATAGAGAGCGAAGAATTTCGCGACTTTTCGGTTTGGAGAGCAGCGGAGACTTGAGACAAAAGGTCCAACTGCAAATTTGCAGACTGTGCGGTAATATTGAAGGCATCTTTGTTCGTGGTCTGCAGATCATTGATGCTTGGATCATCTCCATAATCTTCCTCATCGTCCATGTCACCCTCAATATTGGCAGTCTCGGCGTTGCTGATGGTTTTGCCAAGATCATTTGCTATGATGCTTGGATCATACGAACCAACAACAGCGCTCTCATCTTCTTCTATGATACTTTCTGGGCCGAAGCTGGAGGCTACCAAGGTGGAACGAGACCCGCCGGCGCCAGGGACGCTAATCGCCCCAGTAGGAGTCAAAGTCTTGCCAAGCTTACTGCTGGCGATGCTCGTGCTGTCGCTTTCTCGGTGTTGGCTCTTCCCCGCCTGCTCTGCCTGGGCTTGGCGAAGCACTTCCGAATCCCTATGCTGTTTCTTCTCCTCCTCCCGCGCTTCATCTTTGGACCATTGAATGGCGTTATTGAGCGCCCAGAACCACCGCTTGGCTTCTACTACATGATTTGCTTTGAGGTGATACTTTACAGAGGACTTGCCCTGAATTTCGAACCTCAATTTGTCCTGAGGATCCATATATAGTCGCGCAATCCGCATATTGATTGCACCGCGACAAGCAGAGCCGGCATCATCTATACAGAAGTGTTAAGTGGCATTGATTTTCACAAATAAACATTCAATACAAAGGGGTTGTACCTTGATGTTTGTAATAACTGAGAACGCCGTCTTCTAGGACAAACCATCGAAGCTTATAGCCAGTCGTGTAGTTTGTCCATTTCTTTAGATAGCCCTTCATCTCTCGGGCTTCCTTACTGGCCACCACATTCTCCCCGGGCGCCGGGAATGCAGGAGCTCCAGGAGGTGCATTACCCAACACGGCCTTTTCCTGAATACCGCGTTGCGCAGCCGCAGCGGCGGGCGATTTCTTGAGGATGCTGCGCGTCCGGTCATCCTTGGTCACGTCTTGCGGAAGCTTCCCCTTCCTGTCGCGGCGGAAGGGATCAGCTCCATGAAGAAGCAAAAGCTGGATCAATTGCGTATCCTTCTTCCTTGCCGCTTCGTGGAGGAGCGTACCACCAGTTTGGACTGTGGAGGGATCTGTGGCGAGCTCGGCGCCATTTACGTCGAGCACCATCTGCACGCGTGATTCTTCGAGAAGGTTTTCCAATGCCTCATAGTCACCGTTGGCAACCAAGCCTTGTATTTCCCTGACCTTGGCATCAATAAAAAGAGACCGAGCTAGTTGCAGTTGCTGGAAGATATCCGGAGTTTTTGCCAGGTCCAAAGGAAGCCGGCCTTGATAGTTTCGAAGAGAGTCATTTATACCACTTTGCGCCAGTAAAAGTTGAACGATGGCAGATCGACCAAGCAGCGCGGCCAGATGAAGAGGGGTATTTCCATCACGATCGCGAGCATTAACGTTGATTGCCACACCGGGGAAGGAAGCGCCCGTTGACAGAATGTACTCGATCACCTGCGAATCAGCGCATTGAATGGCAAGATGGAGCAGAGTTGTTCCTTCTAGCCCGTTGGAGGTGACGGTGCCAGTAGCTACATCCTGGGCATCTTCTTCGCTGATGCTTGAGGTGTCTTTGATCGCCTTGCCTATAGCTGTAGTATCTCCACTTCTCAAGGCCTCAAATAGGCGGAACATTCTCACTGACTGCTCGATTGACATTGTTCGCCCTGGCACTGAGGTGCCTGGTTGCCCACTGGTGCTCTCCACGCTGGTAGAAGATCCATTGGGGGCTGTCGGGGCAGTGTTTGATAAACGTTGCTTTTGCCGCGAGGATTGCATGGGGCTAATCTGTTGTGAGAGCGGCGCCGATATCGCGGTTGCGGAGGAAGCTGATGTAGGAGTCTGGACGAGCGACACCGTAGAAGCGGATTCCGGTGGAGGAGTTCCAGGCGCCGATTCCGAGAGCTTGTCCTCGCGCTTGCTCTTATCCCGCGTCAGCAAGGACAAGGCGAGCTGGGACTTGGAGCGCTTATGCCTGTTAATGACAAAATCACAAGTTAATAGATATGGAGGTATAATATGCGGAGCTTAAGGTATGTCGGAGACGATGAGCCATCGGAAAAGCGATAAAAAGCAGCAGTGGGAGCAGCAGCAGCAAAGCAAGACGAGGCGTTCGCATGCGGTTGTGTCACCGTGGGATACCCCACTCAAAACTCACCCCTCCATGCTCTTTTCGTACAAAGCCACTGGGACTGGCCGCAGTCCTACTTGTAATCGAGTTCAATCGGGGATATTTATATTTGCAAAGGCAAGAGTCAGATAACCAACGAACGATAACAATCCAGTAGCTCGAGGAAAGTGAATCAATTGTATCAGAAAAGCTGGGGTCAAGAACGGTTGACGTATTTTAGATTTCCCGCTGGATGGGGATAGATTAAGTTATTTACTACTCTGTACTCGGGCATCCAATGGGCTATAAGCGATCTTGCCGTCAGCGACTTCTTCGCCTCTTGTGCTTTTTGTAATCTTCGTGCCGCATCTCCCGTCTCTGCCGGATAAGACACGGGAAGACTGCAATGTGCAAGACGAATCTAGTCAGAGATTTCTTTCCTCGCAGGCATGCACGAAACTTTGTCCCCAGTAACATGATTTATCCATCGGGTTTGTATTTTATCAGAGACGGTCAGGAGTTAGGCACCTTATGTTAAGCAATTCGCTCAATTTGTCTGGTCCAGCTCATTACCAGAGTAAGTTAACATAAGCTGAGCTATCTACCCAAAAAGGCGCGGTCACATTGTCAACCGACGATTACCCGGACAAAAGCTGTGATACTTGGCATCGCTACTGCTGCATTTTGAATCCCTGGAAGATGACTTTCACAAGTGGACGGTTGAAGCTTTGCATTAGAATGCAGAGAAACTGTCGTCAATATAGGTACATTGTATACGCATTATATATGTGGGCGCCATCAGATGGAGCATTCTGCACAAGAAACAGATCGAGCGCCAAGAAAAGCCAATGACCCATTAGACCTTATGATGGAGGGTGAGTGATTCCATCAACGCTGAACGGGTAGTGAAATTCATCGGCGGCAAGTTTGGACCACAGATAGAATTCTCCTGTTGAAATTTCCCTCTATATGTGCTCAAAGACGAAAAAAAAAAATGACAGGCGATTGTCCCGGTCCGAAGGCAATTTAGTAGGAAATCATCACTTCTCCTCCCCACTAACCAGAAGTACAACACTGCCCAATTGCCGTCGCAAATCCTCTTTGTCCACATCGTGTGTGTCCTCGACCTCACCCCACATATTTGTCTGCCAAGTGACTTCAAGACTCGACGCTTCAGCGGCCTCTTCAATGCCGAATCGCTGATCCTGCGTCTTGGGCAATTGCCGAAACCCTTCACTCCATTCGACCAAGAGCCTGACCGCCACGAGCAGACTCTTGCTCGCAAGTACTCCTCTCTCAAGACCAGCCAGGTCGAAAGCCGAAAGGCCCGTGATCCACCCTCGAATGACATCCTGTGTAGCTTGGGGCTGTGGAGTTGGTAAAATGCTTTCCGAGTCGAGAATCGGCTTGATCTCTACGCCTGGCCAGACTCGGGAAGTAAGAAATGCTATGATAGGTTTGGCAACACGAGCTTGGATATCTCTTAAGCTCTCTGCGCCAGGCTCTTGTGCGTGAGTAGATTCAGGTGCCCAACACAGCAAAGTGTCGGTATCCAAGTACTTCATGACCATTGTTACAATATCTTGACGGATCTTCGAATCGCCTTGCGTGTCATCATGTCGAATATCATTCGCTCGCGCAGTGAGAGAAGTTAGTGGAATGAAGTGGTGTTTCAGAGCTTGTTGAGCAGAGATCAGCAGATCCCACTCTAAGGCAATTGCAGATGCCAGTTGCGACTTTGAGTGTGGAAGCGTAAGAATCGATTTGGAAGGAGTCCGGACTGGTCTGGTGTCAAGAAGTACTTGCAAACCCTCTAAAATGATAATCAGCAGGATTATTTCAGGAATCAAAGAGAACGAAAGTCCCTGCAACGTACCCTCGGTCTCCCGAACGGAGACATGTTTCCAGAATCTTTTGCGGAGCGCACTGCTAGGTTTTGACTGTGTGGCGCGCAAATTTTGGCTTTGCTCTAATATCGCAGCTTGCTGTTGTCTTCGTGCCAATCTTTCCGTGCCATTATACGGCGTAGGTGATGGAGCTTTTGGCGGAGGGCCATGTGCGGTGATGGGAAGTGGAGTGGCTGGCTTGGAGGAACTGGTGTGGATGCATTGCGTCCTTGGAAATCCTCGCGGACGAGGAGCAATGCGGTATGTCAAGCATCGCAGCGATGATGCGGTAAGCATTGATGATGGCTTCATTTTCGAGACTGGATTGGAATGTTAGTGCCAGTCACGTTCAATGCTTGACGCCTCCCGTCGGGGTCATCCATTAACGATGATGGCCAAAGAACCTTTCTTAACTCGATATGGAAATTTTCCAGGAGAGATTTGGCGATTAGTTGGAAGGGCGGGACTAGAAAAGCCGACCCCGGCTTGAACACCGAGAAAACCCATATTTTCCCCACAAAAGTTAATCCAGAACAATGTTCCACAGACCCTTTGTAGCTATCTACACCGTGTCGATGACAGCATATATCGTCAATACGATTCGCAAAGAAAACATGTGCAACTCTTTTGGTTTCCTTAAGCGAAGTCAACTCAGAAGTAATTCTTCTGAAACGTCGCCTCGTTTTGCAGCCTCAATGAGATCATGATACGGCGTAATCGTCATAGACTACGTCAGAATATCTGGTCGAGACAACATGGCGGAATTTCTTGCGAGACTTCACTTTTATCTTTAAATACAAAGGAACAGAGAAGTTTTTCCAATACAAGAGATCATGCTATTTTCCGTGCTCTGCAAACTTCAAACGCCATTCTTCAAATCTGTGGTCCTTCCGCTTCCGGTCTTCAGCGTACCTTGTTTACTCATCCATTGCTTAAGAGAACAGTCTGGACATTGTAATTCAAAAAAGTTTCTCTCGGTCAGAACAATGTCTTCTAAACCAGGAGAACAATTCGAAGTGCGTCAAACTTCCGGCACAGCGGACTGGAAGCCCGACCCATCAAAGTCTCTGCCGTTGGATCTGGCTCGACAGAGGCTTTTAGACGATATTATAGCCCTTTACAGCTGCCAGCCAACCATCGAGCGCGTCAAAAGATATACTCCTGACTGCGTATATGATGATCAATTTGTGTATGCCAATGACCGATACAAGATGGCCGGACAGTGGTTCGCCCTGCCGAAGCTTTTCAATGAGAGCAAAAACGAAGGTTACGAGGTTGTTAAGAATGAGCGGGATCTCATTCAGTTTAAGAATGAACAGGTATCTATAGCTGTATGTCAATTTGAGATTCTGCGCATACCCTAATCTTCTCGCTCTAGTCGTGGACGTTTAGACTAATCCCAAAAACTGCCACCATCAACGCCCTTGTATCGCTCTCTCTTGACCCTGCCACCGTAGATTCGGAGTTCATCCAGGTTAAATATCATAAAGATCAGGCCAATGACAAGGATTATTCGCACGAAGGTCTGGGTTTCAGTTTCAAGAAATGGCAAGCTGACCAGGTAGCAAAGCACATGGACAGCAAAGAAGTTGAGGTATTTGCGGCCGACAAGGGTGCTGCGAAGGAGCCGGTTAAAAAATATGGTACCGGAGCTGCTGAGGAACATGCTCCTGAAAAGAATTTTTGAGTTCGATCATTTTCCCAAGGCAACGCAAAATTCAAGATTGCAGTTCTTCAAACTTATTTGTATCACGATATTTCTATATTGATGCAAAATCAGTGGTATGTCGGTTTATCAAATTATTGATGATCAATAAATTTTAATGGCTGTCCCTTTATTTCCTATTTATTTCCATTTTGCGTATTAAATACTGCTTGCTTAGAGCGCATTTTTACGAGAACTCAGAGGCAAAAATCTGGTTCAAATACCTGCCCGCCCTTGGACACCGTCCTGCTGTCGGTTACGGACTGTTACTTGGACTGGTCGAAGGGACATGCCTAACATAATCTTAAATACTAGGTCTGACCAAATCAACTTGGTGAAAGCAAAGTCCGGCTCTTATGCTTCTCACGGAATCCCAGCCACAAGAGGTTTCGGCATAAGAGTCGCTAATTTTCCGAACTGAGACACGAAGGTTACCTAGAGCCTTTATCATCATGCAACGTCTTCTCGTGCTCAGGCGCAATGGCCTGTGCGTCAGCCCGTTAGCATTAGCAGGATGCCAGTGTCAGCTGTTCGCTATGATGATCATGCTTACCATGGACCCCTTATCGGGGGATGGATTCTTTACCGGACCTATTTCATAGCCCTCATCTAAAGTTGCCGACGTCTTTTATCCTATGCAGCGAGGTTTGAGCCATATCATGGGGAACAAAAAGGTAGTTGAGCCGAAAGTTTCTTGAAAGGGGAGGATAGTTGGAAATCTAGTTGATCCATGGTATCTTTCAGGTCCAGACCTTGGGCGTCGCTCTCAGCAAGATCGAAGAAAGGTAATGGTCCGCAACAAGAGAATTCAAGACCGTTTGACTGAATGTGATTCTAGCGATCTCGACTTTGAGTATGAAAATGAGCGGCGATACCATAGCAAGAGTTTGGGAGGTATACAGCTTTGAAGGGACCATTTCTTGTTGCGCTGCCGCATGTTCTGACTGGCCGCTAGATTACTGGATCCCAAATGATGAGCCGGAAATTCAAAGATTGAACATGCAGGTTAATACCACTCTTTCTTGGCGGAATTGAATTTATTATAGACCTTGACGGATCCCCTTTCTGACATGTTGACATAGTTTCATTGCTTTCGTTTGCAAAATGATGGCAAATTGCATCTAGCTCCTTTGTCAGAGCCTCCAACAAGAGTGCTTGATATAGGCACCGGCACAGGGATTTGGCCCATTTATATGGGTAGAGAATACCCTTCAGCTGAGGTAAAGCAGCCAGTTCGATGCTTCTTTGCACGGTGGTCTATGTGGAAGTATTCAGTCTAAATATCGTTGCTCAAGATCTACGCTACGGACATTGCAGCAATCCAGCCGAAGAAAGAGTGAGTTAAGCAGACCAGTATGTCATGTCCTTTCAACTCACTCAGCTCAAGTTAAATCTGCAGTGTTCCACCGAACGTTCATTTCATAGTCCATGATGTCGAAAAGGAATGGCCTTTCGGAGAGGAATCCTTCGACTATATCCACATGGCTATGCTTCATGGAAGTATAGCCGACTGGCCTGGCGTGCTACAAAAGATTAAAAGGTTCTATCTCACAGTATATCTTCTCACCCAATAATCATCCTTTTCCGAGAAAATTTTGATTTGTCAAACTTTCAACTTTCCGGCTTCTAACTCTTCTAAGGCATCTCAAACCCGGCGGGAAAGTTGAGCTCCTCGAACTTGCGCTGTGCGAAATTCTCTCCGATGATGGCACAGTCACACCGGACCAAGCCTATCCACGCTATATGAAACTCCTATTCGAGGCAGCAGCTAAACGCGGCCGGGAGGTACACATGGGTCCGCGTATTCGAGGCCTTGTCATGGAGGCTGGCTTTGTTGATGTCTATGAGCGCATTAACAAATGTCCCCAAAAGCCATTGGTTGGCGACGATGATTTTCATCAGTTCATAGGGATGATGCATCATCGAAATGTTCTAAGCGGCCTAGAAGGCTGGGCCATGCGACCTCTAACAGGCACCTTTGGCTGGGCGCCTGAGCAAGTAAGAGAGCTTGTGAGACAAGTCAAAGAAGAGGTTGTGAATCCAAATATTCATCAGTACATTAGAATGTAAGTGAATAATCTCAGTAATTTGTCCCGTGATATCCGGCCATCTGAAGGTGGGGAATGTGCTCAAATCTCTTGTTTACCAGGCACGTTGTTCATGGTACAAACCCAAGGCGCCCCGCGTCTCAACCCGTACCTGGCTTGACTTCTACCCTCCATACGCTGGTGACAGGCAGCCTCGCCATTGGTGTTGTTCTGGGTGCGACAGCTGCATACTTTGCTCTGCGCCTCCGCTAAACACCTGAATCTTTTCACCTTTTAGGCAGGTCGCGGCTTTGGAGACGAAGATTTAATAACTTCATTACAAAATTATGGAAGATTTTGGAGCAAAGTTTAATCCATTGAAGATGGGGTCTGCGACTGGTGTGACCGATCAATTCCCAACGTTTTAGTAGAAACCTTGATTATAGCACAGAGAGGGGCCAGGATTAAACGGTCCAGGTATGATCTTAAGTTGAGTAATTTACCAGCCAAAGACAAAATAAGTGAGAAGTTGCTACATCTTGTCTTTGCGGAATGCCTGTCACCGCAGCTCATAAAATATATGTATTCACCTTCGGGCTGATCTATCCGACCGGCCCTTTGGCAGAGCAGGTACACGATATTAACCGTGCACGTGTCACAAACTCAAAACCAACTTCCAGTCAGTGAATCCTAAATGAAAAGAATTGCAACTCAGAGCTCCAAGAGTCAAATCATAAATCAGCCCAATAATGCCGGCAGAGTCTTTAACCCCAAGTGCGAAGGATAGAAGGCCAACGAAATCCTTGGATGATGCGGGCGAAAGAGATACCTTTGTCGTACGCTGTGCTCTTGGATCATCGAACAGCGCTAACATAACCATTCAATCGACGAAGAGGAGTTATAAGTCGACAGAACAAAGAATCATACGAAAGGTGGTTTGAGATAATTGCTCTGTTAGTAGGCTAAAGCTCCAAAAGGTTTGGAACCCTCGGAAGGACTTTGGCGCCGGAAGGCTTTCTGCCCGGAAGGAGGCGAGATGTCGGTAAAGCCGCACGCGAGCGCAATTGTAAATTGGTTAGCTCAGGGGGGTTTACTCAATTCGGAATGATCGGACTTCATGCCATATATTGGTAAGGCTTTCCCCAATTTTCCAGGTCATTTTTATCCGACCAGACGAATATTAAATTATTAAAATTTTCATCTTGATGCACTGGTGGCTCTATTGTATCAAAAATTCATGACATGTGGGACCGACATACATTCGAAATGAGTGATAACTTACCTCTGGAAATATCGTGATCTAGTGGTTCGGTTGAAGATGTTTCACTCTTAAACTGTGGGCTTCCGCAACGTGCCAGGTCTCCCCCTACGAGGGCTAGTTCTTTTCGGTTCCACAACATCTCAGGGATCGTTGACGGAGAGTTCAAAGGGAGAAAGTCGGGCGTTTGAGGTATGACCGAGGCGGTTGTGGCAACAACTCCGTACATAACATAATGGATACTCCGGTACGTTACCAGATACGATTGCTCTAGGCGGGTAGCTGCCCCGGGAGAGGGGGGCCCGGCCGTCCATGGCCCAATCACTTGCCCACACCATGAACGGTTACAGATGGCGGCGCCATGGGAAATGATAGAGTACTGGTAAACCAAACAAAGCTTCCCCATGCTGTGGCGCTTCTGCTTTCCGTTTCGTGGAAGCGATCTTGGCCATGCTGATCCCTTTCTTCAACAGGCAATATCGACATCAAACATTCAGGGGAAACCATGGCCAGGGCCACTCGAAAGACTCACTCGCTCGTGTCCTGCTTGGCGAAATGTCTCCACTCAGCGAGCCACACGCGCCCGGCAACCTGTGGTCGCGAGATGAAGATGAATCCGGGGTGGCTCAAGGTCCTAATTCTGCTGCTTGACTACAGGTTCTGAACCGCAGCTTTTTCGCGCGCATTGCAACAGGCGACTCTGATTTGCGTAATGTCGCTTTACTTGGAAATTTATATGCTTGTTTTCTCCATCTGATTGTCTTTCATGTCATGTTTTTCTCTACATAATCCGTAGCATCGTTTTTTGGGCCCGTTGTTCATCTGTCGTTCAGTTCGCCAAGCGCCGCTGGCCACCTAGTCTCCTTGGCCCAAGCGTAGATTGCAATTTCCCACACAAAGAGGGACCTCAGCAGACTCATCCTTCACTGACTTTGTCCACCGCCCAGATCTTGGATTGCATTGGATGTCAAAGGCCCTCCTTCAGTCGTTTCCGAAACTTGCAATCCTCACATAAGCATATTCACGCCTCAACCTTCAACTTATTCAAAGTGAATTTCGCGCTGGCATCCATTGTGAACATACGCTCGTTTGCACCACATTTCATCGAGGTCTTTTGATATCATTCCTCTGGCAATTAATTGTCTATCTACGCTCGACTGCGTCGAGTCCATTCAAGCCACACCCTCCCATAGGCATCCATTGTTCACCAAAATACAATGAACTAGCCTGGCCGTCTTCGATATAATTGCATTGTCGTCTTGTTCACCTTCTCTTTGTTTTCTGGCTGAGCACAAAGCCAGCAGCTCAACGACCCGTCAACGGTTATTTCTTTCCGACTGCTGTCGTTATCTTTCGGTTTTCTCATTTCCAAACACCAATAAATTTCAATCTCCCTCTTCTGTCGGATGTCCAGGCATCGGTATCTTTCGAAAAGTTCGACAGTCATTCGTTCAAATCTGAACCGATATCTCAACGACAGAGCATAGCGCTGGTCGCAATGAACCATCATCATCTTGTACATACGCATCTGATGCGGCGCGGGGCCGCCGCCATAGAAAATGGAACTGCTACGATTGCACCAAGAATGGCAGCAGCAACGACAACCATGGAAGCTGCCGCCTCAGATACTTTCCTTCCTGCTGTCGATTATATGCATGGTCTTGCTGGAGTAGACCAACCGACCAATGTCATTCTCACGTATGTTGACCCCTTTTCCCATCGCAATGATTGTTGAGCAGATCAGCTAACGGCTTTATGACCACAGACACGTTTCGTGGTCAACTCTTGGTCTAGTTTGTGTTGTAATATTAGTCTTGAGAATTGTGCAGATGGCCAATGCTCATCTAAGACACCTCTTCACCCTCGCTGCAGATGGAGAGAGGCAACAATTCTGGGCTCAAAATAGCGGAAGCTTCTGGCCAAGGGTAAAGAGACACTTGCTATATGCGCCTCTGTGGAAAAATCGTCATAATCGGGAATGGATGCTCTCATCAGCGATCAACATGGGTACATTGCCTTCACGCTTCCATACGCTGCTTTTAGGTGTGTATTTGCTCAGCAATGTCGCATATTGTCTCATTCTTGACTACTCTGAGCTGGACATCTCCGCTGTTCTGGCCGATCTTCGCGGCCGGAGCGGTGTCCTCGCTGTCATTAACATGATTCCGCTTTTCATCTTGGCGGGGAGAAACAATCCTCTGATTTCTATGCTGAAGGTCAGCTTTGACACATACAACCTATTCCATCGATGGCTTGGTCGGCTTGTCGTTATTGAGAGTGTTGTTCACACGCTAGCATGGGCAGCAAATACAATTCATGCGCTGGGATGGTCTGGAATAGGGGACTGTCTTCGTGGGCAGGCATTCTATGGCTGGGGAGCCGTGGGCACGCTCGCCATGATCTTTTTAGCGCTCCACTCGCCTTCGCCCATTCGGCACGCCTTCTATGAAGTCTTTGTCCACCTGCATACGGTCCTCGCATATTTGGCCTTTGCCGGTGTCTACGTGCATCTGCATATGGCCGGTCTCCCACAATTTCCCTATGTAGTGGCCATCATCTGCGTCTGGGTGCTCGATCGTGTCACTCGCTACGGTTGCATGCTTTGGAACAATTTTTCCCGAAAGGACCGAACTGCGGTGACTGTTGAGGCGCTCCCTGGTGAAGCATGCCGGGTCACCTTTGATCTTCCTCGACGATGCGACGTCCGTCCTGGAACACACGTTTACGTCTATCTCCCCCGGATCTCGCTCTGGATGTCCCACCCATTTTCGGTCGCATGGGCAGAACACCATCTCAGCGCCCGTCCCACCACCGATAAAGACGACGAAAAGGGCCCTCAGCTCCCTGTCACTGAAGCAAGTCTAGACCGTCCGCGTCACCTCCGCACCTCCATCTCCCTAGTTGTCTCCAAGCGCACCGGAATGACCGCGAAACTGTACGAGCGCGCAGCCGCATCGCCTCTGGGCCAAATCCACATTGCAGGATTTATTGACGGTCCTTACGGCGGTCACGAATCACTCCATAGCTACGGCACCGTCGTCATGTTTGCCGGTGGTGTCGGCATCACACACCAAGTGCCTCACGTCCGAGACCTGCTGCGAGGTTACGAGGAGGGTACCGTGGCAGCGCGCAAGCTCGTGCTTGTCTGGTCTGTCCGACACACTGAACACCTCGAATGGGTACGACCCTGGATGGATCAGATTCTCTCAATGCCTGGTCGCCGCGAAGTGCTCAAGGTATTGCTCTTCGTCACGAAGCCCCGCAGTCCACGAGAAGTTATTTCCCCTTCTGCCACTGTTCAGATGTACCCTGGTCGTGCCAACCCCCAAGTCATTGTTGACAAGGAAATTATCGATCGCGTGGGTGCCATGGCTGTAACTGTCTGCGGGCCTGGAAGCTTTGCCGATGGTGTACGAAATGCCGTGCGTCGACGTGTTGATGTTGGTTCGATTGATTTCTTTGAAGAGAGTTTTACATGGTAAAATAACGTCATGTCATCTCTGGATTAGCGAGTGTTATTCTTTTTTTATTATTACTATTCCCCTCTTTCCCCAATTTTTCTTTAGGTTGACGGTTTTTAATGTGCTACTTGTGCTTTGCTTGCGTTTCTCGGCCTTGTTTTGCTTCCCAGGATCCAACTTCCAATACATTTGCGTGCATATAGTCAAGTTGAGTCAGCTTCGAATCTTCTTCTGGCAGAAATCATGGGAGGCGTAGCGGTTCTTCAGTCTCACTCATTTTCTTTCTCTGCTTTTCGCTTCCTTTTCTCTTATACCTCTTTAGTCTTCTACTCTTCCTATTTCCTTTGCCTTCGAATGGCTTCGCCTATTTTCCTTTCCTGCAACCTCCCAAACTACTTATGTGCTTCGGCAGGAAGCAAAAGCAAGAGCAAGAATGATGCATGGCATAGCACCGGCGTTGCAATTTTTCCAATAAACAATACCTATTTCAATTCAATCTGTTCTGTAAGCAGCTAATGCAGTAATACCCGGTGTGTAATCATATATGTATGATAAGAGCCAAAGAGCAAGATGTTCCTAACGGTGGGATATTTCTACATGTAAAGCCTGGAGGCGTGGTCTTAACGTCTCACTGAGGTTCTGTCAATCTGGCCAGTCGCAAAACTGAAAAGGGCTTCTTATGCTGTGTGTACTATGGTACATTATCGCTTTGGAAGCTAAGAGTCTTGCAATTGAAGCAAAAGGCTTAAATGAAACATGTCACAGACTTTAGTATGTATTCGAGGAACCAAGGTGCGACTACTAGCATCCTACGTTTATTTGCAACTTTGATGATTTGCCATGAGAAGGAGGTACAGGGAAATAGGGAAAGGAAGTGAAAAGACATCACGTCAGAGAAAAGACTTTGATGCAGTGAGGATGTGACAAAGATCGTAAAGGAACGAAGCTTGAAAAGGAGGGAATATCCGAGCCAAGATCTGCGCGATGCAATTCCAGAAAAAAACGCTTGTCTTTGTGCACAGACGCATAAACATCTTACGACCACTAAGTTGAGCTAAATAAAAAGCTAATGAGAGCTGATTCTTGGGACAAGATAATGAGTGAAATTCATATATCCACCTCGGATACCGACAAGCAAGCGTAACCTTGATTCCATCAAGTTGACTAAAGAGAGTGATGCCATGCTACTGCTGTGCTGGCCAAGAAATGAGCGTATCGATTCCCTTTTGGTTGGCAGAAAGCTGAGGAAAGGCTAAACAATCAAGGAGCGAAATTGGCAGATCGCGATCCAAGGCAATGAATGAATACGCTGCCACGTGACTGTAATCTTGAAAATATTTTCGGGAGAAACTGTGTTGCTTGTCGAGCGTGGGCGTTATAGGAGCTGAAGTGGCTTTCCTCGAAAGGTTAAAGGTTTGAATTGATGCAGTAAACAGGTCTAGCATGCTTTGCTGTGCGAAAGCAGCGAGGAAAGACGGGCAAGTGAATAATCATTTGTGGCCATTTCGTTCATTTCAAATCCCCCTCTTTTGTCATAGATGACATGAAGAAATAACAGAATTGGCAACACCGGCTGAGTACGAAGATAACAATGGCGCAGGAGGCCGGTCCGGAAATGATCGTCGTCGATGCAGACAATAGCGAATGATATTGGGGAAAGCCGAAAAGGTGATGGGAACGGTGCGCTGGATATCAAGAGATTGTGGCTGTATATGAAGTTCCCGAGCGCATAGTAAAAGAGCGTTGTGGCCATTCCGTCAACGAATGTTTCGATCTCGGCATCGAGCCGTTCCACAAGAGACTATGTACAATGGTGAAAAGGAATGTTTGCGCGTCCACTCCGATCAGGCCGGAAGCGAGCTTAAGAAAGACTGTATTCAGCAATGCTCTGAGCAAAAGTGTCCTTGTTGTCAAGGCCGAGGACTACTCCGGTGCCATCCAAAGTAACCATATAGGTGCTCGCAATCGTGGTAAGGGCGAAGAGCCACACATCCGAGCTGCTGCCTTCAATCGAGACGATATTAGTCTGGCAAGTTTCGGGTTGCAAGCACGTCTGATCGTAGTTCTCGAAGAAACTGTACAACCCAGCACCATAGACAAAGACGTCTGATGAGTCGGTGATACGAAGAGACCATGACTTTCGGCATGAATCATCGGTACAGTCACTAAAGGTTGGGTCCTGCCAGCTGGTTTGAGGAGTGAAGGGAGTCAGAGCGTTAGGATTTGATTGATAATACCTGCGCGTTTGGTCAGCACTCAAACAAGATACATTATGTTAAGCGGCCTTTAAGCAAGAAACTTACGGGGTCTCGGTCTGAATGGCGCCTAGATAGATATTCTTGGCATTGGCGACCTCGTAGCAATAGAGCTGGTGATGTTCAGATGAGGTACCGTATGCCCAAACAGGCCCATTGGATGACTCAATCAAGACACCACGGCCATTGAATACGTTGATTTGACTGTGGTCGCCAAGGTCGAGCTCATGGTCCGCGGTCCAAAACCAGTTATTTTCAAGATAGATGGTTCCGCTTGGAGAAACGTAGAGAGCTAGGAACGCAGCCATGCAGGACGGATTGGCTGGTTGGATAACGCTGGGGTCCTTTGTGCATGTGTTTGACTCTAGGTCCGTTCCAGCAGATCCACCAATTCGAAAATGGACATCCCACAATCCTACGGAGCCAGGGGAAGATTGTGCTACGTTCCATTCCATGAGAATTGCACCAGGTTGAGGGCCAACAGTCTCAAAAATCAAATCGCTAATTTCGACACTGCCAACGTCACCGGGGTTGCCGACCTGGAATACCGGCTTCGGGTTGTTCTGATCCTGGAAGGCAGATCCTTGAGCCATAATAAGCGGCCAGATCTCTCCAGTAATCTTGACGTTTGCGGGAATAAAGACAGTGTTAGAAATGACATAAGCACCGTGGTCAAAGTAGACAATATCGCAGCTTGTGAGACTGTCAAAAACGGCTTGAATGGCAGCTGTGTCGTCCGTTGTGCCATCTCCCTTTGCACCCTTAGATTTAACGCTGACGAAGCTATCCGCGGAATATTCCTCGTACTGAGGCTTCGAGCGCTCAAAGAATCTCCCTTGGCCGTCGAGCAGCACACCGGGCTTGGATGGGGCAGATACAGTTGACTGAATTCTGCTACCGCTGCCATTTCCGACATATTTCCTGCCCTGAATCCATTCAGCAATAAGAGTACCGCCGGCAAGAATCGTATTGCCCGAACCATCGCTAACGGCACTTCCAGAACCGACAAAGTCGACATTATCAATGACCAGCGTTCCAGCAGAAGTGGGTGTGGTTGAAGGTCCCCACACGGTCTTAATGCCAATTGGAGTGTTGGTGAATGTACTGTCCTGCACAATAAGGGAACCAACACCAGGATTCGAAGCACCGCCGCTAGTCATGTCGATACCAATACCACAATTATTGATTGAGAGTGACTTCATGGTCCACACCCAGTCCCAGTTAAGATAGATGGCGGTATTGCAACCATTGAAGGTTAGGTTGCGGGTGGTGAATTGCTGGTTTCCGAAAAAGGCACCGTAATTTCCGCCATTGAAGACGAGGTCTGTCATGAAACCTCCAGAACCTGTAGGGCACGTTAGCGCTCATTATTTCTAAAGGGAATAGATCGAAACATTGGCTCACCATTGTCCATGAAAATACCCTGCTGCTTATTGTTGCTGCCGCCGCGAACCATCTCAAATCTAATATTTTGCAAGCTAGTAGCCTGAGCAATCTGCCAATGGATACCAGCTCCGCTAGAGGGTGGCATCTGGGTCAGATCGATAACGAAGTTGCGAATTTGACGGAAGAAATTGTTCTGATTCGTGTACCAATTATTTCCGGTGTTGTCGTATGGGTCAGCGTCAATCACAGCAATGCCAGAAAAGGTGGCTGCTGCCTTTATGGTTGGAATGTTGAGAGCATCTCCGATGAACTGCGTATAATAGTACTGGATGATAGGAGAGCTGACAATATATGTTCCGGGCGGGAAATACACTATGGCAGGCGTGACAGTAGAAGAATCGCAGCCGTGGCCGCAGCGATTCCCAGTACTGATGGCGAGGTTGATGGCGTTGGTGTCATCAGTGGATCCGTCTGTCAATGGTCAGTACCAAGTTCCATTGCAAGGAAACACCTGGGCTTCAGCAGACCTCCTTTCGCTCCATAGTCCATCACATTACGATAAATTGGATAGGAAGAACCGCCAGAATAAGCGACAGTTCCCTGGCGTTGGATATTGGCAACCCAATAGTTCGAGCTGGAAGCTGCTTGAGCAAGAAGGGAATGAGTGGTAGCATTCGTGGAGGCTTTGGCTGTACTGTTTGAAACATCTGCCGCTGGCAGAGCTTCGACAAGACGTGTCGGCCCTGTTAAGAACAAAAGGCAACGCAGTGCCACGAAAAGAGTGATGGTAAAGAACGTCGCCATGATGAAGGCGTGCTGCCTGAAATCAAATCTAAAGGATTGTCGAGGCTAAATGTACGTCAGTGAGCCAGCACTGATATAATGTCCTTGCACAGTGATTTCTGGAGAAAGACGCAAGTTGAGGTGTTTGAAAGGAGAACTACAAAGAGAGTGGGTGAAGGATAAATGGAGATATTAAATGTGCAAATGAAAATATTTCAGCATAAGAATCACCACGCAAAAATGCGAGCGAATGGACAACAATGGAAATGAATGGAAGAAAAGAGCAGATAACGAAGCGGTAGAAAACAGGGAGTGTGATGGTGAGATGATCTTTCTGCAAAACAGAATCAAAGGAAATGAAATTCATTAAATATAAGGAGCTGTGAATATGTATTGTGGCAGCGGGAAGGGCGGACACGTGTATCAGTAGAAGGGAATAATAGCGGGCAAAGAAACATTGTTGGTCGAATTGAAACGAAAGTGAAGAATCTGAAGCGCCAGTCTTACTCACACAGGACAATAAGAAGTTACGCTCCGAACCGCTGACTGCGGTAGTTGTCGATGGGCCTGCGCTGCTCCATGAAATTTGCGCACCATCGTCCTGATATATAATCTTTTCCCTTAAGGCCACCTCATCGTGAGGCATTCGGAAGTGCTTCCTTGTCACGATATCTGCTCCTCCATGCTTCTGTCCCTTGACACCCTCATTGAGGGGCTTCAGGTCAGGGGACATGAGCTCAGGACGCATTTGCGGCTCCGCGAGACCACAGTCGCCATCCAAAATTGACGCGAGAATGATCCCTTGGGGTCTAGCGAGACTCTGGGATGGCGTGTGATAAGGGCTACGAGACTAAGCCGGTGATCACAGATGTCCCGTGAGAGTGAAACAATGAGAAAGGAGATCGTGAGATTACTCGACGAACATTGAACAAATGATGTTGTCGGCCAGAAGAAAGAGAGTGTGTGGGTGGGTCAACCAAAGAGATCGTTACAGAGTAAACATCTCAGGCAGATCTGCCTCAGTCCATCTTCGATGGCCAACCATTTTTACACTAAGCAAGGACAGTCTTTGCTCCCCACGTTGAGCAGTCGGAGGGGGGAGACGAATGGATTCAAGCCGAGTTGTTTCAGCAAGTGGTGATGTTCTGAAGGGGAGGGAGTAGTGAAACGTGCTGCGAAATCGAGGTTGGACCATTCACGTTAGAGAAAAATGGCCTCGTCAACGGGAGAGGCCGAGGAGCCAAGCGCCCAGATGCGACGAGGGTCCATGTCGTCGTGCAATGTACAGCGCTAGGAGGTCAGATACAGATCATCAGGCCCGCTCGGCTTATACAAGACTATTTGGACTACCGGCATGCAAATTTCAAAAAAGACACTGCATTTGAACGAAACTGATGCGAGGTCAGAATCCAGAGGTGAGCGAAAAAGAAAAACAAAAGATTATATCAGCACAAGGTGTGATGTTATGCATGACCCAACCAAAACGGCGAAGGGCGCTCTAGGACATACATTGGCTAGCTTGGTTCTAAAGGACGGAATTGAGGGTTTGGTTTGAGGCGCCAAAGGTGACAACCTCAAAGGAACGGTCCGAGGCCCGTGGCGCGTGGCGCGTGCAAAGGGTCAAGCCTGCAAAAGCCCCTCAAGGCAGCTTAGCCGCAAAATCCCTCCTCACCGCCCAAAAGCGAAGACGCCTCCAGGCTCCGGCAGGTATCAACCATGTTCAGAGTACTTCCATTTCTTTACGCAGTCATGCCCCATCACGCCCCAACAATCAAAGTCTTCGTAACTTGGATCTGATCCGATTCAAGTACCATATGAGGCGCTCATCTCGCAGCATGCGGCTGCTGATGAAAACCAGCATTACCCTAGTCACGATCCTCAACCCAACCACGAGGCTTGCAGGATTTCCCCGCCTTGCATCGCTTTCCATCTTCAAAGCCAGAGGGGTCTACGTGACTTCTTCTCTCCCTCAGGGAAAGCGTTACTGGTAGGGCATGACCCGGACTTTCCTCTTACACGTTGCCGATTCAACGCGCGCCTTGCACTCTTAAAGGGTACCCCGCATTAGTCTTCCAGAACCCTTGACGATCACAAGGCCTCTTTGAAGAGTGAGGCATTTGGGTCCGTCACATCCCTTATTGTTACGTGGTCTCTTTCTCAAAGTGAGTTTTGCGGCCGCAACGAATGGATTCGCCATTTTTCAACGGCTCCTTATGCATTTCGAAGAAAAGACTTTTTCGCCCACCACCAGAATTTTTTTAGCGATGTTGGTCCCTAGAGCTGCCGTTGTTGTCTGATGGGACAAAGTCGCTGCACTCTCCATTCAACATGCATCTCACCACATTCGCTAGCCTCTCAATACCCTCGGCCAAGCAGTCTTCTTCCTCCCAGGAGAAGCAGACGCGCACAGCGCTAGGAAAGCGTGCCCCTTTTGCATCGTTCGAAACCTCGAAAAGACTGCCTTCAGCAATGATCACGTTCTCCATCTCCATAGCACGGCGAGCTACCAAATCTGCATCCAATCCGTTTGGAAGATCGAACCAGATGAAGTAGCCACCCACGACATCCCGGTCGGGCTGAGCCATGGTCACGCCCAGCGGAAGAAGGTATCGCTCGATTGCGAGAAGCATTCGACGGTATCGTGCAGCGTAGGCAGGCCGAAGAACATTCCGAATATGTTTCTGCAGCTCGCCCGAGGCCAGCATGTCTGCGATGAAAGTTGAAGCGAGTTGGGAGGGCGCGCCGCCAGATCTACTCGAGCCGCTATGCCGCAAGTCAGATGTCATTCGAGGTTTGTCACTGTAGCAAGCTCTTGCAGTACTTACGTTTGAGAGAGACCAAAGGCAAACTTCGGTGTGCCCTCTGCCCAGCCCGTCCGAGAGCCTGGGGCTACAATCTTGCTGAAGCTGCCATTACTGACGGCATTTCCGAACCCGTGTGATCCTGAACGCTCGGCACCGCCTTCTAGCCGCCGGTCCACGTCTACAATGCGGGGCAAAATAGCATGGTCGGCATCGCGATTGCCCGAGCTATGTGCCGAGACAGACACAGCCCACTGAAGATGGTCATACACATCGTCAGTGATGATGAGCGCATCAAACTCGCGTGCAAGACGGACGAGCTCCTCGCGATGTTGAAGGCTCATTGTAATCGAGGAGGGGTTGGAAAACGTAGGCACAGCATAGATAATGTGGCGGTATACTCGGGCCCATGGTCGATTAGGTTTCAATTTCTGGTATCGAGCCCTGTCAGCCGGACCAAGTCTCTTCTTCGTGGTTGAGTTTACAACACAAAGTATCATACCGGCACATTGTTTCCTTCCAATTCGGCGCGTTTTTCGCTCTCTCTCAGGCCCCTTCGTAGGAAGTCCAAGTCAATGCCCCCTTTGTCTTCTGGCACTGCACGCAGTCTACCATGAAACCCGGAGTCCTCAAAAATGCGGCAGGCTAGAAAATATGTTGGAGCCACCATCCAGATATTGCGAGTGTAGACCGGATCGGTGAAGACCTGCAGGATGCAGGCAAGATTTTGGCTAGCGCCACCGGTGATACAGATTCTCTCTGGAGATATCTGCTCCAGCGGTAGATAGTATTTGTGCAGCCATGACGCAATTTGCTCTCGTAGTGGCTCATATCCAGGATCGGGCCCATACTGTAGGCCGGGAACGAAGACGTCTGGATTTGAAAGAACGCTCTGCGAGGCAGTTTTGAGTTGCGGCGCCGGGAGGAGCTTAGGGTTCGGCCAGCCTCTCAAAAGGTTAATTAGTGGTTTTTGCGCAGCAACCATAATGACGTTCGAAGTCGCAGTCAAGCAGTGGAACTTTTGAGTCGTGAGGACTAGGACTTCGTCAAGAATCGATGGTGATAGAGTCCACTCTAAACAGCTCCACGCTTCTCAAGTCAATGAGTCCTTCGGCACTTTGTTGGTTATCACTTTCCAGTTGATCTCCGAGCTCGGAGTTGGCAGGAAAAGTTTGCACCTGTCATATTTTCGAAAAATTTATGCTTATCTTCTTGAGGTTTTCACTTTCCCCAGATAACAACACCCAAGCTCTGGCGGGAACGGGCATCTCGGAAGGGGCAAGTTTCCCCGAAAGCGAGCTGCTCGCTCCCAAAACGGTCGGGACCGGCCCGTGCCCATAACTTATGCAGAGTCGACGGTTTTCTCGCGGTTCCTTTGATATTTTCTAACTATGATATACATCCGATTGCTCTTAACCTTTTTTTTTATTTGCCTGCATCTTCAGAACCTAGAACACCAATGCGTTTGGCTTTTTCATTAATCCTTGACTTTCTTCCTGAAAGTTATGTGATAAGAAGGGAATAGAGTATATGATGGTGTTGACACAGATCCTGCTATTGACCGAAAATGCTGCCGTTGGCTCAGGAATGGCTCTGCCACGTATGCGGACAGTGATGTGCTATTTTGGCATGTAGTGGCGTCAGGACGTGCGATACTTTTGGAAGAATGTGGAGTCATTGAAATTGGTGGCCACGCGGCTACAATATCCAGCTTCGATATCAGAAGTTATAATGGAGGATTATTTTTACCCTCTCATGTTTTTTTTTTTTAAAAAAAAAAAAAAAAAAAAAATCTCGAATTAATCAGCAGGATTACAGATTTGGACAAAACATGTCTGAGTATTTTCTGTAGCTGGGTCAAATAATTCAATTCGAAATCTGGGTGAGCATCCATTTGGAATGCGCTTATTGAGCCAAAAGATTGCGCCTCGCTCGATTGTCCCTCGCTCGATTGTCCCAAGGCAGGACAGATATGTCCATCGTTTGCAGGAGAGATTCCTCGGTAATACTTCCGATGCTGAAGATTAAGAACGACACGTGGGGCTCCTAAACCACCGATGACTGAGATCTTTGGGTGACATTGTTCTGTACGAGTAGTGTACGGAGTAATTTTACCAGCATGGGAACGAGCTTTCCCTAATAACACCATCAGTATTAGATTCAGGGATGAAACATAGAAGCGGAATTGGGGCCCAGTAATGATTACGATTAGTTAATGGTAATTCAACATCTTATCCCTCATGTACCACCTGGGACGGTTCAGATTACATTTACAGAGTCTCGCACGAGATTGAGAATGACAGATCAGAAAAGGTCTGCAGAAGTGATGCTGATACATGTCTTGCTTTGGGTCATCCGCACATTGTATTCACTCTATTCAACGGGACCACTATAGATATCCTTCTTGATTGATATACACCCCACTCTTTGACCGGGACATTGGACACAAGGAACTTCGAGAACACCACAATAATACGCTTGGCCGGGTTGAGTTAGGAAGGCCACGATCACGGACCCGCATAAGGAGGCGAAGCTCTTCAACTTTCTCCTTTAAAAGCCTTCGCCTCGCCCAAAAATAGTTAAGTCTGGCGCTTAAATGGACCCTCTAAATGACGTTTCTTCTTGTCGGGAAAATAGAGCCACCGCGGGACATAAATCCTCTCTCTTTTCAGCATAGTCAGGACGTCCGCAAGGGAACCAACGCAACTGGTATGTTGCGGCTTGTCAGATGTCAAGAATAGATTTTCCACATTCCCTTACCACTGCTCAGTAACTTAGCCTTGCTTGTCTTTCCCCTTACCTGACTCGACTTACGTGTCTATCTCCCCTGATTCGGGTGCAAAAGCTTCCGAGGTCCCTGTGCTTTGAGACCAGGCGAGGTACACGTAGGAGAGGCGCAGTTCATGGTATGCATTGGATTACGGATAATTTGTGTCCGCAGGCAAACCAAACAATCTCTAAAGCATGCTGAACAAACCGTCTGTGCGCATCTTTTTGTCTAAGAGGCTTTTCCTCAGGGCGATGTCGTAAGAGACAAAGCCTCCGAGGCTGTCCCGATCCAAAACAGCCCCCAAACACTCTGGTTCTTTAATTTGTAGGCTAAAAAATGAAGATATCCTACATTTTAAGGAGGGCCCCGAAACAGTGCACTGGCTAAGGTGTCAAATTTGTTTGATTAACAATGCAGATTTTTCTTGAACATCATCCTTCTTGTTGAACAGACGCCCCCTTTTGCAGCTACTGTGTATCTTCCCATGCCTACGGCCGACCCTTGCGCTGACAGCTTGTGATCATCCCTTCTTTTTCGTTCCCCCTCCACAGTATCTCCGGTTTCACCAGCAAGTCTCTCCAAGATGGAGACTGTGACGATGCCGCCAGCTGGGGACGCTGTCGGTTCTGCATCCGTTTCTGCGCCTTCTGACCAAGGAATAGATCCCTCCACGTCCGGTGCATCCGAAGACTGTGAACAATTGACCAAATGTCACAACCCGCCTATGACACGGCGTAGTTGTTCCGATTCGGGGCCAGACTTCCCTCAAACCCATTTACTTTCTCCGCCGCCATCCACCTCGGCGCTCTCTTTGCCTGGTTCACGATCCAGTTCTCGCTCTTCTGTTTACTCTTCGGGGGGCGAGTTGTCTCCAGCTGTTCCAAGATCCTCAGTTTCAAGGAGACCTACAAGCTTCTACGGAGGATCCTTCCAGGACACACTGAGCCCTGTCCCACAAGATCATCCCGGAAATCGGAAATTATCCAAGCGACGAAGCTGGCTGCCAGGCCTACAAAATTTTTCTTCTGGAGGAAAAAAAAGAGACAGCTCGGAGGAAAAATATACAACGTGGATTCTTGGTCCTGGCAGTGATGTGGAGTTTGATGCTTCGCCGTTAAAGAAAGCAAAGCCAGTAAGTACTTCTAGCCAGCGGTACTGGTTGTCCACTAACTAAAGAGCGGTATGCATAGATACCCGAGCTGTGGGATCCCGATGGCGATACCTTTGTTTACCTTTTCCCTCGAGAAACCGGAAAAGCCCCTTCCTTTAAAGTCGATTCTTCTATATTCTCCTCTTCGCGGGCTCTTTCGGCATTGGCTCATGACAGAGTATATGGTCAAGATGAACCTTCTCCAGAAACATCAGATCAATATCCCAAAATATCGTCACAAGAATGTGCGCTCCCAAGTCCCACATCCTCACCTGTGACTTCTCCAACAAGTGGCTCTTCTCATTCCACCCGTCTCTCCCGAGCATCGAGCAACTTTTCAATGGGCCCGCGGAAAGAGATCCACCTATACTTGGCCGAAGTAGCCCTAAAAAATGATCACAACCAGGCCAAGGTTTTCAGCTCATCTGAAGATCTGGACGACCTTGTTTCTTTGCGAAATCTTTTCGCGTTCCTGCTCGGCCAGGCGCTCGTAGCAACCAGCAAGCACCAGACTATTCTAGCTATCTTCTTACGAGGAGGTGGTCTCCTTGAAAGCTTTGGGTTTTCCAACCTTGATGGATCTAGCTTCGGTGAAGTCCCAGTTGAGAGATTCGACCGATATGTGGAAGAATTCGGTTTAGCAGATGTCAGACGAAGTCCTGAAAAGACCATTGAGGGTCTTATCTTGGCTGAAAGGATGCGGTCGTTGAAGCTCTACAATGAGTGCTTTGTCCACGCCGTGGGCAATTTTGACAGCTTGATGAAGCTTAATGGCCCACAGTATGGCTTGATAAGTGAAACGACCCGGAAACGTATTGAAAGAGCATCCATGGATCTGACCGGACGCCTGGAAAATGTCCGATTGAAGCTAAAAGAATTCGAATTCCCATCTCTGTGGGCTGGTATAGCCAGTTCAAACACGGTCGATGAGAGCAAGAATATCCACTTCAAGGCTTGGAGAGCGTCTTTCCTTTCCACTCGAAAGCATTTCTTGGGTCATCTCAAGAAGAGATACGGCTCCTGGCCACCAAAAGCGAGCTCAAAGAAGAATGAGTTTGAGGAGAGCGGTCTCAATCGTATTGTGCTCCAAGAGGTCTATGAAGATCTCGGTGTCATCTATGACCTCTTAGTCGATCGCACTTCCCTGACCACCCGGGGTGGTGCTTGGCCCACACAGACCAAGGCTGGCGGCGGACCAGATTCCGAAAATCCTATATTCTGGGCTCTTCGGGGAATCCTAGGAGAGTATGACCGCAGTTCTCCCCCGGTTTTACCTCCCATTCCCTTTGACGTTCCTTTACTTCCATCTTTAGCTTCCACTCGAAATGGTTTTGGTACTGGTGATGCCAAAAAGGAAGCCAAGGAGGATAACAAAAGGCTGAAGGACAGCGAGGTTGAAAAAATCCTCAGTGCATCCCACAATGCCGACACAATCATAAAGAGCCCCTTCCTGGGGACTTTCCAAGCCTTTGAGAGTAAAGAAGCCCATAGGCAGTCAAGTAATGGTCTCTGCGACCTGCGTATCGGACAATGGATATTCATATACACCGTGCTCCAGGCATTGCCCATGGTGATCGTTGATGCGCCCGGTGTCCAATGGAAAAAGGGCGTAGAGTATTTCCTCTGCGAACCGCCCAAAGGTGGTGTACCCTGGAGCAAAGAGGACCCAGGGCTAAGAATGAATTGGTACGAAATTGCAGGCGGCTCAGGCTTTGTTAGTCTTCCTTCGGACATTGTCGATTACAGCATCGAGGGCACCTATCGCCGGAGCCATTGCTGGGGAGCAGCTGCCAAATGGGGCGAGGATGTTGTAGGCCTCTTGGACAATGCTGTTTCCCCAACCGACGCAAATGCCGATGCCGATTCCTCTTCGCCAGCAGCGCCAGCGCCAGCCTCGAGGTTACTTAGCCCGAATCGGTCCATCTCTCCCCAGTCCCGGTTGTCTGTTGTCAATCTCGGATTGGAAGCACTGGCAGTTCCGTCGGGAGTCAGTCCCGATGGAACAACTCCAGCACGGCCCGTCTCAACTTTTGACCCGAATTTGAGCTTCGAGACAATCATTGGTAGTGCCGACCCGCGAAGTAATGACCGGCCTAGGAGGAAGAGCAGAGTCTTTTCCTGAGCCTATTATCCTTCTTATTCTATTTTCTCTACTTTCCTCTTCTTATTCCTTATTCACTTCTGCTTCCTTCGCAAGATTTCTTGATTAGGCACTTACAAAGATGTGCCCAAGTCTGGATGGCGAGCATCAAATCAATCAAAGCCTTTTCAGCCGGATGGGTTTGCATTTCCTCTCCCTCTTTTCCTCTTCAATCACTCTTACTCCCTTTCTTTCCGTAACATTCAGCGTCGCGCTCTACGCATTTTCTGCTCGCAAGGTGTATCCTCATATGCTTGCATTTGCTTGGCGTTTCTAGCAAATTTCTGTCATACTATTCCTACATGTTTGCAGTAGCGATGCTACTCTTTTTCCAGATGCTGCACTCATATAATTTTAAAATGGACAGGTCCCTTTCGGCCGTGTATTTCCTTCTAGAGCAACTTTAAATCAAAAGAGCATTCCAAAAATCATATGCATGGGTACATATGTTTTCTAGGTGTCCGATATGAGCGGTTGAGGAAAATGAGATTTATAGCTCTGTCAGCTTAGGAAATCAAAATGTGATAAAGCACACATCATTTCTAAATGTCACTTTTCATTGACTGGCGAAGTATCAAGAAGAGCATGTTGCAAGACATTTATAGCTCGACAAGACTCTTAAACTCCACAAATTTAATGAAATGCTCTCATTCAAACCCGAGCGTAGAAGCGCCTCAAGGCATTTTATGTACAAGAATCAGACTGGTCCAAGCAACAGCAGTAAAGGAGACAAAGTTGAAATAATGACAAAGAGCCTAATGCGCGAAGCCAAATGAAGCGGGCGAGGAAGCAAAGTAGGGCGAAGTGAAACGCATATGACATGGATAAAACAGATTTTAATCCTCGTCCGTGTCGGTGTCGGTGTCTGTATCGGTGGCTTCGTCTTCGTCTTCGTCTTCTGTTCCGCTCTCTTCCTCACTAGAAGCGTCTCGCGTACGTCTTGGTCTTGTCGGCGTCGGGCCTGCCAGGCCTCCAGTCTTCAAAGCATTCATTTGACCAGCAAGGGAATCTGCAAGAAGAAAGTTAGTGGGAGCAATTGATAAGGCTTAAAAATTGAAGTAAAGGACTTATGAGTTGCTATTACCTTCATCTGGTTCGCTAATCTCGTCCTCTGCGTCAATTTGCTCCGCCCGAGCCATATCATCAACAACGAGGGTAACCTCGCGCTTGCTGTCCATACCGACGTAGCTGTCACACACGAGATGCATGACAAACGTGTACTGACCTGGCTGAGGAGGCGCCTGAAATTGCATTTTGAATGTTTGGATAGCGTAAGTCGGCTCGCCCTGATTATTGAACAAAGGTCTCTCAAAAGTCGTAAATGTGAATGGAGGAACAGCCAGCTTGCCTTGCTTGCCATCAGCGAGGAACAAATGCCAGCGTGGTGAATGGTCTCGAGCCAGGTAAGGCCCAAAAGCCAAAGGTGGCTGCACCAGCTTCTCATTGTCACTTGCAGAGCCTTTGCTATCGCCCTCAGCCGGTGCTTTCGAACGTTTGGCAGGTTTTCGTCCAAGGAGAGCATCGAGGTCGCCCTCATCGGGGTCAACATCCTCGAGGTCAATCTCATTCACTTCAGGGACATTGGATGAGCCGGGTGGCACAACACGTGCTTTGACTACAAATTGCACCAAACTTCCTGGCGTAATGAAACGCTCTCCCATAACCTTAAAAAAGGCCTTCTCCACCTGAAGGGAAGGGAGCTGCTTTGCTACTGATACCGCCGACTCGTACTGACTATTCGATAGAAGACGAGGACCTGTAGCAAGCTCTCGCCGTTTCTGCTCATGAATATGCATGAATTGTTGAACTGTCAGGTGCAATTTGGCAGATTCACCTTCAACTGCTTGGGCTATTTCAGGAGTGAAGTGAGGAAGTTGTAATAGCGGTGAAGACCCAGGCGGGATGGCTTGGATAATATTCTGGGACGTTCGATAGGCTGATAGAATTGGCATAGTATTTCCGAATGCAAGTGCAATTGCAGCAAACGATTCGTTGAGAGATAGCGCGACTGGCGCAACTTCATACTTCTCTGATGCACCAATGAGTATGAACAGCTTTTTGTTGTGTTATGTTTGAGGATACAAACGTACCGTAATTCAGGGTTGGGTCTTCAAGTTCAACGCGGCCAAGGTACGCCCAAAGAAGACTCAATACTTTTCGTCGCAAGCCATCGTCGAGATCCTCCAGCTTCTGGCGGTCTGCCGGTGCAAGAATTGTGAACAACTTTTCAGAGTCGCTGCCTGCAAGTATTTTCCTTTCGATTTTTCCGGAGCCCCTTTCGCCTTTTTCACCACCAAGAAGACTCCGGAATTCTTCGCCACTGCTGAGAGCGCCAATGACACCCCCTTCAGATAAGTTCTCTTCATATTCTCTGAAGAGATTACCAGCACTTGCTACTAAGACCTTCTCTCTGGTCATTCTCTGCGTACCGTACCACCAGGTCCCGACGAGATACGGGAGAAGCACCCCAAGCAGCGATCCATAGACGAGGAGCACATATTTTCCGTTTCCTTCCGTCACAATAAATTTTGGCAAGGCAATGCCAATACTGAAACTTTGTTTTCCATCGGGGTGACCATACTGAATATAATTATTGCGTACCTCCTCATCTGTGAGGGCTTTGTACGCTTTGGAAATTTCCACAAAGCGTTCGCTCACGGATTCAACGGTTTCGTTCAACGCGGGATCCGGGCGAATTTTGTCAGGATGATATTTTAGAGAGAGGCGTTTATAGTGGTTTTTGATATCCTTTTCACTTGCGGACTGGTGAAGACCATTAGCGAATGAAGAGACATGTATCTGTAGCAGTACAAACCCGGGAAATCTGCAAGATATCATACGGATCCCAAATTTTCGGGGTCACCCTTGCTGTGACTATGATGAGGTAAATCATCCATCCCATTACCGCGTATCCTAACAGCACGGTAAAAAATCGCTTCACTTTGCGCTCCTGCCGCCGATGTTTCCGTTTCTGCCCTTCCACCACATCCGCATTCTTCGATTTAAAATCAGAGGATATTCGGGGCGCGGTGTTTTCAAGGCCTTACATTTTCCTTTCATCAGCACAAGGTCTTCATCGAGCAGTATAGGTCCTACAAACCTTTGTTGGGTTTCAATAAGGAATATGTAAGTGGAAGTGTGACGAGACCCGAAATGGTCAAAACGAAGAATGGAAAGAATTGGCCCTATATTTCGATTAACTAAATTGAATTCGAGGCTTCAATGATACGGCTTCTTGCCTGTTCGTCATAGTTGTAATCGGTAGACATGATGGCGAAACAGAGACCACGACGTCAATCAATGACGACGTGGTCAAGAAAGAGTCGAAAAAGTAATCACGGGTAAGATCAAAGATCTCGGCTCAGCCGAAAAATTTAAATGAGTATTTCAGCCTTTGAGGCAGCCAGAGCATGCTCTACTTTGGTGCCGCAGACAAACAATGAACTTTCCCACTGGTTCACCAACTTGCCAGATGCGACTTTGTGCTCATGCCAGAAAGCTGTCCTCTCACTACAGTTAACTAGACGAGTCATCTACATTTGGTTAGTTCGCGACACCCCCAGATTCGGATCAGCTAAGTCCGGCGAGTTCCGCAACGCTCCTTTCGGGCATGTCAAACTGATAGGTTATATGGCCGACGAGGAGTGGAGATACAATAACAAAGAATTAAAAAAAAAGTAACATGTACTTTCCACTGTTTGAATCCTCAGAACAAAGGTTGCATAATAATTTTAAGAGCTCAAGCGATCAATCATGTACAAGAAAACCGCCAAATACAATTAGCCTTTTCTATTTCCTCCAAAAAAGGCCCCCAGTGGGGAAAACAATAACGCCACGAGACTCAGCTTAGCGATCAAATACAGGATGTTTTATCGTGGTCGAGTTGCTTCTATAGCGGCGCCCAACGGGACAACCCTCAAGCTCGGGCTCCGCTTCGGCTGCCATGAAGTCATGATATGCTCCTCTTCCCATTTTCTAAATATGGCTTTGAAATCCCGCGGAATGCCTTGAAGGATGACTGTACTAACGGGAAGAAATGGGCGATCCTCTAATGATGCGGAGAGAATTCCATATTCTTGGGCGAATAGCAGCGCGGCCTGGAATTCAGTAGACCGTGATTGGGCCTGCGCACCAATCACGCTATACAGGACCGATTTGTAAGTGTACTGTAACGAGGGAAAGGAATGAAGGATTACTTACATATAAATCTCAAAGAAAGCATCCACGACATATATGTCAGAAATGCAAAGATCTCTTTGACAAAAAGGTGATATCTCACGAACCTGTTTGAAGGCAAAAACATCAATCCCAACCCCAATGGAAAAGTCCTAGTGCACTTACCTTCGACTTGACGCCCAAATCAATGCAGAATAGTCTGCATCTATAATTATCGTAGCTGGCTTTTAATCTCCAATGATCAGCAGACTTGGGAATGGCTGTCTTGCTATCGATAGAGAAAGCCTGAAAAAAGGATGAAGATTCGTGACCCTCTTCTACTTCTTCAATTTCCGGCGAGACCCCTACATCCATGCCAATCAACCTTGCACATCCGAGTTCGTCAGCACTACAACCTCTTCCTTTCCACAAGATAGGCTTTCCTCTTGGTCTAGAGATCAGGTAAGGGAATCCAGAACAGAGACTGTTAAGAGATAGGTCAACCTCATCAAATACAACGTTCCCAAGATGGCGGCGGCCACAGAGAATATACGGTTGCCCTGTGTGCTGTCCCATCATATTCCCTCGACGGACGATAACAATGCCCCCTAGTGCTTGAATGAAGTTTGAACTTTCTTTCCCTTGCCGAAAGATTGAGAATAGGCAGCCGTGGTCCTCCGACATCTGCCGCCCTCGTTGCATCACGTATTGGAACTCAGAGTCTCGAACTGAGTCTCCGACCCATGCATAACATTCCATGTCTCTTTTTCCATTTTGCGCAATGAAAGTATGGGTACAAAGATAAGCTTCCCCATCAAATAAAATGTGCTCTTTGCCTGGAGAAAGCTCTTCTTTATCCGCACCTGAACGTATCCGCCAGATGTTCTTTTGAATCGTTTTCACTTTCTTGGAGAGAGTGAATTCGTCGGACAAGAGAGCTTGCGTATCGATGGTTACGGCGCCCTTTCCAGTGGGAGGAATGTCGAAAAACTCTGCAAACAGTCTTGCTGCTTCAGATGTCTTTGGAACGGGGGACTGTTGCAAAGATTCCTGGATAGTCGCCTGGTTGAGTAAAGCTTCATCAGTGTTAATAGACGAAGGCGAATGACGAAGCTGAGAAATCACTGACGGGGGCTTTGATCTAGTGGCAGCCGGAGCTGGCTGGGTCTCAGGATGAGCAGCAGTGTGTTGCTTTGGGGTCGAATTAACGTCTTCTTGTTTATTTTGTATCACGTGTCGGAAATGATCCGCTGAAGAAGGGGGGAGGGCAGTGGCCGGAGTGCTGACACTTTCGTTACTATTTATTTTTGCGGTTGCATTTAGCTTTTCGGCTGGAGAATATTGGGCGGCTTTCGAAATTCCACATTGACCCCACATTTTTGTTGCCGCCTTGACAGATACCGACGCCTGAGCTTCCATGGGAATCTTGGGCCGGGTAATTGTGGAAGCCATGGCGTGGGTACTGTTTGGCTCAGGTCTACCAGGCTGGGAGCGGGGCGATGGCTCTCTAGAGCTTGATTTTCCTGAGGCATGAAAGGCCGGTGTATGGTGTAATTCATGCTCCACTTTCCCGACGTTTTCTGCGTTGCGGTCTCCTGCCCTCTGCTGAACGAATGAAGAAGGCGACCTCAGCATACTAAGCTCGGATCCATTGCGACTTTGTGGGCGAGATGCTGGAGCTTCGGATTTTGCATCCCAAAGCTTTGCAGATGTGTCAGCCTCGCTTGGCTCATCAGAAGTTGTATCTTGGCTTTGAGTTTTTTGACCGCTGTTACGTGGGCTTTGTTGCTTAGAGGTTGGAAGTCTCCGTTTCGGGCCACGAGCCCTTCCCTTGGTCATATGCGTTAGCTGCGTTGACGAGGTACGCTGGTCGCCGAGCTTGTCATCATTTGCGATCGCTGAGCCACTCGAGGTAGGAGAGCTCTCTGGATCCCAAGGTCGCTCTCCTTCTTGGGCAGCACCTTGGCGAGGTCCTCGGGCTAGTGCCTGAGCTAGAGCTGGATTGAATCTCGCTGCTAAATTTCCACTTTTTCCAAAGCCTGTAGTTGTAGGCTTTGCTGAGGGCATTTCTTTCGCTGCATTATCGTGGTTTTGGTGAAATTTTCTTTGATCTCGGCCGATCGGATCATTTTTAAAATTCGAAGAGTCTTCTTGGGTCAGATTCGTTTCGGTATCACCTTCGGCAGGTACGGATTTTGATTGGATTGCCCGTGTCTCGACTGGGCGGCTAGCAGACACCGGACCGCCTTCTTCTCTCGAGGATGGACGCGGAATACGTTCCGCGTCTGCTCGTGATTTTATGACTTCTTTTCGTTTGACAATGCTCTCCTTAAAGTCATCTTTCACTACACTCTTTCGTGGACCGCCCGTGGCTGTGAGACCAGCCTTTCCGCGGAGTATATTGTCTTTCAACTCGTTTTGAGCTACATAATGTTGAGTCTGGGTGCGCTTTAGCTTGCCAAAAACGTTTTTGAATTCGGGTTCGTCGGCATCCTTTGATTCCGCTTTCGAGGGCATAGTCTTCAGCGTAGAACGGAAATCCTTTTTCGGAGGCGTTGCCGGTTTGGGTTTTGTTGGCTCGACGTGACTCTTGAGATCTGCTGCCGTGCCTCTCTGCTCTTTCTCAGAGCTGCCCACATCGATGTCCATTTGCATTGCTCTCTCTGGACTGCGCGGGGTGGCTTCCGTGATTCTTCGTTTTAAAGTTACGCCAAAACGCGTACCTGGGCTATTCGGCATTTCTGGGATCTTGTCATCCTTGCCTAGAGGCCCTAGTTCATCCCTTGAGGGAGTCGCCGACGCGGATAAATTGTTGGATGAGTCCGCAGTAGATCTCAGGTCCAAGCGGGCGCCTTTTCCGAGATCTACGCTATTCCGCTGCTGTTTCGCTTTGCTAATCTCTGCCATCCAGCTTGGCTGTGGCGGTGCCACCGGCACTTTCGGCTTGGAGCTTTCTGGTTTATTCAGCGCGCTTTCTAGCCAGCTTGCCTTTGTCGGGCTCCAGCGTTTTTGGTCCATGGTTTTGGATGGACTGACTGGTGGCGTCGTGAGCGAGCCGGTGGGACTTTTGGTGCTGTCTTCGCTTCCGATATTGGTCGTTGATCGAGATCGAGAGTGGTGGATCAGCATAGGCTTAACGATGTCTGAAGGGGGCCTTGAATCAATGGTATGCTGAGAACGCTCATTGTGGGAATCTGGAGCAGTCTCCTCAACTTGCCAAGGAACCAAGTCGCCATTAGAGCTAGATTTTGGGCGAAGCATTGGGAGAGAAGAGCTTTCATTGAGTCGACTAACCGGAGGCAACTCGGGGTTCGGCGCCCTCCTGGATCCATTCAAAGCGCTAAGGTGCTGCTTGCTCTCATTCAGTGGCCCCATGTGATTAGCAATCGAGTTCCCACGACTAAGACCGGGGCGTGACTGAGTGCTCCATCTCTTGCTGACACTATCAGACCGTTTAAGCATTGCGCTCTGAACGAAGCCCCCGAGCCCTTTCGTTGGTGAACTCGCGCGCTCAGGCGCCTCAGGCGACCCTTGAATAGGAAGAGGGTTTGCTATTGACGATATATTAGAAGCCAAGGGTTCGAGTTCACCAGATCCTCCTATGCCAGCATCATGCAAGTCAGCTTTTCGGCTCGCACTCAAATTATTTGATGTGACATCTTCCGCTAAACTAGATTCAGGAAGATTCAGAGGAGCAGCGGCTTCCGTGTACTGCTCACTTGCCAGAGCTCCAGCTGGCTCCGGACTCGAGGAAGGACAGGCTTGTGGACTTGTGGTTTCAGAATGCGCATTGCTTTTCTCGAATGAAACAGTTGGTCGATGGGAGAGTCCTGGCAGGGGCATCTTGTTCGCCGGTGAGCCGCGAGATGAATTTGGCACACTGTCGTCGCGTCGATAAGCAGGGGATCGGAGACCTCTGTCGGCTGTTTGTTTGAACCAAGAAGGATCTTTCGATGCTAGAGATTGTGCGATTTGGTTTCTAGAGCGGCCGAGATCATCAGGTGCCTTCAAGTCAGGGTTATCGACTAGAGAATCTGAGGGTCCCTCCGAGCGATTTTCTTTTGTAGCAATCGAATGTTGACGAACAGGTGAGCCAATTGACGAACGAGAATCTGGTCGGCGTTGCCAAGAGAGAGTGCCAGCCCTAGAAGGGATAATGGGGGCTGCAGATGAACCTCGTGACGCGCTCAAAGGCTTTGCTGGTGGTTGCGGTAGTTCACGCATCGCTTCTTGTGGAGACTGTGTAGAGGAATTGCTCTCCTCTATGCCAGTCAAACGTCGTAGTGTATCGCTGATTTGCGCGTTGCGCAAAGTATGATCTGAACTCGATGAGTTTGAACCAAAGGAAGAGCCGGGGTGGTTGTCCTGCTTGGTCGCGTCCAACGGAGATCTTTCAGGCGGTGGTGTACTGATGTTGGAGGGCGTGTCCTTTGTAGGGGATATTGACCTTGCTCGCTCTAAACAATCATCATCAGCAGTGTGACTTGTCAGATATTCGTAACCTGCACGACTTGGCAAAGCCATCACTGAGAGACGTTACCTGCTCGACGGGCTTGCCTCTCTTTGCGCCCTTGCAGTATTTCCTCCTCTAGCTTCCTCGTGCGCTCTTCATCCTCCTTGTCACGCCTATGTCCTAATTCCCTTATCCGTTGAAGGAAGTCATTGACATCCTCTGCACCTTCGAAACTGCCAACACTTGACATCATGGACAACGTTGAATCTTTAAAAAAAAAAAAGGTCTTCAATATTAGGCGGGGTTACAGCACATGTCGTTTTCGCAACGTTTCACATTCGCACCTTGCAGACGATCGACGCCGGCCTCGTTCGGGGGTTGGCCAGATTCAGGTTGTACAACCCGTATGCCAGCCAAGGATGGACGGGATGGACGGGATGGACGATAACACTATTATCAGCCACGCACGACTTAAAATGGTATGTACGGTGCTATCTTCGTCGCCTTATAATATCAGAATCAATGAAAAGAAAAGCACTATGCGATTGGAATCAATGTTCCAGATGCCAACTATACTAGGTGCTCTTCGATCCAGTCTTTTGAGGGGCAGCTTTCTAGCCGAACCGTGGGGCGTTGGCAGGCCGCGACGCGGGACTAACACCCAAGGTTTGGTACGGAGTAGGAAGCCTTGTACCCTTTGTTGTTATTATTGTTGTTATGGTCCCCACAACCTCGCTTCTTTCGCCCACAACTGTACGAGTACCAAATCGTCAGACGCGACCGAGGGGACGTGGACTCGTTTATTTCCTTGCGCAAGGAAACAAAACTACTTACCGGAGCCATAGCAACAGCTTCAGTACTTTCGTCATCGCTATTGGAATCGCGACTAGAGCTGTTTCTGCTCCAGTGTAAACAACGTTTAAACAACTCCCAAATTAGGGGGAAAAAGCCAATTGGGCGCATGCTGTAATGGAATAATTGTGGTAATTGTTGAACAGAAGAGCAGCGCACTATATCAAATTATTCCGTGCCGTCGGGCTGTATCATGTTTGTTATCTTAAGACCCCCATCGATAATGTACATCAACCTTTCCCGCTCGATTGAGTATCACAATCAGATGCTACACATACAGCACCAATCACATAATTCAGTCGTGTGTCCGCGCAGGAAGAATTATATTAATTAAGGTATATATAGTGCTTTAATAAAGAAGCCCAAAGAAGCATCAAGCTCCGGAAATCAGTATAGGAACAATCTGTCTTTGGCATCTTGGACAACCCAGCTAAGACCCTCTCGGAGATTGAGGCCATCTAATGCACTGCAACGAAGTATCGTCCAGTTATGAGTCCTAATTGCATCCAACTGGAGCCGCTGCAGTTGGAGTGATGGGCAGTTAGGCGAATTGCTTATGAAAGAATGGACGAGGAGTCATTTACCTCCCGGATTTCCCCCTCATTCATACATCCAACCACATCGACCTTGTTGGCCAACACAAGCAAGCTCGCGCCCATTAATCGCTTACAAAAGTTTTCCCTCGATCAGCCCAGGCTTTACAAGCATATGCGGAGCGCTCACCTCCTCCAGAAGGAGTCCTGCCAGCTCCTCCCTGCAATCGTCCATTCTGAGTCGGTCAGTGGCATCAACGACCCATATCAGGGCATCAGTCTTTTCAAAATAATTTCTCCAGTATGATCTGAGTGTTTTCTGACCCCCCACGTCCCCTATAGCCGCAACTTTGTTAGCTCCAGAAAATAGAATTACAAATTGAATTATTTGGACAGAACTTGCATATGTTTAGTTTGTAGCTTTTCGGGCTCAGTCAGCCTTTGTTGCAATTAGTTTCGAATTCAACTCACTCACCCGTCAAAGTCAATTGTCTTGATGATGAAACCTAACGTAGGGCTGACGGTGTTTATATCCTCACCCATGATTCTCTTCACAATGGTAGTTTTGCCTGCATTGTCTAGTCCGCTGGGATATTCGTTCAGTACCACAACTTGGATTCGGACGCAACCTAGCTTACAGCATGAGTACGCGAAGCTCCTTATCTTTCAGACGAGCCTTGCGCAGGATGGATAACATGATTGACCGATGGTCACTGAATTGGAATTTGACTGCAAATGCCTGTCATTTTTCAATTTGATTGCGTGCAGAAATCCCCGTAAAGCTCGGCCCGTTGCCCTTCCGTCGAGCCCGCTCGCCTCGGTTTAATTTACGGTTATGTAACTTAGGTCAGGTACCTCCTGCCATCATTATCCGACTCATAATTAATAGTATTCCAACAGTCCTCAAATGAAAGCACAGTACAAGTTGCTCCTGTAAGTTGACAGAGATGCTCTACCCTTATTTTTCTTCTTTCTCGTATTCCATCTCCACTTGTTCATACAGACCTCCCCGGCTTCTCAATATGGATACCTGATGGCTTCTATCATAAGCCTTCTCGCTTGCTCTGTTATACTGCATGAATTCGATTCCAGCCACTTTACCAACCGTCATGTATGATGCAAATCGAAGTGCTTCGTCATTCCTTCTTACTGTCATCTACAAAGCAACGTCAATAATAATCAAATTTTGATCTATAAATTATGATGACTAACGAAGCTTCCCCCGCCGGACAGCGCAAGCTTTCTTCAAACGGACAGCGTTTGAGCTGGAAGCGCCGCGGTTATCGTAATCAAATTGATAATCAGTGGCCATCCCAGTTGCAGTCACCGGGCCAAAACCTTGGAAATTATCGGACTAAGGCAATTGAGGCTGGAAATCAGCACGTTCAAGGGTCCGCTTATTCTCCCAAGGAGCCTAGTGAATTCAACTCGTATTCTCTCACAAAAAGTGAACCAGAAAAGATCGAACTTTTGGACAGAAACGTTGCCCGTGCTGGAGGTTTACCACAGCATGGTGGACAAGGCACAGGACACGAGAATGGGAATGAGGCTTTTCTTCACTCAGGTCATATAAAAGGGCCGAGTCTGCCAACCATGCATTCGGTACGCCTTCCCTCACTCGGAGAACGTTCAAATGAAATTCCAAATGAAATTCCAGAGCCAAGTCATCATGTGAGTCTCAATTTCATGCATCCAGTAATCTTCACCTCTCATTCAGCGATCATCAGAAAGTCCAGAAATGCTGTCCCGGGTTTATGTTGCCCTTGACTGGCATTCCATGCTGGCTGAAGCGCCTATGTCAACTAACATCTCCCAGTCTGCCAAAAGTTCAATGCACCCCCCTAGGACATTTCGTTCTTGCAGTTCACGGCCACCGGCTGCTATCCTTTCAGAAAAGAAGAGTCCTCCAGGTGATGAAGAGACAAATTCTTTATCTGTTATGCATCCTCGAGAACAACAAAAGTTCTTTCCAAGAAACTCCTTCAGAGGATCACGTGGAAGGGGTCAAGGTCGCACCGGGCGTGGTGGCTTTTCTCGTGGTCCAAGGCCGCACCAAAATATGGATTTGAGCTCAAATACAGGACATCGCTTTGCGAATCCTATTAAAAGCCAACGAGGGTACCACAGCAACTCTTTACATGATTCGCACTATGCAACTGGTTCAAGAATTAACACGCCTCGTGGTGGCGTGTCTCTTCCTTTACGGTCCGCAATGCACTCCACACCGCCGCAACAAAAGCCTGCCTCCGATGCCTGGTCTTACTGGGAGGAGGAAAGGCCGCAGGCTGTTGAAGTGCAAAGACATGATTTCAATCAAGTTCAGGGAGACGGCAAACTTGAGGTCATTAACGATGGTCTCGGATCGAGAGATGAAACTCCAGCAGGCAATTCGTTTAAACAACCACCACTTCAGAGAAAGCCGTCTTCGAAGGAGATGGCTCCCAATTCCAACGCAACGACGATTCAGTCGAGCAATGCTCCTGAGCATGTAGGAGCGGAAGTCATGACCAGCCCGACTCAACCTCAACTGGTGGGTCCTCGAAGTCTACAAGCGCCAAGCCCTGAGAGTCTTCCAAACCCCTCACAGCGAGTAGAGAGGCAACGTGGCATTCCTCGAAATTATAGAATGGCCAAGCCAGCCGAGGTACAGCCTCCTTTCCATATCCCCAATGATCAACCATCTTTGACAGTAGAGCCTACAATTGGAGGATTTGGAGATCTTACCCGCGATCACACATATCCGTCGAATTCTCAGCGCCGACGGGAGTCAAAGTGGCCGGCAAGGAGGGACTTGAAGACGCCGAGAAGAAGTTATGTGCCGGGCACGGACAATGCAAGCGGGCTACCGAGCATAGCCGGAGCAGATGCAGGATCGGATGATGTTGTAGACGGCAATGAAGAAGATGATGCTTACTTGGAGAATCGGCTGGCTGACTGGGATGGCTCATGGGCACCTGCACCGGTTGAATGGGACAGCCGACCGGCATTTAAAGACCGCAAATTCATGGATACCATGGAATCTTGGATTCGGCAGATTCAAAGGCAGCAATTTCCAAAGGTAGACATGACTAGCATTGCGTTTCAAGATGGCTCGGCTCCTGTGCAAGAAGATGGGTTGCTGGGCTCACCTTTGGATCACCCTCGCTCTCTGCTAGATCCAGAAGATGAGTTCACGGCATCCCATATAATGCAAACTGCGCAGATATCGGCGCTGGAACGCAGCAACCGCGTTCTTCGGCGCGAAAAGGAAAGAAAGCAGCGTCAAAAGATTCTTAGGGCCTCGCTCATCGAGCACGCGGCTAGTTACGTGCCGCCTCCAAATCCTTATGCTCCGAAGGCAAACATCTATCTACGTCCTGTTCAGCCGTCAGACTTTTCGCAGATCAGAGATATTTATCAATATTATGTGGAAACATCTGTGTATGTCTCTGAATTAGAGTCAGTAACCATTTCGCAGATGCAAAGCCGATGGGAAGACGTGCGCGAGAGCAAGCTACCATGGTTGGTGGCCGTTGACAGGAAGATGAACAAAGGTCGGAATGGATCGCGCGAAAATATATTGGGGTTCGGATTTGCAGATGATTATAATTCACTTCGCAGCTCCTATCGCTATACCGTGGAATTAGAGCTGTATGTCCGCCCAGAACATCGTCAACTGGGCATTGGCAGATGCCTAATGGACAAACTCATGGGACTGCTTGACCCAATATATGTTGAACGTGAGGGCTATGATTTCGTCTTCGAAGGTGGCGAATACGGCCCTGGGGGCGCTAGAGTTATCGGAAAGGTTCTCTGCATGATAGCGTATGACGGGAATGACAGGACACAGCTGGATTGGCTCAAAAAGTGGCTGGAGCAATGGGAGTTCGCGCAGGTTGGAGATCTGCTAGGGATTGGATGGAAATTTGATAAATCGTAAGACGCTTGGAAATTTTCGTTGAACTACATCTAGAATTGCTAACTGCAAACTAGGGTCAATGTGGCTTGCCTTCAGATGACTACAGGAAGCCGTATCGAACCGCATCGTGGAATGTAACTCATTGAATCCTTGCTGACCCCAACGCTCCTATGCTTCTCAAAAGATTGGATCTCCGAAAAATTGTGTCTGGCTCCAGATATTTCTACGTTGGCGAGCGAAGTATCAGATTACATTGACGGCCAATTTGGTGCTTGATTTGCTAGAAACAATCTAAATCCCATTCCATTCATCTTGTTTGACATAATCCAAGGTGAGCATTGACATATATTCATTGAACAAGTGCATTTCAAAGCTTCCACACACAGAGCACAAGATAGATCAGCCTCCTTCCTACCCGACACACATTGGTAGTCTTATTGCGCTTTTCGTCTCTGAGATACAATCAAGACTACATTCTGTATACCAGTGCAGTTTTCTTAGGGCCTGCGTTGCAGAAGGGGGGGCAAGGTGGATGTAGCACAGTGTCCATATTCCATTGACTGTCGACACTAATTGATCCCCCCACGAAAACCGGATACGAAAGGACTTTCGCGGGTTAAAGCGCCCAGCAGCGTGTGCCCCAGATTCTGCACGTATGACCATTCAAGATTTAAGCACGGCAGTCACAGTCACAGTCACAGTCCCCTATTTCACTTCTATACATTGAGCCCGTTCGTCCGAAGAACTCCTATTTCCATGTTAACGGGTCCAAAGGTTTGAGGTACTTGGAGATGAAGTGGGTAAGATGGTAGTGGCACGACTAATTTCACCGCCCTCTATTTCTGGTTAGCGTGAACATGCTTTTTGAGGACGATCTGCCAGAGCCTTGAATATCTGGCTAGAATTTATTTTCAGGGCCGCCACACGCGAGAGAAAAGTGATCGCGAAAGCCCATAAATTCTGTTAAAATCTGCTGAATATGTCTCCTCAGGCTTTGCCAAATGAGGAAGATGATTTCATCTTGACTCTATCGGATGAAGACATTGCTACCGCCGCAGAGCGAACAGCAGAGTCCTCACGAGGCGGAAAGTCTGGACTGAAACGGAGAGCGGAGGATATCTCTCCGGAAAGAAACAAGAAGAAGACGAAAAAGTCACGATCTCCGATGCCATACTCCTCTACTTCGGATGACGAAGATTTACAGGATGAAGAAGACGCTGCTTTGAACTCGGATTTTGAATTTCAACCCGGGGATGCTACGACAACTGTCCTTGACGATTTTGATGGATGGACGGGCCATGCTGGTACTGCTGCGGCTGCAGACCCCGCGAAGAAACAGGCAGTAGATTTGGACGACATCATCGCACGGCGAAGGCAGACCCGCGATCAGGGTTCTCAGCCAGACAGTTCCGACAATGACGCTTCGGAGAATGAAGAAGAATTAAGTCCGTCAAGTGCTGACGAGGAGGATGAGGATGACATTGTTGAAGATGAAAAACCAGACAACTCAGCTAGTAGGGGTATCCAAGGAATCGGATCAGAGAATGGAGATGACGAGGCATCGGATGATGATTCCATCGCCTCCCCCGTTGCCCATCCCGACGACCTAGCTTCCGATACTGCCTCAGATGACGACGAAGACGAGAATCCGACTCAGCTAGCTCGCCGCGAGGCATTTTTTGCACCGGCGGAGGAAGGCACTACCCCAGCCAAGGGCTCGAAAGCTTCACCTGGAATGTCTTTCCAAAGCATGTCTCTTTCGCGACCCATCCTGCGAGGTCTAGCTTCGGTGGGATTCTCAGAGCCTACTCCTATTCAATCTAAAACTATCCCGGTCGCTCTACTAGGCAAAGACATTGTCGGTGGCGCTGTTACGGGTTCTGGAAAGACTGCGGCGTTCGTCATTCCTATCTTGGAACGCCTGCTCTATCGTCCGAAGAAGGTGCCTACAAGCCGGGTTGTAATCTTGATGCCGACGAGAGAATTAGCTGTTCAGTGTTTTAATGTCGCCAAGAAGCTGGCAAGCTTCACAGATATCACGTTCTGTCAGCTAGTCGGAGGTTTCAGTCTGAGGGAGCAGGAAAATGTTCTCAAGACTCGGCCCGATGTTATTATTGCTACTCCTGGACGCTTCATTGATCATATGCGGAACTCTGCAAGCTTTACGGTAGATACCTTGGAGATTCTGGTCCTCGACGAAGCAGATCGGATGCTCGAAGATGGTTTTGCCGATGAGCTAAATGAGATTCTGACAACTATCCCTAAGTCACGCCAGACAATGCTCTTCTCGGCAACCATGACTCAATCAATAGACAAATTGATACGTGTTGGCCTCAATCGTCCTGTGAGGCTCATGGTCGACAACAATCGTCGTACTGTCGGTACATTAGTTCAGGAATTTGTTAGACTTCGGCCTGGGAGGGAAGATAAGAGACTAGGGTATCTCATGGTGTTGTGCAAGTCTGTCTACACTGAAAAGACAATCATCTTCTTCAGGCAGAAGAAGGAGGCTCACAGGGTGAGAATTGTCTTTGGTCTTGCGGGATTGACGGCCGGGGAATTGCACGGAAGCATGAGTCAAGAGCAGGTGAGTCCGATTTGCTTCGTGGCGTGAGCTACCTTATCTTATATTTAATCTCTAACGCATGCATAGCGAATGAAAAGCTTGGAAGCCTTCCGTAACGGCAAAGTCTCGTTTCTTCTCGCAACAGATGTTGCGTCCCGTGGTTTGGATATCAAAGGCATCGAAACAGTCATTAACTACGAAGCGCCTCAATCCCACGAAATCTATCTTCACCGAGTTGGAAGAACAGCACGAGCAGGACGCTCCGGTCGAGCCTGTACTATTGCTGCTGAACCCGATCGGAAGATTGTCAAAGCTGCAGTCAAAACGGGCAGAAACCAGGGTGCCAAAATTGTCAGTCGGCTCATCGGTCCTTCGGAGGCGGACAAATGGGCGCAAAAGGTCGAGGCAATGGGAACTGAAATTGAGGAGATCCTCAAAGAGGAAAAGCAAGAAAAGCAGCTTGCTCAAGCAGAGATGCATGTCAAGCGAGGGGAGAACCTCATCGCTCACGAAGAAGAGATTAAGTCCAGACCGAGGAGAACTTGGTTTGAGTCGGAAAAACAAAAGCAGGCCTCAAAGCAGGCTGGCTTCCATGAGTTGAATGCACCGGACGCCGTACAAGCCGTCAAGGAGAAGCGGAAGCTAAGCGGAAAAGAAAAGAAGCAGCTTGAGGACAGAGAGGCTAGACTGGGAGGAAAGGTTTGGAAGAAGGGTAAGACTGAAAGGTCTGGTTTGCCGACTAAGAAGCCGGGCGCCGGCAAGAAAGGGGGAAAGAATAAAGCCAATCTCGGGCGAAGGAAATGAAATGTAAATATAAGGACTTGGTGCATTTGATATTTGTTTCAGAAGATGCGGTCCTTCGATCGTAATCTTAGTTTCTAATATTATAATTTCGTACAGATTGGCCATCCACTCCGATTGCCAAGGCAGTATGGTGTGAGCAGTACGTGCAAATCATGAGTCTATCAAGAACGCGTGATCAAAGCGTCATGTCCTAATTATTTGTCGCCTCAACGGCGAGTGCAGGGAGCAAAAACCACAAAGCTGGCTGCGTTCGCACAATCTGCTTTTATGAGAGGGAAAGCTTCCAGATTGCGATAATGAGCCGTTTTTGAGGGTAATGGATTCTCTGTGCTATCATTCGCTAGCCTGTAATATCATTTCGGTAATGATTTTACAGCTTTCTCTATAGATGTATGAGCTATCTTAGAATCTATTTAATACCCCAAGTATTCTAACTTAAGCAACGACACGATATCTATAGGTAGGAAGTTTTACAAATCTTTAGACAGTATATATCAGAAACACAAAGAATAGCCTAGATACCGCTATAATTCTTATTATAAATTTATAGGTAGGGAAGGTGAAGTGAAGATAGCGTGATATTGTACCATAGATACAAGAACAATATATTTATATTTACTAGGGATCTCGACTATGATCTCTTTTGTTTATTCCCTACATCTCTCTTTTTCAATGTTTATTTCCCTACCACTCGTAACTTCTGCTTCCAAGTGTTGTATGTGCAACCGGTAGTTACTACGCTACCTAGATTCTAGTACTATAAGAAATTAAAAGAGAAGCGGCCTCATTTGTCTAGAGTCTTTTGTATGTACTCATACTATATTTACGTCGTGATTCTCGTGATAAACTGTGCAAAGCCCGAAAACTGCTTCCTTATAAACCGGATGTAGGATGCAGTAGAAATAATATTCTAAATCTCGGACCAATACAAAACTCCTTTTCGCCAAAGCGTAAGAAACATCATGCTTTGATTGCTGAAAACCGATTGGCCAATTGGAGCTGGTGGGCGTCGTCAAAGAATTGCAGAGAACAGGAATCGTTGCTGACAAAAAGAGCCCAACCATCATCATCGTTATCATCAGAATCAAAAATGTTAAAGGCTTCAAACCGCGCTGCCATAGCCGCTGCCGTCATATCTACTACTTCCGTGATGTAAATGGCTCGCAGAGCTCGAACTATTCTGTATCGTCGGATCCTCCGGCCAGTCTTCCTCTTCCAGGTCTCTGTCTCCAATGTTAACTGCTCTCAAAACACCTTGCCGGCGAGACGGAAGCGACCAAAGATCGTTTTTAGGTTCCAAAGATTCATGGCTAGGAATCGACGGAGGACTTAAAACTGGCTTCTTGCTATACAGAGGCTCAGGTGGTTCGTCTTGCAAAGATCTAGCTGCATGGTGTGCGTCATTGGTTGAAGTAGGCACATTGTTGAAGTTTTCATCTTGGTTGACTGGAATCTCCGGGCTGATACTCATCCCAGAAATTGCTTCCGGCAAGAGCGCTTCAGGGAGTCCAACATAGTCCTTTGATGGAGGAACGATGTTGACATCATGGCTTGCTGCGTCTTGGTCGGAGAGAGAATTTTCCCGGATAGAATCGTCATAGTGAGTGGGCATCTCTGAGATGCCGTGAGGGAGAGGTATTTCCTCTTCGGGTTGAATTAAATATTTTTGGTTGTGCTCTTCAGGAATATGTGCCTCGATAATAGGAGTCGAAGAACTCTCGACATACTTCCCGCTTCCGTTACCTCCAGAAATGCTGCCATTTCTCACACTGACAGGTTCGCTTCTGGGCGGTGCCACTTCGGTAACTTGTGAGTCGGCTCCATCCGAGTCCTTGATATTAAACTGAGCAATCGTTCTAAGTTTCCTTGTTACCCATGACGCGAGAATCTTGCCGCGCTGCTTTTCACCCAAGCGTGACCTTGGGAAGTCTCCTTTCGACACAAATGCCACAACGTCAACGATTAATTGATGCTCGTTCAATATTGCATTGACGATGACTGGAACGATAGATGCAAGGTAGGCTTTTCGAATGACTTCGACGAGGACCACAACTAGTCCACCGGCTTGAAAAACGGCGCTGCTCTACTTGTTAGTCGTCATTCTCAAAAGCTAAGCATTATTGTCACATACCTCCCGCCCGGGACGATATTCCTATGACACTTTTCAATCGAATATTCGATGTCCATCGGGAAATGGCTGAGGCCGTTCACTTCAAAAGTATCCCCTATTGCACCAAGAACAAAAAGGATCTGCATCTCGACAAGTGCTCCACCAGGACCAATTGGGCGACTGACATTATGCAGAAAACCTAGATCACCGGTGCGTACGTAGGTCACCTGGGAGTCCCCATCTACAGTCTGGCCACGGAACCTTTCAGCATCAAAAATATCCTTCGAGCCGTAGAACGACTTGACACAGGCTTCCGACTGCACCCATATTTCTCCATACTCGCCGACGTGGCAAAGGCGACAGGTTTCAGGATTCACTATAGCAATTTGCGTGTTCACCGGCACCATTCCAGAATCCTGAATCAAAAGAGCCGAAGGATCAGTGTCGGGGTCCACGGGAAAAACCAGACCACAGCGCAGAGCGCGCGCGTCCAGCCAAAGCTCAATCGGCTCAATACACATATAAGATCGTGATGCTATCATTGGATTCAGCACATGGGAATAGATGGTGTTAATGGCAGTCCGATCTAGACCTGCTGCTGCAAAGAAGAGTCGAACTCTCTGGACTTTATTCCAAGTTAGAATGAGCTTCACCGCTTAAACCGGGAAACGCAAGACATACAGACGTCCACCCTGGGTCTTCCTTCTGTTGAAATCATAAGATTCTTCAATTCTTGTAGCATAAATCCTTTGCCGGGCATCGTATTCATTGCGTGATCCAACATCTGTGAGGTGGCATAAGTATTTTTTATCTTATATCTTGACAAAGTCAAGAAAAGGGACTGGGGGTTCTGGGCGAAGTCGACGGGGGAGACGAGATACGTCGGAGAACCTGTTTTCGTTAGCCAGCTATCCTGCACTTCCTCCGGTTGCTTGGCTGAGCTTACCAACAAAAACACCCATCAAACATGTGTGAAGAAAGCCTATGCCACTCGTGCTCCTTACGCATCCCAGGACAGGCCTCGAGCTTGTCATTTGGCACGTTTCCTTTTGCACTTTACAAATCCCCATAATTGTATCGTGGCACAGCTGAACCGCAACTCGCCTCTGATCGGGGGTCCAGTATGTCCATACCAAAGCGGGTTGGTTTGAAGCAACCCACTCCGGCTTCATAATGAAGCCAAGCTCCCGGCATCCGTTCGTCTGCTTCGGAGGCTTACCAGTATTGTATGAGTTGGGAAGAGCGACTTTGAGCACCAGCGCAGACTGTTTCAGGTGTTGAGAAACCGGCTTTTGCTTCAACAAATGCTCGACCTCAGAGTTCATTAGAATTGCCTTGACTTTGAAATCCGAGATCATATGAAGCAGAGCCGGTGCATCCTCATGGAGACGATTTTGATCGAGCGGAGCGACAGGAATAGCCACGACTCCAAGGCAGAAACACGCGTGAACTGCTAAAACAAAATCCTCCGAATGGGTGTACATCAATATCAAACGATCACCTGGGCGGGCTTTCGCTTTATTTTTTATAAAAGCTGCAACCGCAGCAATTTTCGTGTCCAACTTCTTCCAGGTAATTCCTTTCCCTTCACGACCACGGCCATCAATTGTGCAATAAGAGAGTTCCTCCGCTTGTCTCGAAACACGCCATTGCAGCAAATCGACAAGGCTAGAGAAACTATTCAGTGGTGTCGAGGTGCGGTCATCTATCACAACTTCGCGATAGTCTACGCCAGAATATTGTTTCTCCTGCAATGCCAAATTATCCTGCCTGTTCTGGGTTGACAATGGTGACCATATACCCCCAACAGGGTCGTGACCAACGGGAAGATTCAAAACTGCTCTCTCCACTCCGAACTTAACATGGACACAGGGCAGAGCACCATTGTCAAATTCTTTTCGACAAAGCATATTGCCAATCTCTTTTCTCCCATTTTTCGTTACCCTCGGAAGAGTATTTGGAGCCGTGATCATCACACAGTATACACGAACATGATGTTCCTGATACAGTATTTCCATGCATCTTTCAGACAGCGAGTCCAAAAGCGCTGTGTCTAACTGCCTTGGAGGCCCACCTGATGTTGAAGGTGCAGTGGATGCAGCGCTAGACTCCAATAGCACAATCGGTAAGTGCTCTTCATTGACGAAGACGTCAAAAGCAGAGCTGAATCTATTAGTAATTTCATCCATAAAAGCTAGCAAAAACTTACCAATCATAGATTTTCGGAACGTTCTTCATAATACTGATAATTAGGTGCTGCACAAAAAAATATCTGTATTCTGCAACATCCATTCCATGCTCGACCCATTCAACCTTCTGCCTCAGCCTGTCTTCATACAAGCCGAGCACAAAAATTTTACCTTCAATGACACAACCGAGGAGACCAGTTCTTAGAAATTCCAGGTCTATGGGCACAGGCGAAGGACTCCCCTCAACGAAATGGTAGGGTCTCGCGTGGAAAATGGTTTCTGTATGCTTTGGTAGGGCCCAGAAGCCGCCAGACAAGGAGGGGGAATCGACCCAAATCTCCCCAATCACATGCGGCGAACACAACAAACTCGTTTCTGGGTCGACAACGGCCAGAGTTGCATCCGGAATAGGATAGCCAAAGGCTCCAACTCGGACAGTACCAGGTTCTATGCCAGCTTTTTTTCTTGCTTCTTCTCCAATCGCGACCACAATCACCTCATTTGTTTTTAGAGCCTCTTTATCAAGAAGCACCTCACTCAGCTCGTTGCGCCCTTTCCTATCTTCTGCCCCGATTGCTGTCCCCCCAATCAAGCTTCCATAACCACTGTGACCGGAAAACCTCGTCTTCTCTTCTGGCTCTTCCTCTGACAATGTGGCTGTATTCGAGCCATCCAAAATTAGCGAACATCCCATGCGCTCCTCTCCTCCTAGCCAATCTCGTACGCTTATCACCATGCCTCCGTGTTCTGGAAGGCAAAGCATCGGCGCCACCAAGTCCCTCGCTCGAGGGTTTCTCAAAGGCCTTAACCAACGATCAGCAAGTATCTCATGAAACTCTCCATCAACAGTCAATGTGTCAATAAGGCAAAGCTTGACAGAAGCAAAATTCGGGTCGACATTCTTTTTGAAATTTCTTGTCGTCATTGGATCCGCTTGATAATTGTAGACAGCTCTTTTCAGGCCCGGATAATCTGCAACCATGAGGGTCGCCTTGTATTTTGTGATCAGATGAGCGTAGAGCCCGGGCGTCTCTACGGCATGCGACTCAATCCAGACCGTGGTATGCCCTCCATACACGGTCAGAAGAACCCCAAGGATCATGCCGATGCTCTGCCTAGGGTCAAGGTAACTAAGGAGGATCTCCCCTGTCCCCCCGTGCGCAAACGGTCGTGTGCTTTTGTCGCGAAAGAGCGCACTTTGCGAATCTAATCCCCCTTCACTCCCAGGAACCGTGGCAATTATCGCACTAAGACAAGCCATCTGATGCATGATTGTTCTGTGACTCATAACTACTCCACGAAGATCACCCGTTGGTGCTCGAGAAAACTCAATGTAAGCAAGATCCGGGACCTGCAATGGAGGTACATCGTCCTTCTTTTTGGGGTGAAAACTGCCAAACTCGTTCGTCTTCCACCACTCCACTCCTCGAGGCCAGCTGAGCTTTTGCATTGTGATGTCTCGCTGAAAAGCTTTTAGGTTGTTGTCGGTGGTCAGAGCTAAGTGCGCCTGCGTCGATGTCAATATAACATTGAGCTTTTGATAGTCTTCGAGGTTGTTGATCGGCACAGCAACCACGCCAGCGATGAAGCAACCCATCAAGGCGACAGCAAATTCGATAATCTCGGCATCTCGGTAGATCAGCGCAACGCGGTCTCCTCGATAGAGATTGCTCTTGTCTCTAATGACCTGGGCAACTTTTTCCGCTCGACTAGTGAGTTTATCCCAGGTGATTGAGGCGGTTTCCTTCCCCTTCTGATCTAAAACCCAATAGGCTGGGCGCTTCGGATTCGTCCGACTTCTATGTCTTAGAACCGATGGAATATTATCAAATTTGGACATAGGGATATTTTCATTGTGCGGATCATAAACTGCAAATGGGACATCTCGTGGTTCAAGAGGAGCCTGGTGATTAGGTAGTCCAGGTAACGGAAGATCATTGGTGTTAAGCATTGGGGGCATGGTCGTCGGTGAGGAAAGGAAATCGCCCGAGGAGTATCTGTGCGGGCCACCTTCATAACTATCTCTTTGTTCTTGTCTCTGCTGCCCAGCGAAGTCGGAGAAATAGCCCTGCTGAAAATCGAGCATTGTACCTAAACGAGAGTGGGTTTCGGATATTTGAGGATGGTCGCTCCCAGGATTTTCTGCATATCCTAGCTGTGCCGCAGGAATAAAAGCGTAATCTGACATCAGTGTTGGTTCTGTTGACATCTCAGAGTTATCCACAAACTCTCCTGCGCTTTCATATCGAGGAATAGAATGAATCTCCTCGTTAACAGAAGACCTCATTGGGGTGCTCGTCACTGATTCATCGTGAAATAACTGTAGCTGCTCGGAAGAGTAGACCTCAGCCGGTAATCTAGGTATCATGTGCGCTGCATCCTGACTTTCGACTATTAGATCTACATCAGCGACACGTGCAAGATTATTTTGAGAGTCAGTCAGCCCAGTATTAGTGGAAGGGCTTTGGGTGCGCAGACCCGGAGGATGAACACTGTCCGCGGAATGGGCACTAAGGGCAGCAAGGGTTGCACTGCGAGATCCAGCGAGAGAAGAGCTACCATCGTCTACGCTGTGCAGACGTAGACGGGTCTGCAGTGGCTCTGTTTGAAAGTTCCCAAAATATTGCGACAGTAGTACAGTGCGGCGCTTTTGATACCTATAAGATCAGACGTTAAATAGCCCTTCAATAATGAGAACAGTCACAACAAGGTCTTTCTGAAGAAACGGGGACCTACCCTTTTTCGGTGATGTCGCCTTCCTGGTTTAAACATCAGCTTATTTGCGACTCTCGGAATCTTTGAATGAACTAAACACGTTGGTTTGCAGGTTGGCGGTGAAATGATGACGTACCGCTAATTCATGATCCAGCTCTTCAAGCTTCGCCTGAAGCTCAGTATTTCCTTCAGCCATGACCTCGCCCGCTTCGGCTACACGCGCCGGTGGCAGCTATTCGATATTAGACCTTGTCACATAGGACGATTCTGAAATATTCCAATGCGTTGCCGCACATCCAACGAGGAAGCGAAAGTCGAAGCTCACAGGAAGAGCACGATGCCAAATTACCTGGTGTTGCTTGGGCGGAGCGAGATCTCGGGAGGTATGCTCAGGAGGGTTTAGTCTCCGGTGGTTGTTGCGTTCGGCTAGCATTGGATAACTAATTTCTCTCAAGCAGAGTACTTGTATACGGCGCCTAGGAAACTGAATAGTTACCTACCCAAGGTAGGTTATACACTCTATACACTGTATACTAGGTAGGGTGTCTACCTAAGGTATATTAATGCTATAATTGATTAAGCCTCCTCTAGGTTTCTCTAATACATATTTCTGATACAGCTCTATATAATTGAGACTTATTTTCTATTTTCTTTCTTGAATACAAGAATATTAAATCTAGTCATAGTTATAAAAAGCAAGATATAAAGTAAAGGATCATATTTTAAAGAAACTATTTTTAGATTACAAAGGAAGAAATTCAATTTAAATATAAAGATGTTAGTTTAGATATAAAATTGTCATACCTTTAGAATACCTGACAAAGAATAATGGTAATATTACTTGTATATTATACTATATATAGATTTCAAAAAAAAAAAAAAAAAAACTACACAGTTTAAATGTAGTAAATTATTTATTTCAAGCCTGTAACTTAATATCCATTTACTGTTATCACTGAAAATATCTCCTAAGCTATATTGGTCCAACCATATTATAATTATTGGACCGCTAGAGCATGGATTCTATCTCGATCTTATGGATTGTCACTGGGCACACAATACTGTCAAATCATACCTCCATAGTGATTCTTCTACGGTATTGAAAAGCCGTTTATTTTCCCTACGGTACCTTAGGTTATCTTAGGTACCTTATCTTAGGTAAGTAGAGGGAGCAACAGTACTAGGCCGAAAGTCTTCGTTCGCTTGCAAATAATGTCCAGGTCGCGTTCATTTCAAAGCAGTAGATTGATTTTCTATCATGTTCTCATAAACTTTACTGCCTGATTTATTTGCTAATACATTTACTATTTGAGATACAAAGAATAAACTCGTCCAAAAGTTATCTGATTACTGAAATCATGTGGGGCTGTCCCGGAAAATCTGGTTATGGCCGAACAGTTTTGGTCAGGTACTAGGGTACTGTACAATACATATAGGTAGGTACAGTACCTTAGGATTACCCCTCAAACCGGTCTATTGGCCCCAACCCCGAGACGGAGCTGCCCCGCCGTCAGTCGCAAAAGTTTTTGACCGACGAAATCGGCCAGTCGATAGTATGAATCATCTGAGGGCGTGTGATTCATCAAGCGAAGTTGATAGCATTTAACACGCATTTGGGCCGCATTTCCTGCCTGCGTCACGACCAACTCTCTATTGATTCCGATCTGACACCATTTACGGGTATAATTGAAATCACAGCCTCCGAAGAAATCTGACGTAACGCTATCCATCAAAATCCAAAGGCCCTATCTTCGTACGCACTTCCTGAAATACGGTTGCCTATCCGCCTGCCTCCGTGCGTTGATTTCGATATGCCGATGTATGGACGACGCTTGAAGCACCATAGTCGCCTTATTTTAGTACTGACTGACCGTGTTCCAGGCTGAAAGATCCTTCGAAGAAATACAAGGCTTTCAAGCCGATCAAATTGGAGAATCGCCAATGGCCATCCAAAACACTAAATCAGGCGCCGCGTTGGCTTGCCACTGATTTGCGAGATGGCAACCAGAGCTTGGTCGACCCTATGGTATGCCACTTGGCATTGATTGGCCTCCCTCTCATCTCGACTTTTCGGAAGCCGAGCTAATGTACCAGCAATAGGACGGTGATCAGAAATGGCACTACTTCAAAATGCTTGTGGAGCTGGGATATAAAGAGATTGAAGTTTCTTTCCCTTCTGCCTCCCAGACCGATTTCGACTTTACGAGGCGCATAGTGGAAACTCCCGGCGTTGTTCCTGACGATGTCTGGCTACAAGTTCTTTCCCCTTGCAGAGAGGACCTGATTCGCAGGACAGTCGAGTCTCTAAAGGGCGCGAAGAAAGCAATTCTTCACATCTATTTGGCAACAAGTGATTGTTTCCGTAGAGTTGTCTTTGGTTTTACTCAGGAAGAGAGCATAGAATTGGCGGTTCGATGCGCAAAGCTTAGCAGAGCCTTGACGAAGGACAACCCGGAACATCACGCAACGGAATGGGCTTTCGAGTTCTCGCCGGAGACTTTCTCAGACACGGATCCAGAATTTGTTATTAGGATCTGTGAAGCTGTTAAAGCAGCATGGGAACCAACTGAGGAAAATCCAATTATTTTCAACCTCCCGGCCACCGTTGAGATGGCAACGCCAAATGTCTACGCAGACCAGATCGAATATTTCTGCCGCAACATGACGGAAAGGGAGAAGATTTGTGTATCCTTGCACCCTCACAATGACCGTGGATGTGCTGTTGCTGCGGCTGAGTTAGCTCAAATGGCTGGCGCCGATCGTGTTGAAGGCACTCTGTTTGGTAATGGAGAAAGAACTGGAAATGTAGACCTTGTTACTCTTGGTCTAAACTTATATACGCAGGGTATATATCCGAACATTGATTTCTCGAACCTCAATTCCGTCATCAACGTCGTTGAGGAGTGCACCAAGATACCAGTGCATCCGAGGGCCCCTTATGGAGGTCAACTTGTCGTTTGCGCTTTCAGTGGCTCGCATCAAGACGCGATCAAAAAGGGGTTCCAAGCTCGCAAAGAAGGCGGCGCTAATGATGAGGACCATTGGCAGATGCCTTATCTTCCACTAGATCCGCAGGATATCGGCCGAACTTACGAGGCCATTATTCGTGTCAATTCGCAGAGTGGCAAAGGTGGTGTTGCTTGGATAATTTTACGCAGTCTTGAGCTCGACCTTCCTCGCGGGTTGCAAGTTGCGTTCTCCAAGGTCGTTCAAAAGGAAGCTGATACAGTTGGAAGGGAACTTCTTCCGCGTGAAATCCAAAAGCTTTTTGAGGACGCTTATTACCTGAAAAGCAATCCTCGATTTACTTTGGTAGACTATCAAATTTCCACAGAGCGCTCCAATTCTATTCAGTCCGGCTCCCTCGGCAGTCAGCCTTTGAAGAGACACTTTTCTGGAATTATTGCCATCGATGGAATTGAGCATAGCATCAAGGGCGTGGGAAACGGTGCTATTTCGTCTCTTGCTAACGCTCTCCACACGCTTGGCATTGACCTTGACGTGTCTGACTACAAGGAGCACGCAATTGGCGAAGGCAGGGACGTGAAGGCTGCTACGTATATTGAGTGTACCAATGCTGGCTCACCTGCGAAGGTGTGGGGAGTGGGTATTCATGAGGATGTAGTACAGGCGTCTTTGATTGCGTTGCTCTCAGCTGCGTCATCGGTGAGATTCACCTCAATGAAGAGATAGAGGGATTGCTAATCTCCTTCCAGTTTCTTTCGAGCCAGCCAAACACCCCGGTTCCATTCAGGCCGAAACGATCCGATGTAAATGTCGATTCGGACGTGTCGAATCTGAAATTAAACGGTGGTACTGCGTAGTGTCAGAACTTCCACTATCTGTATATTTTTCCATGCCTCAACGATCTTAGAGACCGCTTATTCAAAAGTCATAATTACGTCTTATCATCTATGTTTTAGCACGTCAACCGGAACTTAATCGAGTAACCATGTCGTTCTGCCGGCGATCTGGGTGGTTTCATATGAGTATTTGTGTAAAACTTCGAGGGCTGTGAAATGAGTAGAGAAAATAGTAATCTGCAAATGATTTGATTGGAACTCTCTGGCGCAGTAAAGGAAAACACAGTATGATTAAGGTTTCGAATTAAATTCCTCAGCTCGCTTCCTCAACAATTGGCCCGGCTACTTTACAATTTGCTATATATTCAGCAGCTGCTCGTAGATTCTCCGCCGCACTCAAAGCTTTCGTGACCAGGGTCTCATTCCTCTCAGTGACCAATTGTTGCAGTGCGCTAACCAGGAACCCTGAAAGGATGTCAATGGACCAAGATTCAGGAATCATGGTTAAAACCTGACGAATGATTAGCTTTCGCTATCAGTTGGATTACAGCGCAGACTTGCCAGATGTACATCAAACCATTTCCCGAAGCGATCAAGTAGTTCTCCAGTCCGTTCAATTCTTTCTGTTATGTCTTGTATCTGAAGCATCTCAGTCAAAAGGTAGCTGAATAGAGCAGATTGCTCCTGTTGCGAAAATTGTGACGCCGTAGCATCCAACGGCCGACGACGAAACATGCTGGAGCCTCCCACTAAACAATAATGCACTGCGCTATCATAGTCTCCTAATGTGTGAGTTAGAAGCCGCAAAGCTTGCTGATGACGACCCTGGCGACAGTCAAGGATGATCATTTCGGGCACGAGCACCTGTTTTAAAGGTTCAATTTTTGCCATGACCGTTGAGACATCATAGTCAATAATCAAACCCTCTGTGCCCCCAAGAAGTTGGAGAAGCCTTAGTCGATTCCGGCACCACTCTTCTTGAATGAAGTTTTCCTCGATAAACTGCCGGTAAGTCGGTCTTGGATAATGTAACGCCTTATAGGCTTCATAAGACTCCACGACGACCGAGCGCATAGTGTCCGAACTGTTTAATATCCCAATGATAGTATCAGTGTAGTAGAGTATCAGGTCATTCGCATACATTGTGTCCTTTTGCTCGTCAGTATCGTCTACAATGATCAGACTCTCAACAGAGAGCTCGAAACTTACGTGGTCAACAAAGACAAGATACTCTAAGTAATCTATCATAGCATTCGGAGCCCCACTCTTTAGTGCGTCAATCACCTGGACGGCTTCGAATTTGACTCTACTGGTGGAGTCTGTAAAAACAGAAACCCCCAGTTGCGCGTCCCGCCGGGCCAACCAAAGAGCATATTCTTTGACCAAAGAGGAGTCTCTTATCCTAAGAAGATATTTTCGCATTTCGTAATACCCGCCAATGAACTCTCCTCCATAGTCAGGTTCGCCCTCTAAAATGCGTCTCCATGTCTGCAGCACTTCACCTGCCATTTTTCGACTCTGATACAGCCTGCTGAGTACGTACAGGCGATGGTAACGTTCTATCAATGCGGCTGCGCTCTGAATGCATTCAACTCCTTGATCAACAAAATTGTTCAAATCGGCACGCAACGACAATGGAGTTGCAGGACCTTTAGGACTTTGCTGGTCCAAAATAAGGAGAACGTGAAGAAGACCAGAATCCACTGTCTGAGATATCTCATTCTCGTCAGTTACGCTTCCAAAGCCCTTCTTCTTCCTCCAGATTGACAGGTATTGTTTCAAAAGATGTAGAAGCTTGAAGTCGGAGGTTACTTTGGAAAGTATTAAGACATCCGCGGATTTCAAATCGGCCAGAAATTCTATAATGATTTCCTTAACGCCGGAGAAGGCCCAGATGCCTCTTTCGCCCTGGACAATATGTTCTCGCAGGCCAGGTATCAGAGACAGGACAATTCTCGGATCGACATTGCCTTCAACTAGCGCTTCCTCTGTCATCTTTCGGTAATCGTCTCCTACTTCGACTCCAGACATAACCCTTGAGATCATGTCAGTTAACAGTAGCAAGCCAGCCTTTTGTTTGACGTAGTTTAGGCTCAAGAAATCCAATTCGGTCTTTGGTTCTTGATCCCGAATATTATTCAATATCTGAGCAACTGCTTCTATGTCCACGAATTCTGTGGAACTGGCGCTTTTCGATGCTGGAATGGTTTTTTCCAATAATGAATCAAGTCGAATCGCCAGCGGGTTTCGAAAAACCCACCACGCCTTGTCCCCTGCCCAGAGAACCGTTTGACAGTCAATGTAACTTATTCTATCGATAAACTGTCGTTCTTCCTCGTTGCGCAAAGATTCCAGGTCATCTGTAGGACCCTGATCAATAAACTTTGGGTGACCTTGATGGGGGCTGGTCCGTCCATAGATGGATGGTTGAACGTCAGAAGACAGGGAGTCTCTTTGCTTAGCACTGGTTAACAGTGGAACTTCGCAATTTTCCGTGCTTGTATATAGTTCATTGATGCGGATTGGTGCCAACTGCATTTTCTCCCGAAGCTCTTCGAGAAAAACATTACAACGACCGGTTGTCCGCCTGATACCCACGGCGGGTCCGCGAGGAGTGGTCTGTTTCCGTGAGCTTTCGAAATGCTCTTTCATTGAGATCCATTCCCTCTTTCCTCCCCCTTCGCCGGGGCCTACATCCCATCTTTGGATCTCTAACCCCGCTTCATTTCCGGACGAAGAATCGCACCCCATGACCGCCAGCACGTAACCTTCGTCGCCGATGTCTCCGGTCACGCCAGAAATTGGATTAATTCCTCGACCATCTAAAGCAATCCCTTCAGGGTACCTGCTGAATTCTAGTGTCCCCCGAACCACGTCGCCGTCAAGATTGACGAACATCCCTACTCCTGGCTCTAGCGGGTTCGTGCCCGTCGTGAGCAAAAATTCTGTTGATGTGGGAGAGAGAATATGAGGCCGCAAGGAATTTGCCTGTGGAGTACTTTGATGAGCTCCTTCTAGAGTTCGGGAAGACGATTCCTTTGATTCTAGTGCAACAGTAGACCTAGCAGTTCCATGCGCCGCCAAACGATCATAAGTATTGCTTTTCTGCGCCTTTGAGCCGTCTAGGTTCGACGAGGCTTGCGATGACCCTGGAGCTACTGTTTTGTTGCTTGTCGTCCCTTCTTGACTACCCCTCTCCTCGGGTACGGCCTTGGGCTCCCATTTACTTGGCGATTCAGTTCTAGATATTCTAGATGATGCGCTACCCATTGGAGTCGAAACTCCTGCACCAGAGTCACCTTCGGAATTGCCATATTTGGAATCTTTGCCGTCAGACAGCCTTTCCTCTTGATGGAAAGAGCTGCCGTCATGGGATGAGATAGGGAAAAGTGGTATCTTCTGCTGATGATCCACATCCAACAGCGAGTAAGAGTGCGCATCCGCTACACAAGCAAAGTTATCTCTTCGAACGGTAGCCAGGCAGCCAGAGAATTCTATGTTCCTTACAAGTCGTGGTTCTTCGCTGATCCTCACAAGTCTGATCCTGTTTTTAATCGATACCATGACAGTCACCCCATCTCGCGCATAGTTGCTTGATCCGCTCTTGTTAAGATCTAAGCCTCCAACCCATCCGCAATTTGAGACCTTTGTATTTCCAAAAGCCGGAGTGAGTTCCGGCAGGGAATAAAATGAGAGTGTTCCATTGCAAAGGATGCAGGCTTTATTAACATCCTCAAGCAGAAGTATTTGCTGTATGCCAAGCGTGCCCTGCGGTGAGCTTGATAATGGGTTGAAAGTAGGCTGCAACCTCGATGCTAGAATAAAGTTTGGTTTGGAAAACCGACTGTCTGATTCGCCGGCGAGGAGAACAAAGTGTAATATTTCACCGGCTGATGTTCCTATGTACAAGTTCCCTTCTACATACCATTGTCACTATCGGCTTCAGAAATAAAATCAAGCACAAAGATGAGCGCGTAATCGTTTGTGGATCATTTTTGTCGCAAAGTTCGGTAGCATCACTCACCTAATAGCTCGATGCATGTTATGTCGGTACGGGAACCATCATCGGCGCCGGCGATCGGTACGTCATCAAATAATTTGCGGAGGATATATGAGCCAGGTTCCTGTTGGAAATTGCGCTTTCCGCGCCTTGTAAATGTTGTCACATCTCTTGAAGCCATCACTTTTGTCCCTCCGGAGCCACATTGAACTTCGAAGGGTGAACGAGCTGATGTCGCTGGGGTCGAAGAAAGGTATGTAGATCTAAAGCTGTTCAGCCTACAGCTGGAGCTTGCCGCATTCCGAATAGGGACAGCTTCCCGGAGTCGTCCTTGGCCGCTGCGTAACACGTTCAGTACTAGCAACCCTTCTCCAATGATGTTGTAGCATCATGCACAATCGCAAAAGTGTATATTTTGATTTGTTAAATTTTTCGCGGATCTATCCAGGCGTGTAGTTATTTATTATTTTGTTTTCTTCTGAGACAGAATCAGGACTTGACCACTGTCCTCTACTAGAGCCCTTTGTTAATTCTAGATGGCTACGGATCCCGTTGAGGAAGGGAAGGTTCCCTTTTCTATCACCACCACAAGTACAACTCTCGGTGGAAATGATGCTACAGCCACCCTTGGATTCAGAGAAGTGGCCTCCCATCAAGGAGGCAATAAATTCTACAGGGCACTTACGTCCTGGAAAAGTCAGCTACTCCCCACTAGGTTGTAGTAGTCATGTTTGCTGATTTGAAACCATGTAGGCATTGATCTGACCAATCTTCTCCCCAAATTTGATACCACTGCCTCCGACATAGTTGTACATCAACGGGAAACCCTGGTGCAACGCAAAGAGTTGGCGCAAAAGACGAAAGATTTCAAGAAACTAGACGATACGGCCAAGCTCCAAGATTACAAAAGCCTCTTGAAAGGTAGGAACGTCCCGAATTATGATTGATGAGAATGATATGCTGATGATTTTAAGCGTATCAAACGTTCATTGACCTCTTGACAAACAATTCAAAGGTCACATCGTCGGCCTTTCTACAATTGTATTCCTCCATTTCTGAGGCGCCAGATCCGTATCCATTGTTAGAGGCGTCACTGGATGCACTTCTGGTCTCAGAGGACACATTTCCAAAAGTAATAGCAGAGAATGAGCGCCTTAAGAAAACGATTGAAAGTCTCACCGGTCAAGTTGAAAGCGCTGAGTCCAGACTGAATGACGAACGGGACGCTCGCAAGTCTCTAGAACTTGTTTGGGAATCCAAAGTTAAGGAAGTTGAAGCATCATGGGCTGCAGTTTTGGACGAAAAGCGGGATAATTGGAACTCCAGAGAACGAGCGCTTGAAGAGAAGGTTGAAACACAAGAGAGACTATTAAAGGAGGTAAAAGCCAGCTTTGAAGTTTCTCAGCGCTTAGATCGGACGGGAAATGGAAGTGGTCCTGTCTCCCTAGGGAACACAACAGAATTAGAGATGATCAGCTCCGAACTTGAACGAACCAGTGTTCGTCTTGCTGAAATTGAGGCCAGGAACGAGCAGCTTCGCCTGGAACTGGCGCAGGCAACTTCCCAAGCCAAATCCTCAGATATCACGATCGAGGATGATCCGGCTTTTCTTCGAATTCAATCTGAAAACTCCTCTCTTCTTCGAAAGCTCGATGTGCTCAGATTTGAACATGATTCAGAAATTCGGCAAATGGGAGGGAGACTGCTTAGCATGGAAAAGGCAATAGGAGCTTTATCTGATGACAACGAGAAGTTGCAGAGAGAAGCAGGAAGATACAGTGACTATGCGGATATCAAACGAGAACTTGAAGTGCTTAAGGTGGGTGACTCAAATTGCACGGGAGCTTCGCAGGCTAATAGGTTGACCGGGTTTTTCTTGTTTGCAGTCCGTTGAATTCGCAATGGGTGATGATGAAGGAGAGGAAGAAGAAGATGAGGATGATGATAATTATGATGACAAGGGCAATGGAGTTGGTCACGGTGAACGTAGTCCAGGCGATCTGTCTCTCTTTCGCAGAGACAACCCAGAAACGCTTGAGCAATTACTATTACGGAGAAACAAAAAATTAGGGGACGATTTGGCTATTCTTCGAGCATCTCACCGCGAGCTCCAGGATCGGTTGGAAGTTGTGGAAAAGGACCTCACTACTACAGCCCAGGAACTGGATAATTCGAGAACTTTAGCGGCGACCCTTGAAAATGATCTCCTCATACTTCAACAGGATCCAGGCAGTGGTTTCAAATCTTCGGCAATGTCAGTGACTGGTATCCATGCGTCTCGATTCCCGCAACTACGTGATGGTGCCCGTGGAGGAAGAACATCTCCTACCTCATCAATAATATCCGGGTTGGACCCATCCCAAACCGCTACCGGTGAGAGTGGGGGACTTGGTACCGGAATTTTACCCATGGTGGCAGCTCAAAGGGATCGATTCAGACAACGAAATGCGCGGCTGGAGGAAGAACTTTCAACAGCCTACAATGTAGTCTCATCATTGCGGCAGGAGGTCGCCTCCTTGCAGAGGGATAATCTGAATCTCTACGAGAGGACAAGATATATGTCAACCTACAATCGCGGGCAACCATTCTCTTCTTCATCAGCATATTCTGCAAACCCTAACCCCTCGACCGTTCATGTTTCTTCAAATGACGTTCCATCTGACGTTGGATTGGACAAATATCAATCAGCTTATGAAGCGCGCATCTCTCCGTTTGCTGCTTTCAGAGGGCGAGAGTCAGCGAGAGCACTTAAGAGAATGAGCCTTCCCGAGCGGATCGTTTTTTCTATTACGCGGCTCGTACTCGCAAATCGGGCCAGCAGAAACTTATTCGCTGTATATTGTCTGGCATTGCATCTACTCGTGTTTGGGATGCTGTACTGGGTGGGCATCGCAGACGTTGAGAAACATGCTGGCAATTTAGCTGAAGCTGGGGTGGCGTCTGCAGCTGGTATGGGTGATGTTAAACCTGAATGGCATCAGGAAGGTTTCAGCGAAAGAGGATGATGACGAGAAAGTACTCTACTCGACGTTATAATGTAGAATCATATTTGGTAAAAAACCATAATACTTGATAATGAATCATATCAATCGAATTATATCAATCGAGGCAATTTGAGCCACTACATGAACTACCATAGCCTGTATCAGGAGCTGTCATACACTTGACTAATAGAAAGTAAAAGAGTCTTGAAAGTAAATTAATATATAATTAAAAATATAATACTCTTCAACTATTGCAATATAAATAATATTATACAGGTAAATTTTATATTTATAATATAATCAGATTATTTATAAAAATATTTATTAACAATAATAAAAAATGCATTAAACAGTACTAGAAATAAACTATTGCCTGATTGATAAATTATATTTCTCTACAAAATTATCACTTTCATGTAAAGAATTTATATAAAATAACCAGGTAGATGTAGATTTATATATATATTATAAATAGATACTATACTATTATTTAAATTATCTTTTTTTTCTCTACAAGTACTAAATTATTGATATAAATATACTCTATAGTCTGTTATTTTTCTAAAGCAAAAGCATAAATGATACTTACTAAATTATAATTAAAGCTTTAAAATTTAATTTATCTAGCTTAACTTTTGTGTTATATATTTTAAAACTAATAAATTTATTATAAAAATCAATTTTATCCTAATTAAATACAGGAAAAAAATAAAAAAAATATATAAAATACTTATATATAGATAATATAAATTTTTAAATTATTGATTTAATATTAATAATAATTTAAATAACTTTAAACAATTAAATTAAATTCTAAGTTATTTCTAATTATATAAAAATATTTTTAAAAAATTAAATTTAAAATATTTAAAAAATAAATAAAAATTTAAAAATTTATTTTTTAATATAAAACTAGGTTACTTAAAAAATTAATTTATTTTCTAAACTTAATATTATTAAATTAAAAGTTTTTTTCTAGAAATATTTTGAGAGAAAAATATATATAAAAAAAATTAAAAAAAACTAAAAAAAAAAAGTTTTAACTAAAAATTAAATTTAAATACTTAAGATACTTTTAATATTTATATATTTTTATATTTAAAAAATAGCTTTTCAAATGATATATTTTTTAGTATTAAAATTTTTTTAATTTTTTTAATTAGAAAATAAAAGTTTATACTATTTTAAATTAATTATAAATTATTTTAAAAATAATTTTTATTATTTAATATAATTTAATATTATTATAAAAATTATTATAAAATTATTAAAATATTAGTAGCTGTATTAGATATACTGTTATGGTCTTGCTTACTTTTATATTGCTCCTTCTACTTCTGTGCTTTAGTATATTAAGCAATGATGACCATATATAAGGTTGTTGTCCAGAGCTACATAAGAATCAAGCTTTTTTATACTTTCATACTATGTTTATCATTGTAGGCCATAACAATTAGTAGCAATACTTTTTTTTAATTCATTTAGATTCTCCAGACCATGTGGTTTTTCTATAGTTGCCTTCTCTCACTGTTCTACAAAGCAAGAGCTATGCAATACCAACCAACAGTAATCTGTCATTATAGATCCTTGATCTTCTTACTTCTACTATTATCTTTTATAGCATTGTCCTATATCTGTTGCTTATTGTTTTGTTTGAACCATTGTCCTTTTCATCACTCATACTCATCTACATTACTTTTATTTCTTTATTGAACAACTAGTTAGCTTGGCTAGCAGTGTCACAACAGCTTCATCCTTGTATAAAAAGAAGTCCAGGAGCAGTTTGATTTCAAACCATCTAACAAGATTGAGAATAGAGGGGAGACTACAGTGTGTACTAATACTTGAGTTAGATCCAATGGACAACATGTTGTTAGCCTGTACCTCTACAGAACTAGTTCTCTTTAACACCTTGTTAGTTCCTATATTTATGGATTTAACTACTGTACCAACAGACCAATCTCTGGTATTGTTCTCCAGAGAATTGACATCTCTGCTTTCAAAACTACCTGAAAGTAATGAGGGTGATCTTGTACAGAAGGTCTCATTGTTATCTTTTAATGAGGAGCTTTTGTTAACTGAGTGGCAACAACTAGATTTACCCTTACAAGTACTATAGGTAATAGTACCATTGCTCATAACAGTATCTTCTTAAGCAATGTCACCTCTTGACATGACAATGCCTGACTATCAGGTACTTGAGGACCCTATGAATCTGTATCCCAGATATAGGTCAATGTCAAATGTTCCACTACCCTTGATGCTAAATGTTCCTCTTATCATTTCTCCTAGTACTAGGAGTATACTGGGTTTTGGTAGTCCAGTGGACAATAGTCACCTAATGGCTATGATGATGCAAATCATGTAGCACCAAATAAATAATATAGAACACCAGCCACCATGTAAGATACATGAGCTAAAGGTTAAATCTATTGGTAAATTTACACTTAATTCCACTACTAACACCTACATGATATAAACCTTTATCAACAATATTTAGAACACAGTAAGAGCATTTGGTGAGGAACAGATATTGGTCTTACTTAAAAAATGTCTTACCAATGATTGTGCACATAACTAGTTATATAGTTTATCTAAAGAAGACAGAAAAGTAATGAACCAATCAGCTATTGAATGGTACCAATATATCTACACTAAATTCATGCCCTGCAGGGGAATTGCTTGCATTGAAGCTAACTGCAAGAAGTTTACATAGTCATCAAGACAAGAACCCTTAGATTACTTTACCAAGAAGTTACATCTATTGAAGATTACAGGGTATGATGATGAAAACAACTTGGTTGAAAGGGTACATGATGGCTTCTCTCTAGAGCCATCCATCTAAATTATCATGGAATCTGTTTTGAAAGATAATGAGAATATATTCTCAAAGTATTTCAGCCATCTAGACAAAATACAAGTAGCTCTAAAGGTAGAACATTTAAAGTCAAGATGTAAAGTTTGTATGGGATTGTTTAATTGGTCTGGAATGGTATTGTCTTCTACTACAAACCACCTGGCTAGCTAGAATCAACCCTCAAATCAGGTATACAACCAGAATAAACATTTTAATTGATAGAATAACTGCCTGGAAAAGGTTAATCATCAAGACACCCAACAAAAATACAGGTTGTAGCAGACAATAATGGATGCAAATATTTTGTAGTAAAATACTAAAAGTGCAGGCTACAACATTAGACCTTGTTGCCTCTGTAGAGAGAAACACTAGAACTATAACTACTTACAGATTAAAAAGAAAGGTAATAGTCATAGGAGTAAACAGTGTGCATTTCATGCTGATGGTGACAATCTTGTAGAAAGTCAAGACATTAACAATGGAGATAATAGAGCTTTAATGTTTTTCTATATATTAATAGACAATTCTGAATTGGACACAATTGTATCTAATGCTGATAATGCAGTAGAGGAAGCATTCTTCATTTCTACTAAAGTTAAATATAACAAGTACAAGCAAAGCTTTTTGTTTGTTTGTTTCTTCATTCTGCATGCAGCCTTAAAGCTATGGCAGAGTCTATAGTTTAAATACATAAAATATGTATTGAGCTTTTGAAAGTCACTCTAGAGTCAGTCAAGCTGATACTGGATGTCATCCATCAATATAAAACAAAAGAAAATTAGAAAAATAATAAAGAAAAACAAAGTAAGAGTAATAAAAATAATAAAAGAAGGTCAAAGTTTGGTTTGGTTTTTTTTTTTTGGTTTTGGTTTTTTTTTTTGGGCAATCTCAAAAGGTACTTTCATCTTGAAGCCTACCCCAGTCCCATAATGTTTCCTGTTGATATTATCTTTCTTGATGTAGTAACCATGTTCTTGATGCTACTTTAGTAGTATCTAGATATTCTAGTAGGTGGTTCCAGTTTTTTCCAGTATATAATATTTTCAAAGTAAAAACTTTTTTCTTTACTTTTTGTAGTAAAACTTTCCTAGCTTCTTTTGTTTGAGAGCAGAACAGTAATAGATGAGCTGGACTCTAAGTAAAGTTGCAGATAGAGCTGCATTTTTTTGATTTATATGTAAGTAGCCTGTATAGGTAGGATTTGAAATAACCATGTCTTATCTTGAGTTGAATGACAGTTGAGCAAAGCTTTTTGTCATGCAGTACCTTATACTAACATATTAAGGCAGATAGTTATTAGACTAAATCCTCTATATCTAATCTAATCATTATTAAATCCTCTGCCCTGCTAGTTAAACAAGTTCCTGGATTTGATTTAGTTGTGTATAGCTAGGTTTATATAGATATAGTTTTTATACCAGACTTTAATACTATCTATAAGGTGGTAATTGATTCTAGATTTAGAAATTCTAGCATTGATACAGAATTTTTAAAGTACATTTCAAATAAAAATTTCATGATTCAAGACCTACCCTTTATGTATTAGATTAAAGGTATAAGACTTGGCAAGACTACTATTATCCAAAGAGTGATACTAAAGTTCTGCCTCTGTACTAAGGATAGAAAAAGAGTAGTGGTCATTACAAGATCATTCTTCATCATCCCAAACCTGGGTACTTACATGCAGATAGTATAAATTTTTATATTATTTTAAAATATTAAAAATAGTATTAATTTATAATTAATAGATATAAATTAATTTTAATTATTTTAATTATATATATATATATAATTACTTATATTTGTATTAAATAATTAAAATTTAATTTAATTTATATTTAATAATTAAAACCAATTTTTTAAATTTTTTAAAAGTTTTAAAAATATTTTTAAATTATATAAAATATATTTTTATATTAAAGTTAAATTTAAAATATTTTAAATATTTATATATTTAAACTAATTTATATTAATTTAATAATTGTATTGATTTTATTTAAAATAATTAAATATAATTTTTTATATAAAGTTTTATATTTAGTAATTTTAAATATATTTTAATAATTTATATTTAATTTAAAATTTTTAAAAACTTTATAATAATATTAAATTTTATTAAATGTTATAGAATATTTCTAAAATAATTTTAAATTTAAAATTTTTT